GTAATTTAGTTAAAAATATTCTTATCGATTTAATGGACTTGAACAAAATTTTATATTAACCTTTTTTAGTAAAATTTAAAATCAATTTAAGCTATTTTTATACATTTTAATCTTGTGAGTTATGTATGTAATTTTTATTCAGTAGGTACTGTATGGTAAAATTGTAAGGCTTAACAGAAATGCTTGAAAATTTAACAAGAGGTTCATTAAAAGTCTTAATTTGTAGTCAAAAAAAAAATTTGAGTTTAATGTAATATTTTATTCTTTTTTTTTTTTTAAAGGAATTTAAATATCAAATTTTGACGAAAATCGATTTGAGTAAAAATTGATGTGGAACAAATCTTATTTCAATTATTTTCCTTTTGAATATATGTATATTGGCATTTTTCTTAAGAAATATGGTGAAGTCAGAAGCGAGCTTAGTTTCGAAATTAAAGCTTTTTGAAGTTCTAGTGTTATGAGGATATTTTATGTTATGATAAATAACTCTAAATTGTCGATTATAATGTATTGTGTATGTCGTAGTCTAATGGTTATACATATAATATATTGTCATCATTAAAAAAATATATATCATTTATTGAAAAATAACTCCGCAAAGATATTCTTATCCAATCTTCTATCCCATCGCAATGTATGATAATTTCAGAGGAAGTGTCTTCCCCCCACTCCATGAATGGGTTGAAAGAATCAGCTGACTGCCCACTTTCGCTAACAGCATTAGATTCTTCATTCTTTTAAGTCTGAATAAAAATTTATTTGAATTGTATACACTTATATATTCGTTCAAATGTATACATACCATATATCCATACGGTTGGTCATTTTCCTTTACTTCACTAGACTGTGAGCTATTGGCAGAATGTTCTAACTATATAATTTATTCGTATTAAATTTGTATTTATAAAATCTTACTACCCTAGTAGTAACTAGCAATAGCATTCTCCAACTAAGTAAATTAATAATAATTAAAAACTTACCAAACCATCAAATTCGGGATAAGTATAATCCCTGCCATCATATTCCTACAATTTTATTTTTAATAAATTATTTTTTTTTCAAATTAAATCATAATAGAATTGTATATAATCTAAATGTACGTTCTTCTTCCTCTACAATCAGATAGTTCGTATGGTTGATATGACCCGAAAAGCCTCCTTGCGAACTTGAGTTTGTCATCTAAATATAATAATATCCATAATAAGAATAAGAATATTAACTGGATTAAATGTACGTACTTTTGCTGTTGGTACAACTGACTAATCTATATTATGATATGAAAAAAGTGATCTCCTCTGATATTATTCTCTATATTAAAAATAAAAAAAACAAGCTTTTGTGTTAACAACACACATTTTTCTCCGTCGATTTCATCGAAAGGACAGTTTACATAAATAAAACCCCTGATGGTATTCGGTTTAATTGCCATTCATATTCGTTGACGTTTAAATACAAGTCGGACCTTACTCGATATTTAAATAACAAACTTGGTTAGTATATCAAATTAATAATATATATTTTCTTATAAAAATATTCACGAGGGTCCAGTCCGATCTGAATGGATTTTCGTTCCACAAAGTTTACATTTAATATAGTAGAGTCCATTAGTTGATTCAGAGATGATGGGGCGACGTAATTATATTGTGGCTTGTAGGCTGCTGCATTCATTTTAATCGATCCTGCTATATTAACAATGTAAAAATCTCACTTAGAAAAAAAAATGTAGTCAAGTCCGGAACTGCGAATTGCTAATGAGAGCGGTTGAACGAGACTGATTTACTATGACGCTCTTCGGAGCGATGTAGAACGTTACACAATATTTTCATCTAAGAAGAGGGCAACTGAATACGATTACAGTCTTATTGTATTCTTTTCTGCAAATGGGGCATTTCGAGTAATTTTTGTCGCAATTACAAGGTTCAGAATGACATAAATAATCCGAAAAGCACAAGCTTTATTCGTTAAACATATGACACACTTCTCCTCCACATATATGGCTGTGTCCTTTGACCAATTTCTTATTCGTATTATATTCTTCTTGTTATTTAAATTTTAGTATTTTGAACTTACGTTTAATTTCACATCCCGTGATTTCACGCAATTGACTGCGCCTTTTTCCTTTAGATGTGCGGGAAACGAACAATTTAATTTACCATCATATCCAATATTTGCAATTTTTATTTTGAGACCGTTATTCTCCTCGACACAACGTAGCATGATGCAATGATTCATTATACAATGTTAAATTTAAGCAAAAAATAATAGTGAACTAATATCGGTAAAGATGCATTCGAGACTGATCTAATCAGACAATGTCCTACACACACTAAAGTGGGACGGTTAATTAAATATGTAATATTAAATCACCAGTGTTAACGTATATTGATAATATCTGTGGTAAAAATATAGGCAGTGGTATGTATAATTAATAATAAGAATCAGTGCGGTATCGTGTATGATAATGAGTATGATAAAATTCTAAAATAATGGTAACAAATATTGATAACAGTTGATAATATCTATGGTAATAAATATTAGTCTGGCTGATAGCGATTGTGCGCGCGCGTGTGTGTGTGTGTGCTTGGGTTGCGCTGTGGGGCAAAGTACGAAGTAGCGATTGGTGCATTCTGCGGTTAGTGGCGGGGATATGGCACTAGCACCAGCACCAGAACCAGGATCTGCATTTTTATACTACTAACATGTTTTAATTCCTTAGATCCATAAGTAATTAGATGTCGCTTTAAGGTTCTTTTATAACTAAAATATTTATTACATACCACGCACTTTAGCTCTTCTATGTTACTGGATCTATACTCTTCCATATAATTATAAATTTTATATATTACTACCTGTTCCGCGTCCGGCGTTGCCCGTCCCAATTTGTATTTTACCCATATTCATTTTTGGTTTTAGCCATGTTAAAATTGAATGAAAACAAATAGGTCGAAAGTGGGTAGTCAACCTTCGGCGAACTAAATATGTTCTATTGTGCAATTTGAATAGTGTAAATAATAGTTTTAATAATAATTATAATAGTTTTCTTTTCCATGGCAACCCTAGAATAAACAAAAATCTTATATAAATAAAACAAAGTCGGGTTAGTTACACCATTTATAATTCAAGAACGGCTGGACCGATTTTGATGATAACATGATATTTTCCGACTAATTTCTAATAATAATTAATCTCCATTTTTTTTCATCCCTGTTATCAAGGTAACACAAATAAACAAAAAGACTTGTATTTATTATATTATAAGCTAAATTATTTGGTGTTGCTCGTGTGTATAATTATATATATAAGCGAAAATATTAAAATCGCGATTAAAAATTAATGGGTGAGGTTAGAAGGGAGAAAAATACTTTACGACCTATTCTCATACCTACCAAATATACAAAAAAAAATTTAATTCAAATCGGTCATGCCATTTCAGAGAAGTGTGACAACAAACACGTGACACGAGCATTTTATATATAAGATAATTGAAATATATTAAGTGTAACACCTGTATGTGTATGAAACACCCGTATAATTGATGATCATTATATCACATTATAATTTGTATAAAGGATGATAAGAAATGTAATTTATATATTAAATAGTGAACAAATGTGAATGCTTTTGATTGGTCGCGCAATTTTGCCCACGAAACGATCGTACCGTCAGACCTATTCTTCTAAGATCGTGCTTTATACATACACCGTATCGTATTATTTTTCAATGCTTACCGACTGTCAATTTCAGATCTTTTAAGAATTGTTTGTTTTAAAACATAGTAATTTTTTTTCATTATTTAATTCTTTCGGTGCAAATAAATAATAGTTAATTTTTGCAGTGCCTTTAATTTCACTAGTATAAGTGATGTAAAAAGGAATTAATATTTCACAAGTTTAAGTATTAATATTAATTGTGATTGATTATTTCGTAATTGTATTTATTGTACTATTTATTTATGTTATAGATACCTATATTAATAATTTTACGTGGCATTTTTATGGTCTAAGGTTTTCACTCGATGATAATGAAAGGCTGAAAAAATGGATACATGCTATTAGAAGAAATTTCAAACCTAGTAGTAATTCGTTTTTATGTAGTCTACATTTTACTAAAAATTAATATGACAAAGCAGTTGTAAGTGGAAAATTAGTTTTAAAAAAAGTGCTGTGCCAACTATTTTCACCTTCCTAGATTATGTAATGCCTAAGATGAAAGAAAGGCGAATTCTGCAGCGATCTATTGAAATTCAAATAAGAATTGTTTTTAATTTTCTTAATATGCTAATAATTTATCATATAATAATAATTTTTAATTTGTAATCTTTTTAATTATCTTGAATCGTGAATGTGGCTGTGTGAGCTCAAAATGTGTGTCCATAATTCGCGTATATTCATGAACGCACAGACAAGAGTTTGTTAGATAGTACTATCTGTTTATATTGTGTTTTCCATATTCTTATAATATATAGATCGCGAATTAGTGAAATATATTGAAGTCAACATATGTGCGAGAGAGACAGACTCTGGTGTTACTTTTTCAAGGATGTTATAAGCAATTTTATAATATTCCCTGGATAATATTTAATTAATTATTAATAACGCTATCATCAAAACATAAAAAAAAATTAAAAATTTTAATTATTTTGTACATTATCAATTTCATTATCCTTATTTTGCATATAAATATTTATAATATCAAAGATTATTGTATACATTTTATATGAACTCCTTGGAAAAGTATCGTAGGGTTTGTCTTTCTCGAACATATGTTGACGTCAAGATGTTTTACACGAATCAATTGTAATGTGCGGTCTATATATTATAAGCTATGGTGTTTTCAAATATTGGTGTCACTGCCACTTACCCGCCTACAGTCGCGCTACTGTGATAAGATAGGAGTACTACTTTAATCTTTTTCTATTATTACTACTGATGACCTCGCAGTCGTCACTTCCTTTTTTTTTGTTTTTACACAAGTTATTGTCTTGAAGGAAGACGACAATTATGGATTACAGATCGGCCAGAGGACGATTTTCGTGGATGAGCTACGTTAACTCTCGTAAGTACGCTATACAGTCACAGATTTGTATGTTTTTTTTTCTTATTTTATTACATGCAGCACAAGTGCACAACGCTGACATTATAATTTGTGTGTTCGGTCCGTGGATAACATACCGTTCAGGGACTGATAGTCGGTTGGATTATTCCCGATTTTATTCAATGGCTCCAATAATTATTTGCGCTTTGTGCTATTTTACATCATTGATTGTTACACTATTCATAAACCGATTGTTCTGCGTATTATGCAAGTACAACGGGGAACAGGTAGCGATTATCGACTACAACGTCTAGTGCCTTGATAGAGATAGTGCGGTTATACAGTGATAAGATAGGTATTAGGCCACCATTAGTTGGCTAAACAGACATTTCACTGTATACTAGTTATAGTATTGCATGTTTTTTTTTTTTTTATAGTTTGAATTTCAAATTGTTCTCATTCCTTCTCAAATATTAATTTTTTGAGCTTTATGATATAGTATTAATAACATTTTATAGGTATTCGTTATTATATTCTAGGAAGTATAGAATATTTATTTTAAAAAGAACAGTTCCAAATTACCTACCAAACTATATAATTTTTATAAAAAATATTCCATATTAAACTATATTAAACAAAGAATGATTATTTATATTGGTAATACAATTTTATTTTTTAACTATATGTATTATTTCATACTTCATAGTAGGTAGGTAAGCAATTTATTGTAAATATTAACATTTTTAATGATCAACCATAATTGATGAAATATGTAGCTACACAAATAAATTATGATTAATAAAGCATTAAATGTTTACCAGTTTCTTAAATTTATAAACAAATTTATTACCAAAAATAGACAAAATATGCTTGGAAATATATATTTGAGACTTAACAAAAGGTTTTAAATTTTATTTTTTAAATCCACAGCAGCGGTAGCCTCTTGCTATAATACCTTAAAGTAAACTTAATTAGTGATTGGTTTTACAATATATCGTTAAAATTACATATAGATTTATAATAATGTCTTAATTTATTTTTATGTAGTCTGATTGTGAATACATGAAATTGGTCAATCCATTTCCCTTAAAGTATGTGTAGGATTAGTTATTTACTTACTATGAATTAAAATTTAAAATTGAAGAATTCTAACTTCATTGTAACGTTAGACTGTATTTTACAAAACATAAATATCAGGTCCCTTAATAGGAATACTGAATTTACTTAGTAAGTATTTACTAAACCATTAATAAACTAAACTAATATTTACTTATGGTATTAGAGTTCTTTGATTGATTGATAGATTTTTTTTTCCAGGCACTCTAATAACATCATTCAGTTACTATTGCACGTCTGTAAATTAAAGTAATACTTTAAAACCAAATCAATTTATATAAATTGTACCTAATAATAAATAAGCACATTAATTTTGTAATAAAATGCAAAATATGTAAAGTGAGAAGTTAGGAATGTAGTAGAGGGTAAAATTAATGTGCAACGTTTAATTATTGCTATCGAAAATTGATTCTGAACAGAGTTTGGTTAAAAGTGTTGTTTTGTCAACTATACATATGTCTTAATATTGGAAATTACATTTTCATTTTATATTTTCTTTAATAATATTTGTTTCATAATGTACCTATTTTCCTGTTTTCCCCAGTTTTTACCATGTTTTGGACAGTTTTACCCTTTTTTTATGAAAACAGCTGGAAAAATTAAAAAAGTACCACCCCAGTCAGAGTTTCTTTGAGAAAAAGTATTATTGTAAATCAGAGCAAAATTGTTTATAGAAAATTTGTTCACGGATAAAAAAAAACTGGCTTTGCTCAGAATCTAAAATGCATAAGTAGATTAATATGTTGCCTAATAAAATTACTGGTAGAAAAGTTATTCACAGAAAAAAAAGACCGTAATATTTTACAGTCTATTTTTAAGATTTATTATTCTTTTAATAGAATAACCTTTACTTTAGCTAACCTACTAGGTAGATTATAAATCTAAGATGAAAAATTATAGCTAGTTCCTATAATTGATTCCTCCCATAGTACCTATTTTTAATTTTTTTTTTTTTTTTTTTTTAGAAATTATTTATAAGAATTACCTGCAATCATGGGCCAATTATATATTTTAATGATGAGTGTAATATTATTTATAAAGATTTTATAAAAATATGAGACGAATATGATATTGTTGGCTACCTAGTAAGTTAACACATTTTGCGCCAATGAGCCTACCTGTTCACCACCAAACCAAAGAAAATGTATTCACAAACCAAAAGAATTTGGTAGCTATTAATACAGATTTAAATAGGCCAAAATATAAGAATATTTTAAAAAACCATAATACGTGGTGAAAATTTTCTAGGTTGTAAACCATGCCTACAACTATTTTTCATCAAATAACAAAAGCAAGATTGAAATTAACAGGAAAACATTATTGTGTAAAAAATTCTCCCAGTTTTCCTGTTTTCTGGGTTGTCCTCCAAAAAAAATTGCCTATTTTTTCCATTGGTTAAAATTTGTTTGTAAAGTAAAAGTATATTTGGTTTCTGAATTATCTACTTATTTAATAAAAATATGTTCATTTTGAAATATTATGAATACAATTTAATCTAAAATGCTGAAAAATAATTGTTTAACCCTAATCTAGCCATTGTTTTGTATAATATATGTATGTACCTATTCATTGTTTTTATTGTAATTTTAGACAATGACCATGATAATAAATGTTCGAGGCCTAGTACTAGTCGAGGAGATGGCAATTATTCAGATAATTTTAATACATCAGTGGCATTTAAAGCACGCAGAGGAGGTAGTCACTACTTTCGTAAAAATTGGAGTAATAAAACTAATTTAGTGCGTAATCAAATTAATTCTCATCAATTGGAAAATTCAAACCAAACCGGACTTCTCAGAAATGATCTGATCCAAGGGTATATTGTTTATTGTTATTATTTTTGATTTAGAATTTAGTATTTTTAACATATTGTAATACTTTTTTTTTTTTAAGGAATACTGGCCGAGGAGGTGATAATCATGGTAATTTAAAATTCACAATGTGGACATTACAAGAAAGTAGCACAGGATGGTATTCAATATATGTAAGTTTTAATTTTTCTACCAACTATAATAGATTTAATAATATAAATATTTTTGATTTTCAAGATACCAAGAGTCAATAATGATTATGATGAAATTTTAAATGTACTTCAAGCATATATTTCACCTATTACATTTTATCCATACAATGTATGTTATATTTATGTTATTTTATTAAATTTGTAAAATATAAGTAGTTATTAAAGTGCATATTCTAGATCAAGATGGGGTTCTTTACTAAAAATGTTTACAATATTACTGATGTTTGCAAAAAAATTATATAAAAAAAAAATGTTCAATAGTTGTATATATTATACAGCAACTATTCTGAGCAGAGTTTGATTAATAGTGTTGCTTTGTCAAAAATACATATGTTTTATTATGGTATGATAATTAAATATTCATTGTATATATATTTTTTTTAAAATATTTTTTACTAAAACAATTTAGTGATCCAACCAAGATTTTAAAAATCTTTGCTACAGAACCCCAACTTGATGTAAAACCCACATTTTTCTAACTACTAATATCATAAAAATTAATAATTTTAACTTTACAGAAAAAAATGTTTGGTAATGCCTTAAGATTTGTTATTGATGATTATAAAATTGCTCAAGTATTGCAGGATACTAGTTACAAGATAACACTTAAAAATGGTCGAAAAGTAAGTTGTAAATATTTAGTATTCACTAGTTTTAAATTCTAAAGACATGATTGATAAATTACATTGTTAGAGTATGATTAAATAAAATATTGAAGTTTTAACAGTGAAAATTTTCTCTAAATGACCATACAATGAGCTATTTTAAAAAATTTCCCTTGAGCTATTCTTGGGCTAAATCCAGCCTTCTTTATATATATATTTGTATATTGTATTCATGCCAAATAAATAATAATACTCAGTTGTATAATAAACATATTATTTTATTAAACATACATAATATATATATAAATTTATTTTACTTCTCTGCTTTATCCATAGGCTGTAACAAAAACAATAAAATTATAATAATTACACATTTATAGCCAGAAATTATATCTATATATTTGTATATTATTTATTTAGTATCTATGGGCTACGACATTCAAAGAAACTTTTCATTTCAAATAGGAATAATACACTGTGTTAGTGTTGTCTGATACCTAACACTATAGTAAAGATAATATAATTTGAATGATTTCTGATTATTGAAATTGTGAATTGCTTTAATTAAGAAATACATCTGGGAAAAGAACCTCAAAAAAAAAGTTAAAATTTGTTTTATGGTATTTTTTTTTTATAATTCAGTTAAAAATATTTGTAGAGATTTTAAATTTGGACAGAAAATTTATATTTGCCTTTTATAGATGTGATTAAATTTTTAACAAATTTAAGCCATTTTCTAGGTATTTTAATTTTCGTATAGGCATTTTAATTTTGCAAGTTTTTGTATATAATTATTATTCAGTAGATACTGTGTAGTAAAATTGTTAGACTAAACAGAAATGTGTGAAAATGTAGGAAGTTCATTAAGAGTTTTACTTTGTGGTAAAAAAAAAAATTAATTTAATGTAGTTTTTTTTAAAAAAGAAATTTTAATATTAATTTTGATGAAAATTGTTTTGAGTAAAAAATTATGTGAAACAAATCTAATTTTTGAATTTGTTGTTATGAACATAATATGTATATTGCCGATTTAAAAAAGATGGTGAAGTCAGAATTAAGCTGACTAAGTTCGAAATTATAGCTTTTTGAAGTTCTTATATTATGTTATGTTAAATAACTGTATTACCTTTTTTGAAGAATATTTATCTGATCCAATGGTTAAACATGTCTATTTTTATCCTAGGAGTCCCAGGTTCAAACAACTTTTTATGCATTTTTCCTCCTTTTTTAAATTTAATAAATTTTGGTGGAAACCTATTGACCCAAGTCATCACTTACTTAGATTATTTTAATTGTAAAATACCCCTTGAATCAGAATCGTTTTTCGTTAGTAATGGTTTATTGTTGCTTATAGATATACATTAAACCTATAACTGCACCTGTCTCCATTATCCTATGATGTCTTATTTAATTTTAGATTCATTTATAAAAGTTAGGAAAATGCTATTATTCACTATTGAGTCTTTACTATTATAATTAAAATTTATATTTGTAATTTTTCTAGAAATAATGTTATCTTTGATACTTTGTCTGACACCTATAACAATTCTATTAAGTTCATTAAATTCAATTATAAATATTTGTGTTTAGTTAATCATTAAAGTGGGTTTATATGTGCCTTCACGGACTATTACAATATTTACACCAGTATCTAATGAAATTAGAGAAAAAATGATTGAGGCAATGGCTACTCGTTATAATTCCAGTACCAAAAGTTTAGACTTGTCAAAATTTTATGCATGTCCATGTATGTAAATGTTAATTATATAAATTAATACTAGTATTATAATAAAAACATCACTTGGATAATTAAGTATATTTTTTTATAGTGTTTATCGAAAAGCAACTTTTTGTACCATTAAATAGACCAGCAATTCTTCTGGCAGCTCTCAACATAGTTGCTGAACATACTAAGTCTGAGTTGTTCGGCTTGAGTCTTGAAAACAATCATATTTATATGAGTGAAGGGCTCGTATGGATAAGTAGACTATTTCCAAATCTAAAAGTTTTAGATTTATCTGGAAATAAAGTAACAGATTTTAAGTTTTATTTATTTCAATATTATTATATAGAAACATTGATTAAATATATTATTATTATATATATTTTTTAGTTTTCTGATTTGAATGAGCTGAATTGCCTCCAGGGTTTTTCTATTGAAGTGATTAACCTGTCCAGAAATCCAGTGAGTGATAACATTAAGGATAAAGAATGTTACAGACAGTAAGTAATATACTATTATTTATATTTTAATGTTTAATATTATTGATTATATTTGTTACAGGAATGTTCAACAACTATTTCCCATGCTAAAAAAGTTGGTAAGTGTTTTCTATTTTTATCTTGACATATTTAGATCATGAATTAATTAAGGAATACCAAAATTTATATTTTTGTATGGCTAAAATAATAATATTTTGATAATTTTTATTGTGTATATTAAAGTAAGTTGTCCATGGTATACCTTACCTAGTTTAAAATTCAAAAATAATATTATTGAATGAAATAAACACAAAAAAATAAAGTGTGGAAATAACCATTTTATATTGAATAATTAAGAAAATAAATAAATAGACATTTTTCATTCAAAAGAAAAACTATCAATTTTTTTTACTACATTTTAAATGTAATTGGTTGACATTTACAGTGTGTTGTAAGTTACTATTGTGCTTGATACTGTTTCAATTTTATGATTTCAGATTTTTGGCAAAGTATTGCTGTTTTATTATTTATTAATTTTTATTTTTTCCATTTATCAAAATAGTATATTGCATGTTCAATTCGCAACATATTTTAATTGTGTAGTTTTTCAAGTCAAGATATTCTCTGAAAATATTGGTGTGTATTAATTTAATGTTCCTTTTTACATGAGAACAAAAAGAGGAAAATGAAAACATACAAAATTTAGGTATTTCCTTAAATTAATAAATAAGTCAATAAATTTGTGTTCATAATTTTGAGAAGAAAAAAAATAAGATTTAAATGATAATATAAAATTAAAAGTATAGATTGGAAGATTAATAAAAACCAAGGACAGATAAATTTAATTTCTAAACAAAAATTATATACCATAATAAAGTTAATAATAGACATTTTATTATTTGGTTCTTTGAAATTCTGTATTTTATTAATTTATTAACATAGATATTTAGGATGTAGGGCAATGTAACAATTGCGTATTTTTTTTTTTAGGATAACACTGAATTACCTCTACGGTACAGTGTAGCTATTGTTAATGCAAAATTGAAAATGCCAGTTAACTTGGGAAACAATTTTGCAGTACCAGCAGGTCATAATCCCGACCAACCAAATCCAGTAAAAGATTTAGTAAAATCGTTCTTAGAACAATACTATGAACGTTATGATAACAAATTGTCTAGACAAATGATTGCTGAAGCTTACCACAAAAATGCAATATTTTCTTTGTCTTGTTTTCAGAATTATGGGTATATATTTGAATTGCACCTAATCTGGATATTCTATTTAATCATTTGTTTATATTTTAGTTCAAATGGTAATCTATCAAAGTATTTATCAGATTGTCGAAATTTACTGAAACCTGACCAAAACAAAAAACGTGTAGTTCACATAGGTAAAGAGAATATAATCAATTTTCTAGACAATTTGCCAGAGACCAAGCATGATATGGTCTCATTTCTCGTTGATGTACCATTAGTTGATGTGAGTGACATTTTTTATTTTTTATTTATTTTTTATTTTTTATTTATGTACTGTTTTAATTTTATCCAAAGGCTAAATTCATTCAGATTGTAGTGAATGGTGTGTTTGCCGAAAACTTTAAAGAGACCCAACAAAGACCATTATTTCGATCATTTTGTAGGGCATTTTGTATAGTGCCTTTTGGAAGTGGATGGAGTATATTGAATGATATGTTATTTGTAACAGAAGTTAACGATGACCAATACTATGTAAGCCATTTGATTTTCAACTTTGTTGTTATTATTTATGTTCTAAATCATGTTTTTTAATTGCAGGAATCATCAAAACGTTTTATTTTACCAAAATCAAACTTGCCAAATAGTAATGCCCCCGACTGCAGCGACAACACATCAATGGTTATGGAAGATTCAGAAGAAATGACCAGTATAAAATTGTCATCATCATACCAACAGGACCTTACACCCAACTATCCTCCACCACAATATCAGCAAACCTCATTTTCAACTTACCCTTCTTCTTCAATAGCAGAGATTCCTGTTTTTACACAGCAACAGCAACCATTTTACCAGGAAGGTTTGCAGATGTCTTTAATGCAAAATCCACAACAAGCTTATCAACAGAATAATCAGCTCGCATCATCATCAACAGAACCTGTGTCTTTTCAATCAATTCCTCAACAATTAAACAATTCATTTTACATGGTAAACAACACAACAGCAACAACATTTCCTGCAAGTTCAATTCAAATTCCTATACTTACAAATCAGCCATCAACTGAAGTCTCTACAAATTCAGACGAAAAACTAACTTTGATCAAGAATTTTTCAAAAGAATCTGGCATGAACAACATATGGGCTAAAAAGTAAGACAAATTATATACCTATACAAGGTATAATATTATTATCAATTGAAATTATTGTTGTTTATTGTGAAATCTAAATGTGGAATACTTCATTATTTTAGTATATGCAAAAACAATTAATGTATAATTGTTAAACAATAATAATCTAAGACATATATTTATAAATTATTATACTTATCACAAATATTAGTCAAAAAAGACAAAAGATTCATTTTGTTTTACTTAATTAAATAAAACCTCTCATTAGTTAATATATTATGTTTTTATCCTTTTTCATAATTACATATAATAAATAAAAGCTTAAAAATATCCTATACAAGTCAATGGCATTATTATTTAAGTTTAAAAGGACTTTAAATAAACACTTTCAATACATTTTTCTATACAGGTGTTTGGAAGAAAATGATTGGAATTACACTCAAGCCGTTTTCTGTTTTTCGAAATTGAAACCCAATATTCCTCCTGCAGCTTTCACATAAAACATAATATGTATGTATTATTATTATTATATTATTATAATTCATAAATCTAGTGAAAAAAACTATTGTAATTTTATTGATATGAATATTAATACATTTGTATTATTAATTTTATTGATATGAATATCAATACATTTGTATTATTAATTTTATCGGTATAATTTTTCTTTTACTCTTAAATTGATGTATATTAAAATTTAAAAGAAGAAAATGTTAAATATTAGATGATAACTAAAAACTTTTTTTTAAGATCAACTAATTTATTATTTTGTGTAAAAAAGAAATATAAAACTCAATGTCTTAACTATTACTGGCCTATAAAACCAAACATAATTCAAATTTTAAAAATATACATATATATTAACAAATATTAAAATTATGGATACATGACCAATGTAACATGTCTCTGTGTTTTTGTGTGCCTATTAGTTACATTAAAGATTGCACGTAATTAATTATATACTGATATGTAATTACTAATTAATACTGATTATTTTATTGAACTAATATAAGTGATAATAATCTATTTAATCAGTTTATTACAAGAATTTAGTTGTTTGACTATAAACAGTACTGTTCAGAAAAACCTAAATAAATAATATTAATTGATTTACTTATAATTTTTTTTTTAAATTTTAGATTCTGAGTGAAACAATGAATGTATTGGTTTTACAAAGAATTTTTTTTTGTTTACACTGTGTACAACATTTCTCCTAGAAATCTTGCATCAATCAAAACATGACAAAAGACTTTTTCATTGAATTTTGGCTCTAGTTGGTAATTTAGAAAGGTCATATTTTGAAATAAATTATCATATACATGTGATAGTTAGAAAAGTTGTTTTTTTTGTTTATATAATTAAAAATAAAGTGTCTGGAAACTGTGTTTATTTAATTAGTGGTAGTACTATTAAGTTTTAATATTTAAACTCCCTTCTTTATACTATCTTCCCAACTTTTTATCTATAACAGTAGCCCACCCATCAAAGTATGTCTGTCCGATTTTGTGTATGTATATAATATATATAATAAAATGCAATGAAAAAACATTGTAATAATGATGTATAACCATTCCTCCTTTAGTATATTCTAATAAAAAATATTTATTCAACAATATAAAATTATTTAATTTTTAATCGCATGATGATCATAACATCCATCATTTTCATAGTTTCTCTTTAGTATATAATATTACATAATATACATGAGTTTTATATTTAGTGTCATTTTCGAATGAAAAATTTGTTTCTAGTATAAAATATTATTATTATTTTAGGATATAACTATTTTAATTACTATAATAACAAATGTAAGTAATCATTAAAACATCATAAATCTCATTTATAATTTTTTTCTTTATGTAAGGGGATGAATTATTTTTTCTATATATATATTTCAAGAATTGCATTTGATGAATTAAGAACAAATCAAAAGTTTAAAAATATTATTACACATTATATTAAAATGTATTAATTAAAAAAATAATTAATTATGAAAATAATTATTATCTTTTAAATATATTTTACATACCAAATAATTTAATAATTTATTTTATTTTTATATCAATTATTCGATTTTTAAAAATAAAAAGAACCTTTACTACAAAATATATAATGAAAGAAAAAAAATTAAAATTATTTATCCTATAAAAAATTTACCAACTCCCATAAATATTAGATTTGTATGAAATTTTAAAACCTTAATTAATAATTTACCTAATAAATCAAATTTTAACAGGATTATTTTTTGCCTATCATTTTAAAAGAGATATTAATTTAGCATTCCAAAGAATCATTAATATAAACGAAAATATTAAATTTGGTTGATTAATTTGATCCTTTCATGCAAATGAAGCATCAATTTTTTTTATTATAATGTATATTACACTTTAAGTAATAAATTACTACCTATTTAGTACCTAAAACAGAATAATTAAAATCAGAAGATTAACTTATTAATAAAAAAATTAAACCAAGTTATAATAAAATGTATACAAAAAAAAAGAAAATAATAAACCTAATAGACAAAATAAAAAAATACTTTAAAACCATTCCCAATGGTTTAAAACTATTTTAAAAAAAAAAAAGTTATTAAGACTTTTTTATAATTGAATATAACCAAAAAATTAAGTTCTTATAATGTAAAAAAAAATTATTATATAAATTACTATTTATAATTGAATTCTAAATTTAACAAATTCATCTGCGAAATAGTTTAATTATAAATAACGATGAAAAATGATATGTACAAAATATTTACACTGAAAATCAAAAGAATATGTTTTATTGATTAATAAGTGAATTTGATAGGTCTAAGATCTGTCAAAAGTTCTCTTTGTGGCCAAAAGGGTTGGAAAGCACTACTTTTAACACTTAGTGCACCGGAACAATATTACTGGTGCTTGAATCCTATTATGTTGTGGCATATTAGTAGATGGTATATAGATTTCACTGTTTAAATGGAAATGAACAAACCAAATGAAAGATAAACATCTGTATTCCAATTTGAAATAGAATTTCCTGGTATTATATTCACAATGATAAATTGTTTTACCTTTGTTCATGATAAGTTTCATTATATGATGAGTTTGTTCAGGATACTGTTTTGAAGAAATCTGTAAAGAATTATAGAAAAAACAAAGTACATTAGACACAGTGTTGGTAATTTGTTTTATTTTATAATAACAAAACAGAAATGTTATAAAGTTTTACTATTGAATTAAACATGAACAAAGATGAGTTGACCAGAAATAGAAATCTTTATTTGTGTCTCAAATTACATAGGTTTCATATCATCAGATTAAGCTTTCAATTGTAATAGGCTTTTAATTAAATCACAAAAGAAACACTAATTTGTAAAACAAAAAAGTGCTGACACTGAAAATGGGTGAGGTCACTGTTGAAAACAAGAAGTCAGGAAGATAAGATACATGAAATTATTTAATTTCACCTGTATGCATTTTCATAATCTCCTCTGTTCTTTTTTCCTTTTTTTTTTTGAATTTACTCGGTTCTTAAAAATACTACAGGGAAAAGCAAAACATGACTTTCGTACTCACTAACTAGATTAAAAAATGCAACAAAAAAGGTCTCCTGATGTTTTTCTTTTATAGCAGTAATTTAGTAGAAAACATAAGTAGTACAAATTTAAAACAAAAGAATGCTAGTGCTGTTAATTTATTAGTTTTCATTTTTCCTCAATTATTACAAAAACCTCTTGATAAATCAAAAAAATGCCTCTTTAATGAAGTAACTAGATATAATTTCCTTTATGAAAGGTACTTTAGCAAGAATTCTTTTTAAAAAGTAGTTAATAAAAGTTGACAATAAAAAAAATTTAAAACCAATATCCCTCACTATGCTCTAAGTCTAAAAATTATTATTATTATTATTATATAACTAATAAAAAAAATTTGAGTAAATTATTAATTTAAATTAATGTGTATACTACAGTGTCTTCTATATTGAAGGTAAATAAATTATTTTTAGTCTCACTTCTTAGATTTATGTATTTGCATAAAAGAATAAGCTATGAAAAAACTGTGGGTGTCAATATATTAATGTTAACCCATGCTAACTTGAATTTGAAATTATATTATATTTGATCATAATTTATTAATACATTTATTATTTTAATAAAAATCTCATAAACTAATTGGAAAATTTAAAAATGTTATAGTTTATATTTGAAATACAATTTTATTTTAATGAAAAAGCTCAAATTTTTGTTTGAGCAATTACCATTGTATAAATAAACTGTTATACATATTATAATATATGAGGAATGACTTAAAGTACAATAAATTCACAAAAAATAGGTGAATTATTTAAATTAAATTAAACCAAATAAATTAATAAACTCAACAACTTATTTCATATTGGAAAGATTTAATTTATATACCATGCTGCCACCACATATTATATGAAATCATGGGATATTTTTGAAATTGTACTTCTTGATACAACATCAAGTATTGAAATCTTAATATTAAAAAAAAAGAATAATATCAATAATACAAGTACCACTTCTGAAATAGAAAATAACCATGAGACTGATTTAGTATTAAAAAACCTATGGAATGATACTTTCAACATTTTTTAAAATATATTGCAAAATAAATGTTACACAGATGACTAAAAAAAGAATAATTTGAATTAACCAAAATTGTTTTGACTGGTAATCCTGACAAAGAATTGAAAGTACATCCTTCTAGAGCAATACAGTGGAAAAAACAGTTAAACTTATGGAAGTCTAACCAAATATGATAAAAAGTCCGAGTTGTTTTTATGTTGTGTACATAATAACACAGAAGACTATATCCTGATTGCCAAAAGGAAATCTTGATTAAAAACTTTAAGAAAACATTAATTTTATACATAAATGTTAATATATCCTATAGTTAGAAAAATTAAGAAGTATTTTTACTTTTTACTCTACTAATGGTTTAAAGAAAATTAAATTTTATTTCAAACATTTTTCAATTTCTCTATCATTTTACAAGATATTTATAAAAATATTATTATTATTCATTGATCTATTATCTATAAAAAATAAAAAATAAATATATGATATAATTACAAAACAATGCAATGTATAACAATAACTAGGTACCTAGATAGTGTATACTCTCTCTCTAATAAATAACAAGTGTAGCTTGTTTTTGGAGTTGGTGAGTTCATACAGCAGCTAAATTAATAATAAACAGAATCAAAGGAAACAAGGTAAATATATAATCTGGATTAACACAATACTCAAGCATATAACATTAATTAAATACTCTCAAAATTTAACTTTTTATTATAATCTGATAAATTGTTCTTAGTTTTCCAAATTTGTTGGTAGCTTTAAATACATTTTAATTGTTAAAATTTTTTTAAATGTGTTTTCATGACTTTATGTTGTGGTGTATATAATAAATTAGCATTTACTTTAAACACATGTAAAATAACATTCTCATAATAAATAGATTTTAATTTAATAACATTAAATTCCTTATACAAATTGTTTGATGAGCACCACTTGAGTATAATTTTAATTAATGTGTGTATGGTAACTTCCAATTTAGCCGAATGTATATTAAACATTCTATCAGACATGACACAACTATACTGTAACTTATAATAGATTGTGTCAGAGATTAGATTTATCTAAATTAAGTTATAAGAGCTAAAAAAGGCAAAATATGCACAACAAAAATTGTAAAATATGCATGAAAAAATTAATCAAAAACATAATTAATATGTACAAAAAAGATAAAAATTAAATGTGAATCGCACTGTTGTTAAATTAACAATAAACCAAAATAATAAGAAATAACAATAAATAACTACATTAAATAACATTGAGTTTTAAGTTTAATATTCTTTAAAATACATTGGTTATAAAAAAAAAATTTTTTAGCTAATATTAAATATGCATAGTATGAATTTTAAACTCCAATGCATACTGAAAAATATTCAACTCCTATAAATGTCTAACCCTACTGATAATGTATGTATTATATTTATATGAAAAAAGAAACTTGTAATTGGTAAAATGTTTAAATTGAATAGGTCATTAACATAAATAGTAAATACAATAGGACCAAGCACTGTACCCTGTAGTACAGTACTATACTCTGTTAAACTAACACTAAATATATTATTAGTCTTTAATAACTGTGACTTATCATTAAGATATGAAATAAATAAGTCTAAAACCTAGTCCACACTAGAGCAACATATACCAACTTTTTCAGTTGAAACATGTTGCTAATTTAAAAGTTGACAAATGTTTCTTTATGTTTCAAAAAGGTTAAAAGGGAACACTTTCCTACTGAATAATGTAAAATTGGTAACAATTAGTAACTGATTGTGACAAGTTCATCAGTGTGGACAAAATGTTCCAGATCCGTGTTCCTTAGATTATATACTATGGATAGAGCTATTGACTACATATTTGAAGCAACCATAGCTAAGGGGAGTTGGCACAAAATATATATTTTGGGCAATTGGTGGAATTTATGTAATGATATGTGACGAACCTACCATCATTGTCTGGTGGTATTAAAATGATTATACAATAAATATGATACCCATGAGCAGTAGCTCCTAGGTATCCATAGTCTAATGTGCTATCATTAAATTATGTTGCTCATTTTTTTTATCATTATATTAAATATTAATTAATTACATTTTTTCAATGAATACTTTGATTTTGGCCATGTCCTTTATAATTATTAATACATATTTTTATCATGGTACAATATATAAATTTAAAAAAAAATTAAATATGACAAAAATTCAATTGTACAATGTTTAAACCTTGATTGTTTCTGTCTATCAGTTAAAAATATTAAAAATTATTTAATTCTAGTACTATTGTATTGAAATTTTCCATTTGTGTGGACACTTTGTTGCAAGAAACATAGAGCAACACGTTTCAAATTGTTTCTATTCTAAATGTGTTGGTATGATGTGAAGAGAATGGTTTATAAATATTACTGTTTGTTTCAAAAAAACAAAAACAACTAGCAACATTTGTCAACATAGAGTAATATTGAGTGTAGACCAGACAAAACTTTTCTTCTTATACCAAATAAATTTAATTTCGTGTTAAATATTAAACATGTCAATAAATTATGAGTAAATGAATGTACCCAAATCAAACTCAAGTAGGGTTAGTATTCATATACTGATCCAATTTTTGTATTTTATTTTTTTATGCTTGCAGAAAAATTTAGGGAGTGAGACTGATTAATTATTGAAATTGGTAAAGAAAGGATACCCTAGTATATATTTTCAACAAAATGTTACAATTTGTAACAGAATATCAAATTAAATAGCTTTAATACATCTTTATAAAAAGTAAAACAAATAACATCACTAAAGAATTAAAATATTATACATTTTACTAACCTGTAAAAATGTTCTATCACAAAATCTACATGCATAGGATTTCTTGCCAGTATGGGTTCCTTGATGAATTTAGAAACAAAGTAAATTGTTGACATTCAATATTATGTTTTGCCAAATGTTCAAGAAGTCTTGATAAATGGTTAAACATAGTAGTATAAAAATCACACAAATATTCACTTCAAATGAAGCGTGTAGACACATGACATTCAAAATGTAGCATTATGTCATACTTGGAAAAATAATGAAAGCATTCTATCCTCTCTCCAGGATTATGTTAAATAACTATGTGATGGCACATTTTTTTCTCAGTACAAACACACGCACAAAAAAGACACTTGGCACATTGAAATTTACTTTTTTCTTCATGAGCATTATGTTTTGTTTTTCATTTTGAGCATGTCAGTTGATACTTCATTACAACTATCAATACCTACACTAACAACTTCCACGGATTCATTCTAAAGTGAAAAATTGTTTGAATAAAAACTACACATATTATATTTAAGTACAAAACAAAATTGTTAAGTACATCTGTATATATTTCTTTAACTGTAACAATGACACCATAATTAGAAGTAAAATTTATAACTATACATAATACCCATATTATAATATTGTATAGATTCTTGTCCCATATATTTATTGGTATTTTCCTGTAAGAAATACGAAAATAAATAAATTTTAATATGAAAATATGCATCTATATATTATAGTGATTTGTTTTGTACACATTGCAGATGTCTTATACATAATATAAAACTAATAATCAATTTATACAAGCAGGTACTGAGTAGATATTTACAAAAATGTAGGAATTATTTCTTATTTGTTTTTTTTTATCTGCTAATATTTTAAGTATTTTTATAGTTGATAATTTTTAGAGGCCTATAATTTATATATATAAAAATGAATCTCTATTTCCCTTGGTTATTATACGGGTACTACCCATACCTACAAGAATAATGTCATGAGAGCAGAGTTTTAATAGAGTCTCAAAAGTGATTTCTGTCATTGAGGAAGATAAATGCTATTTTGGTTTTATTTTTATTTTATTTCTAGATATTAGGTGTGTATTTTGTTATTTTCATTTCTAATTTGTTTACCTAACCTAACCTAACCTAACTGATACGGCGATATTGCGTAGTCCGCGTTATCGAATTATGTTATCGTTTACGTTGTATTCACTAAACAAATATTAAATACAAAATTTAGTTATAGGTACCCATCTAAAAACTGTGAGATGTACTTATACTTAAAAAAAAAATATTTTTTCTTGCTTTCTTTCTTTATTCTAGTCTATACACGTTTCTTCCTAGTAATCTTGCCCCGATTTTTACGTGTAGCAACTTTTCTAAATGCTCACGTTATCTAGATTATTCTTTATAGAGGTAACTTTTTGGCATAATACTTATTTATAAACAATACATTAATTTTTCATTGCATATAATGTATACTTTTGTACCTATATACTTTTTTCTGTAATGGGGCATGTCAGATTTTTTTTTTTTTTGAAGTGGGCAGTAAAAAAAATAGTTTGGGAACCTTTGGTCTACATTGTATAACCGATATCCACAATATTTTTGACCAGTCATCATGCATATCCGTCTAATCTGTATTTTGTAGCTCAAGACTGGCTGCCCTATATTACCTGTTTAGGTCCCTAACCGAGCTACCCGTCCACTAATTGAAAATACGATACAAATTTTATTGAATAAAGAATAAAACGTAATACTACAACCCGAGTATTCTTCGTTCCAACGAGACGGCAGCTACTCCATGTATGATCCATATTAATTTGTACAATATACATACTTCGGTCTAGTTCGGGTTTATACGCATTTAGTGAGAAGCGTGTAGGTAAGTAACAGCACGTTTATAAAGGCTGGACAAGGTTATCAATGACAAAATACTATAACTACTGCCTACTGTATCGGGATAAAATAAATACAAAATGCTTTAAAATTTATATTATTGTTTTTGACTTATTACATTCGAAATTAATGTTGAAAAGAATAATTTTGTAGATTTCGTAGCAACGTAGTTACTGCGACAGTTGACAGAGTAGAGCAACGCCTCTCATTATCCAATGGCTCGGTTGTTTTGTCGTGGGTAAATGCATACTGACGACAAAGTTTGTGGAGTGCCCTGTAGTGGATAACGTACCCTTTCTTTCGGTAGTTTTGTACATTGGACACAAATACACAGTGTCCAATTTCAAATTTGTTTTTTTTATCGGTAATATGTGAATGATCGGCATTGAATCGAAAAGTTGTTTCGGTCTGGACTCTTTAAGACTCGCGTTTCTGTTACTCCACCGGGCTCCGTCCAAAAATAGTCCGTAGACGTAAACCCCGTTTTCGGGGGGCAAACTTATTCTCGTTTCTCTATCCATTACCTATAATAACAAAATATTTTGTAACATTATAAATTTTAATTAATATAACTTGAACATTTTCCAAATAGGATAAAATCATTCTTTTAAGATTTTTATTTTTTCAGCCATTTTAGGGCTCCGTTATGTTTTAGAAAATAATTGGCTAAACATTAGAAAACAGAATGTAAATACGCAAAAAATAAATCTCTAAAATTTACAATACTCCATAAAATAATACCAACAAAAAGTAATATTAAGTGAAAACAAATATACAAACAATTATTTTCCACATTGCAGTTACCAGAAAATGAACTGATTGACATAAAGTAAATATCTTTCTCCCGAGGTAAAATATTTTAAATGAAATTTTAATTGAATTATTAAAATACAGTAGTCTCACTTATCCGGTCATCGCTAGTCTGGACTTCTGGATAATCTGGACAATTTATGTTTCGTACTTATACATTAATAGGTACTTATGTAAACATACATATACATAAATACCTATTGTATGAAAATGATTTATATAAACCAATATTGTGTTATTTCTCATTATTATCGTTTTTTGTTGTTAATCGTTGTTTCGTTTAGTGGTAATCATGTATTCGTGTAGATCGTTTAGCATAAACGTTTATGTTTTCATTCTACGCTTATAAAAACAACGTAAAATAACAACTACGGTTAAACATAAGAAAGTGACTGTAACAATGGAACAAAAACTCCGTTTAATACGGATTTTCAATAATCTGGATAGAATCCAGTCCCATCAAGTCCGGATCAAAGGGATTCTACTGTATAATTAAATTAGTTTTTAAATTTTGTCTTAAAAATTAAATTACTTTATTTTTATTGTTGTAAATATTATATTGTAATATGATATATTTGCATGTGGGAACTGTGAATATGAATTCCGTAAATAAATAAATAAATAAAAATATAATAAATATGGTTATGTTGGTGTTATTTTAAATATGTGGGCAAATTTGGAAGGTAATCAGAATTTAAAAAAAAAAAAACAAATTTATGACTAATAACGTATGCGTGGTATGAAATTATAGCATTATAATAATATGCACATATATTTTATTTTTGCAAAAATATCACACAACCCAATTGGCGATTATAAATTTTTTAAAAAGTATACTATATACCTTATAATCGAATGTTAACATATCTATGGGAATTTTAAACTTTCTTGCAAAATTTTGTTGAAATCCAGTTAGAAACGCTTGTGTAAAATAAAATCCGGAAATCCAAAACGAATTTGGAATGCCCTTAATGTACCATTTCTAAACAAAAATAATGACAAGTTTAAATATAATTAGACATTTTTAAATATTTTGTCATTGTTATTTATAATATTATCGCTTGAATGTTAAAAAAAAAAAAGAGGGATGTATTGGTTTTATTATGTGTATTTTTTTTTCTATCTATAGTCAATTTTCTATCAGAAATCTTGCTCCAATGTTATAGATTATAGTACTTTTCCTGACATATAATTTTCTTTTATTTGTACATGAGTGAAGTAATTTTTTGGTTTTTCAAGGGGTTTTCATAATAATTGGGAAAAAACCCGTATTTGACAATGGGTATATAAACCCTAGGATGACAAAGAGAGTGTATAACCATTGGACTACGACAAACATTATTTAAAAAAGAAAGTACAGAGTTATTTAACACAATATATAATATCCGCATAATATCAGAACTTCAAAAAGCTATAATTCCATTCCTTAGTCAGTCCACTTAATTCTGACATTACCATAGTTCTTAAACCGGAAATATACATATGTTCAAAACAAAAAATTAAATTTGTTCCACATAATTTTTTACTCAAACAATTTTCATCAAAATTTGATATTAAAATTCCTTTGTAAAAAAAATACTACATTAAACTCAATGTTTTTTTTTTTTTTTTGACCACAAAGTAAGAATTTTACTGAACTTCTTATTAAATTGTCAAGCATTTCTGTTAAGTCTAACAATTTTACCACATAGTACATACCGAATAAAAATTACGTATAAAACTCGCAAAATTAAAATGTCCATAAATAATTTATAAGCTTACATTTTTTGAAAACTTTACCACGTCTAGAAAAAGTAAATGTAAGGTTTTTTTCCAAATTTTAAATCCGTAAAATCGATACGAATATTTTTAACTGAATTTTAACAATAGTATTACAATTTTTATAAAAAGCCTATAAATGGCCCAAATGTATTGAAAATTTTACTACGTCTAGAAAAGACAAATATAAGTTTTCTGTCCAAATTTTAAGTTTTTACGAATACTTTTAAATGAATTACAAAAAATAACAAAATCGATAAATAATAAAAGCATCATTTTCGTAAATTCCAGTTTTTCTTACGTTTTATCCTGGTTTTTCCCAGATATTACGAAAATCGCTTAGAAGACCAAAAAATGGCTTCCTAAAAATACCTTTTGGACAACATTCCCTTTCAGAAATAGTGCGGTGCGTATTTATCTGAGTAAGATTTTTGGTAAAACTTTGGTACACAGGATAAAAGAAAGAAAAATAAACATCTTACCAATACATTCTTCGCTACATTCAGAATGTAAAACAAACAGTTGATTACTAGCATTACATATGATTTTGATAATTTTCAAAAAAAATTATTATCACGGACTGTTGAAGAACAAATTAATTATAACTTACTATCAAAATTACTTTCAACAAGACTAACTACCACCAATACCTATATAAATAATCATATGTATGTTCGTCGCAACCATTTGACCGACAGGCTTGCTCAAGCCCCACCAACCCCAGGCCACCATCGATCGTAAACGCCACTTCCGTAAATAGGTAAACAACCGACGAGGCATGGGCAAGTGCAGTTGATATTACTGACTTGAGTAAAGGTGGCAGTTTTACTAAACAAGTTGAAAATGTTTATGACAAGGAAGTGGCTTATTATAAAAATGATAGGACACTATTTGGCAAATGTAAATATTGACGATTCTTTAAAGTTTGATATTTTATGTAATCCATGGGTACCATCTATTTCATATAATTTTAAAAATGATCTAAAATCGGAAAATGATCGTCCATTTAGACACATATGGTTGGAAGAGAATAATACGTGGCTATCATCTTCGGCTATTGGAGGTGTAAAAGGAGCTTTTTGTCGAGTATGTGTATTATTTAAGCCAAATGTTCACAGAGATATACAAGGAGGGTTTATAAAAAAAACCATTTACAAAATATAAAAATTTCCATGCTTGTTGTCGATCACATCTATCTTCACAATGGCATCTTGAGTCTACAACACGAGCAAATGATTTTTTAAATGTTATGAAGGGTAACAAATGAAATATTTTAGAACAGACAAATTCAGGGTTACGAAAACAAATAGAATATAATAGACAAAAATTAAAACCAATAATTTCAAGCATTTTGTTTTGTGCAACTCATGATCTTTCTCTACGGGGAAAAACATCAACTTCAGGCATATTTAACGATCTTTTACTTTTTCGGATTGAATCGGGTGATGAATTATTACAAAAACATGTATCGGAGAATGCGGGAAATGCCAAATATACATCACCTCGAATTCAAAATGAAATTATTTCTATATGCGGAAAGTTAATTAAAAATGATATAGTTAATTTAGCTAACGCGGCTAATGCTTTTTCTGTTATTGCTGACGAAACTGCAGATATTTCTGGAACAGAACAATTGTCAATAGGAATTCGATTTTTAGACAAACACTCAAATCCACCAAAAATTAGAGAAGAATTTTTAGGATTTACTCCATTAGAAAAATTAAATGCTCAATCCGTAGCTACAAACATTATATCATTTATGACTGACTGTGGTTTAAATTTAAACAAACTATATGGGCAAGGATATGATGGTTGTGCTACAATGGCCGGACAAGAAGGCGGTGTTAGTAAATTAATTCGTGATAAATACACCAAAGCGTTATTTTTTCATTGTTCTAATCACAGGTTAAATTTAGTTATAAATGATTTAAATAAAATAATGATTATTCGTAATACTACTGGAACTATAAAAGATATAATAAGATGTTTCCGCGAAAGTATGCTTAGACGAAAACTCATACCTAACATACCACTATTTTGTGAAACACGCTTGTCGTCTAAATATAAAAGTGTAAGAATATTTTCAGAACATTTTATTTCAATAATGACAAGTTTAAAATCATAATCAAATAATGAAGTACATTCAAATTCCAATACGAGGCAACGAGCTCATTACTTATATTCTGCAGCCTCAAGTTCATCATTCTTAATTTCTATGATAACTATGGCGAAGTACAGTGCTATTTTAGAACCTCTGACAAATATATTACAAGGTGTGTCAGTAGATCTGTATAAAGTCAGCGAGCATATTAGTTCATTACTAGTATTGTTGGATAATCATCGAAATGACGCTGATAACATTTTCCAAACGTTATATAACAAAGCGATCGCCATTGATTTAGATATTGTTATTACATGTCCGAGAACAGTAAAAAAACAGTCACTAAAAGCGAACTATGAAACTGAGAGTTGTGAAGATTATTACCGAGTATCAATTTTTATACCATATATNGGTAAAATCTTTTTATAACATTAATTATGGACATACGGAACTTTTTTAAGAAACCTAAATTAAACGATAGTCTTAATGGATCGTTAGATAAAACAAAAAGTCTGACTATAGAGACTAATTCCACAAGTGCAGTTTATATTACTGACTTGAGTAAAGGTGGCAGTTTTACTGAACAAGTTGAAAATGTAGTTTCCAAGTATAGCTGTTGCTTTGGAAATATTTTTGTCTCTTCCGGCTACAAGCTGTACAGCAGAACGTTCTTTTAGTACACTAAGGCGTGTTAAGACATGGTTACGATCAACGATGGATGATGATAGACTGAGTGGAATATGCATGTTGAGTGTTCATAGAGAAAAAGTAAATTCAGATAAAGAAAAATTTATTGAAAATGCACTGACACAATTTNAATATTTTTGTCTCTTCCGGCTACAAACTGTACAGCAGAACGTTCTTTTAGTACATTAAGGCGTGTTAAGACATGGTTACGATCAACGATGGGTGATGATAGATTGAGTGGAATATGCATGTTGAGTGTTCATAGAGAAAAAGTAAACTCAGATAAAGAAAAATTTATTGAAAATGCACTGACACAATTTGGTAGAGAATGTCCACGGAGATTGAAATTTATATTTAATGAAAAAGACTAATGTATTATAATAATATCTAATTGTAATGTTTTAATTGTAATAATAAAAATTTAATAAACGCATATATTGTTTTTTTTTTTTGATGATATCAATATAAAAATAATACATTCCTTTCTACACTCCGAATCTAAAAAAAGAATTATAGAAAATTAGAGGATGATGTTAATTTTAATTAATGTACAATTATTATTTTAATATCATAAAATTGACTCGCCTGTAAGAACGCCAGACGTTGTATGAAATCTTTTATATAGCTTCCCAATGGCTTCAGTGATGGATACGAACTATTAGCCCACACCATTGGGATTTTGCCAATTATAATACTGGTGTACACTTCTTCCAGTTCGTTAGACATTAGAATTAAACCTAAATGAAAAATATATAATTCGTATAGCGTATACAAGCTTACCTATTAAACATATAATATTGTTATACAAGTTTCAGATTATTTTAAATAATTTCTAGGAGCGTTATTTCATATGTTTTTAAGGGATGCAAAACCTATAGTGAAAATTAAAATCCACTCATATAGCATATGCACAAAATCAAGAATTTTCATACTTCCTACTCGATTTTTAAATTATGACATACTTACTTATTCAAATTTATAATAGAATTAAAAACATATTTTAAATTAATTTCAATATTGATTATTTATTTTATGTTAAACTAAAATACACATAAATTACATTCTTAATAAGTTGATTATCAGAAAAACAACTTATACTATACTTATACAATCTATACTACAATAAACATATAAGTTAAAACAAGATTATATACGTAGTATGTCGTTTGCACTTATCTTATATTATCTTAAATTATTTAAATAAATATAATTTAATTACGATTAGGTACCTAATAGCTATAATCTGAATTTTAAACAATAAAAAGACGTCCTAGGATAATAGGAACAGGTGCAGTCATTGTTATAGGAAATTCAATGTGTACCTGTAAGCAGCGATAAACCATTACATACGAAAAATCGATTTTGAGCTGAGTTCAGTTGATAGTGATGCTCTATCAACAATATGTATATCATATTATAGTAAAATAATTAAATTGGCTTTTTATATTTTCTTTAATAATATTTGTTGTATCGATTTTTCCAGTTTTCCATGTCTTATTCCAAGATTTCACGTTTGTCTGCAAACTCTTGTGAAAATCCAAAAATTATCTCTTTATATTACTTTCAAAATCAAATTTCCTTTTATAAACATTTTTATCATTATCAATTGGAGCCAAATTGCTGATAAAAGAGTTCTGCACAGAAAAAAAATTGTAATATGTTTAACTAATACCTACATTTCTTATATTTTACCGATTTATCCTCAGTTTTTTTTTTTTAGATTTTCTTATTTCCTAGGGAAATTCTTGGGAAAAACTAAGAATAACCTTTCTAAAGAACTCTTTAATACACTAGTGTTAGTGAGTAATAATCTAAGCCATTTTTGAGCTATTTATAGAAATTTAAATTTTGCGAGTTTTATACGTAATTTTTATACCGTATGTACTATGTGGTAAAATTGTTAAACTCAACAGAAATGCTTGAGAATTTAACGGGATGTTCAGTATGAGTCTTACTTTGTGGTAAAAAAAAAATAAAAACATTGAGTTTAATGAATTTTTTTTTTTATAAGAGAATTTTAATATCAAATTTTGACGAAAATTGTTTAAGTAAAAAATTATGTTGAACAAATCTATTTTTCAATATTTTTTTTTTTGAACATATGTATATTTTCGATTTAAGAAAGATGGTGAAGTCAGAATTAGGTGGTATGACTAATTTTCGAAATTATAGCTTTTTGAAGTTCTGATATTATGCGGATACTATGATATGTTGTATTAAAAAACTAAATGCGTATTGTTTTGAGTATGTTTGTCGTAGCAGAACATAAATACCTACTTTTATCTTAGGGTTCACGAGTTCCAACCCGTGTTTCGAAAAAAATTGTATTGCACTTATTTTTTCCCTTTTACCTAAATAGAGAAAAAAAACAAACGCATTTAAAGTGTACCTAAAGACCCAGCTGTCGCTTTTTCGGATTATTTTAACTGAAAAATACCCCTTAATTTGTTGTGCAAACTTTTCTACCAGAAATTTTGCTCCGATATATCGAATGTACCTTATTTTCTAAAAGTAAATTTCATCTCTATGGTAATATAAGTTAATTTTTTAATTTTTCTAGGAGTTTTATCAACAAATGTGAAAAACTGGAAAATGTACGAAATGTAGATATTAGTTAAAAAATATGTTGGCCTTCATTTTTCCAGTGAAAAAATTTTTTATCGGTAATTATGCTCTGATTTACAATGATAGCACTTTTTCCGAAAGAAAATATGTCTGGGAAAGTACTTTAGGTAGGTCATTTTTCGGTTTTACCAAGAGTTTTCCTAGTAAATGTGAAAAACCAGAATAAAACATTGGAAAATCGGGGAAAATGCAGGAAAAATAGGAAAATCGATACAATATTAAATAAATATTATTAAAGAAAATATAGAATGCCTATTTAATTATTTTACCATAATGTGACATATTTATTGTTGACATAGCATCACTATAAACTGATCTGCGCTCAGAATCGTTATTTCGTTAGCAATGGTTCTTCGTTATTTACAGATATACATTAAACCACCTATAACAGTGGCTGAACCCGTCTCCATTATCCTAGGACGGCTTTTAGATTCTGAGTGGAATTCTTTGGTTATGGTTTTACAAAAATGTTTTTTTTTTATTTTGTGGACAGAATTAAAATTGCAGTTTTCTAAAAAGAAATTTCACTGAAGAGGTACTTTAAAAAGGTCATTTTTCGATATTTCCAGAGTTTTCTAAACAATTATAGAAAATCTAAAAGAAAAAAACACGGGAAAATGTAAGAAATGTAGGTATTAGTTAAAAATATTACAGCCTTTTTTTTTCCTGTGGACAATTTTTCTACCAACAATTTTGCTCCAATTTTTAATGACAGTAATATTTCTAAAAGGAAATTTCACTAGGTATTTTAGAGAGGTCGTTTTTAGATTTTCTCCAGAGTTTTTCAGCAAATGTGAAAAACTGAGCAAAAATATAAGAAAACCTGGAAAAACATAGAAAAACCGAGGAAATCGGTACAAAATTAAAGAAATATTTCTAAAGAAGATATATAGAGCCTATTTAATTATTTTACTATAATATAGCGTTTTATGTTGACAATGCATCACTATCGACAAGTAATGGTTTATCGTTCCTTATAGATACATAAAATTACTGTCTGTATCCTACCTTTTCAACTTCCCATTTACACAAGTGGCTGCACCCGTTCCTATTATCTTACCTGAACTTATGCTTATGCATATACTTTTTTAACCTAACCTACGAGAAAATGTGCTATCATTGTAAATTTGAGCAAAATTGCTGGTAGAAAAGTTATGTTTAGAATAAAAAGCCATAATATGTCTTTAATAATACCTATATTTAGTACATTTTCCTTTTTACGACATTTTATTCTAGTTTTCCTAGATTTTATGAAAACCGTTTGGTAAATTAAAAATGTGACCTCTCAGAGTACTATTATTACTATTTGGACAATATTTCCTTTTAGAAATAGTGTCGCGCTAAATATCGGAGCATGATTTCTGGTAGAATTTTTGTATACAATATAAAAAAAAACAAAAATATATATATATACATCTCTATAAAACCAATCCATTCCTCGTTACACACAGAATCTAAAACAACAATTTTCGGAATAGTAAAATATCGAGTTGTATTAGTATTTGTCTTGTGCGTAATATAGGTATCCGCATCTTAAAAATTTCGACCATCTAGTTGAGTTTAGGGCAAATAGAAAAAAGAAAGAGTTTTGACTTATACCTCTATCGAATAATTATGTTAATATTTTTATTTTTTTATAAGTTATTAATCGTTAAAATTAAAAGAAATTAAATTGAATTAAAACATGCATTTATCGAACATAGAAATAAAAATATTAAAAAAATAATAATTTGATCAAAGCATTATAAATAATTTTAATAAAACCTTTAATAGGTCTCTTTGCTCTAAACTCAACCGGGAAGTGATAACATAATCATTGAATTGCAGAATACCAACATTTTTTTCTTTATTATGCGTAAGACAGAAAAAACAAATTATGTATAGAGGTCCCTGCTTAAATTAATTATTAGAGTAAATCCTAATATATTAGTTTCTGACCTTTTATGGCTCTCTGTATGTTGGTCAGAGAAGATTTGATAACGGTCAATAATCTATTGAACCGACCCATTTCTTGTACAAGAACTGTGTTCATCGACTGGTGATAGGTCGTCGGAAATTTTTCAAGAGCGAGAATAGTGTCAAAATGTTTCGGCAATTTACCGAGCACGTCCGCTGCAAATGTTATAACCATTTCTTCAGCTGATATTCCTCCTGTATTTGTTACCGTTGAATTCTAAAATTGAAAGTATAGAGTAATTCGACAAATTAAATCTTTAAATTTAAATGGTGTTTGTGTTAGTAAAAATAGTATTGACTAAAGGGTTTTCGCAAATATTTAAATACGTAGTAGTATTATATGTTTTTACTATCAACATGGTTCCGCGTTGAACTATTTAAGTTATTTAAATTTTAAACAAAAATAAAATTGTTACATTAACACGACATATAATTACTTCATTATTAAATAACGTTATTCGTATAACTATAAAATCGCTATTAATTCAAAATTACTTGTGTATTGAGAATTGAAGTGAGGAGTAATTCACTTTCTTGGTACTCTTTGATGAGATCAGCGTTCTCATGCAATCCAAAAGTTTCAGGTTGTGTAACCGCTGGCAATTTTTGAATGTGCTCTACGAATTCAATGTGTTCTTTCAAATCAGGACAGTAATAAATCCCTATCGGATTACACAAAGCCGTGTTTATATAGCATTACAAATGTATAATCATCCGTTATATGGTTTTTTCTTACCAGCTTTATCGAATTTAAAATCGTTTATTTTAATAATAGCTTTCGTGTAAAATTTGTTAAGACACGTGTTCAACAAACGGCGATCCCAATCGTCCGTTACGCGCCCACCATAATTGCATTCGCCTGTGAGATATCGTAGAGCTTCGAATTGAACATCCGGATATTCGTTTAGAAAGTTCTGTAATTGTACAACACTGATTCTGAGGTCAGAATCGTTGAATTCGTATAATCGGTTCCATCCAATCGGACCGTAATTACGACGTTCTTGAATTAAACCGTGAAAGAAGCACAAACCGAAAATCATTTTCTTAAAGTTGCTACTTTGGTTACTACAACCTTCGAAAAATTCTTCATTCCCAATAGGATCGCTTGTATATGATCTATAAGAAAAAAAAATATTTAGATATTAAATATAAAACAACTATGTAAACATATCGATGTAATAATATTATAGGTACTTTATTATATTAGCACGGAGTCCTTTTGGTGGTTCGTTAGTCATCTTAACACTATTTTGAAGTACGGAGACGGGAAAATATTCTACAGGATAAGACGTTAACCAAAGTCTAAACTCAGAATTAGTAAATTCTACCGAAAATTGTTCACATATCTAAATATACAATAATATCCATATCATAATGATTAATGTTGTGCATATTTTAAATTAAATAAATAGTTTAAAAATAAATGTTAAGATTAAATTATAGTTGATATATTATATTTATTGAGATTAATTTTGTTATTATATAAGAATAGGTCTACTTTTTCGAGTTCAGGCATCCAACTTTTGGCTAAATGGCAATTTTGCAACAGTACCCAGTTTCCCGAATTCTTTCCATCTTCGATTAATTGAGAAGCTATCGGACCTTGACCTTGACCTAAAGACAATGCTGTTAAACGAGCACCAAAACCCTTGAAATAAAATTAACCACGTTTAGTTGTTAAGTAGGTTAATCGTTCAGTGATTTACTAATGTTTCATTAAATAATCAGTAAAATGTATATTATTGAAATTAATTTACCATTTTTTCGGTAAATTCTAATAGTACTGCAGTAGGATCAGCACCCGGGGTTAATATAAATACTAAAGGAGATGCACAATTTGAACTTGCAAAAGATGCTCCTAAATCAAACGGCGGAGGTTCAATAAATTTCTTTTCCAAAATCGACTCGTCTATGAAAACAATTTTACCAACATATTTAGCAAAATAAAAAAAACGAAGTAAAACTCTTCATACTTGCTATAAAGTGCTTAACTGCTGGTAATATTTTGTCGTATCTAATGATTCGTATCAAAAGACATTTTTGAAAATAATTCAATTTTTTATCCCAAGGTTCTGGAAATGCAGTAAAATATGGTGTAGGTGAATCGTAAATTTCTTTCCATTCACTTTCGTTGTTCTCCAAATCAACTCTTACACCCTTTAATTTAAACGTTGTAGATTAAATTAATTTATCTAATACGATGATAAGGTAATATTAATTATTAATCATTATGTTTAATTTTTATTCAAATATTAATAAGTACTTTTAATATACTATTACTTTAATTTTTTAAATGAACTTTTAAAAAAATATGTCCTAGAATAGTGGGGACGGATGCAGCCACTGTTATAATTAAATATATACCAGAAAGCAACAATAAACCATTGCTTACGAAAAAACGATTCTGAGTGGAGTACAGTTGATAGTGACGCTTTGTTAATAATATATATGTCATTTTTAGTAAAATAATTAAATAGTTTTTATATATTTTCTTTAATAATATATTTTTGATGTTGTACCGATTTTCCCAGTTTTTCTTCGTTTTTTCTGGTTTTCATGTTTTATCCAGGTTTTTACATTTGATGAGAAAACTCTTGGGAAAATCGAAAAATGACCTCTCTAAAGTACCTACCAAGCAAAATTGTCTTTTAGAAAAATTGCTATCATTAAAAGTTGGAGCAAAATTGCTGGTAGAAAAATTATGTACATAAGAAAAGAAGGAAGAAATATTTTTTCACTAATACCTACATTTCTTATATATTCCCAGTTTTTTTCGGTTTTTCAAATTTGATTTAAAAACTCCTAAGAAAATCGAAAAATTATCTCTCTAAAGTACCTTCCCCTGCCGATTTCTTTTCAGAAAAAGTACTAAACGTAGAAATCCGAGCAAATCTCCTAGTAGAAAAGTTGCAAACAGATAAAAAAAAAAATAAACATCTTTGTAAAACCATAATTTTCTTCGTTCCACTCAGAATCTAAAATAAATTGTAACCTTTACTTAATCGTATATCATATTTTTTAGGTTTTTTTGACATTCAACATAAATTAGTTTAAACATTTACTAATAGATTTAATGATTGTTATTTCTAATTAAAAAATAAATGATCTAAATAGATTATCGATAAAAAGGGGTTATCGGTCCGCGATCATTTTCTAACGACCTATGAAAATGCGTTCGATTTTTTGATGTACGACAAATTTTTTATCGTCTGTTGCGAATAGTAATGACGAGAACACGTCGCCTACATACAACGTTATCCATTTAAATGGGTACTATATTTATTTATTTATAGTAGGGCATGTAAAAGCACTACATAGTTTGTATATCATGATACATAAAGTTAAAATGAAAAATTGAAATTACAACATGGAATATAATCTAACTGTGATAAACAAATATTATTAAAATTTACATTTAGTACATAATAAAATATAAAAGAATATAATAAAACTATGGTAAGTAATTAATACAAATAAAAGTGGTTGTTTTTAAATCCTAGGATTTAAAGTTCTAATTTCAATGAAACTTCCAATGTTAGGTGTTTGGGAAATCCGATAGTACTTTCTACTCTCTTCCAACCCAAACTTAAAAGTGGAATATCTCGTCAATAGCTCGATGAAAACCAAAAATGTCAACACTAAAATATATTTTTAACTAATATTCAAAAGTAAGCAGTTATTTTACCACCAAAATTAAGAGTAACAAAAAATAACATAAATATAAAATTATAGAGCTACTTGTTCCTTAAATATTCTAGAAAAGAAATTCCGAAAAAATTTAATATATTCCGGAATAATGAGTGTACCCACTTAAATGGGTCATTTTCTATACAAACTTGTCTTCTTTAATGCCGTTTTCGAGGAATATACCCATTATTTTCCGTATTTTAATGAAAAAACACATTTCTTCCGTTTTGGTATTTCAGATAATTTTACTTAATCTTTTCATTTAAGTTTTAAAAGTTATATGAGATAAGTATTGTGATTTTATTCTTTATACACACTAGTTATATTAATGCATTAGTTTTAAAGTTTTGTCCAAATTTGGCCGAGATTTAACATACATAAAACAATGGCCTCGAAGTGATAGGTGTTGATGTGGAAAATCGGAATGTCTTTATTTTCAAATAAACCACCGTGAATGATACGTTTTTTGACTCAAGAAACGTACTAATAAATAGGTACTAAAAAATAAATTATACTCACTTTGAATTTTGGTAGATTTCTGAGTCTGCAGAGTTCATCCCAGCTTTTATCTTGCATCCAACTAATCTTATTTTTTAAAGGATTATCTAAGTTTATTCCACCTGTCAAAAAAAATTGCCATTCTTCTTGATTGATATCTGTAGATAATTTGACGGCCATGATTAATGAAAACAATAATTTATCCTACACAAATCATACCAATCGTTCATTAAAATATATTCGAGTATTTAAAATAATAATAATTTGTAATAATTACTTTCTCGAATAAACTTCTGCAAATATTGATATACAAAGAATAAGTGAAATACTTAATTAGCGATTCCGTACGTTCTTCAATTATTTCGGATTTAGCACTTTTTTCTATGGCCGAAACGAATAAATTTATAAACCATGTTAATGAATATTGATACATGGGATCAATGTTTGTCAACGAGTCAATTATGAAAAATAGTATTGTTGAATAAGCGGCAACTACTTGGTATTGACGTCTAGTTTTATCAATTGTCTCTTCTGTAGTTTTGGCCTCTGCTTGTTTAACTCCAATTTCGTTGGCCAGGATTTTCGATGAACTTAATATATTCACTGCTCCTTCGTCATCTAGTATATTACCCTCAGAGGAACTTAGCACTTGCAAAATTTTATCTTCAATATCTTTTAATGATCTAAAAATATAAGAGTTAACTATCATAATACGTATTTAAAGTTTGTATATGATATGGTAAAAATACAAATACCGGTGAATCTAGGATTAATCAGTAAAGGTTAGGTTAGGTTAAGATTCTATGTTAATTTTCATATATTATATTCTAACATGACGAGTCTTACTGCTGTCAATAATCTAATGTATAAACATATTACTGATTCTTGTATTTTATCATTCAATAGTGTTTTCTGACTATCTACCTTACCTTACCTAAATGTAATCTGTAATAAGTAAAATGTTCTGAAAACCTTTTAATGTTTTGTTAAATGTGCATAAGTTACACAAATTCAAGCAAAGTTCACTTTATTAAATTGTTATTTTCAGATTAAATGCTGGTTTTTTTAGTAGTTCTTTACGATATTATGTAGAAACAACAACAGGTTATAGGTCCAAACATGATGAAGAGAACAGATGAAAATCATGGGATTACACAGTTTACCTGTACTAATTTTTCAAATTGGAAATTTAAAGTAGAATCAACAGTCCTTGAAAAATTTAGAGTAAGAGTTGAATTCACAAATATAAAACTTGGTGCAACTCAAAAAGAAGAGTTCATAAAATGGCGAAAAAATTACAGAAAATGCAAGTCTTTAATTGTATAATGCGTCGCTGACAGCTATTTGGAGAATGTGGCAATTGATAAAGAAACTAAGAAGGAAATCTAAAACTCGTTAGATCAGACTATTGAATATAAAGATGTTATTAATCAACTCTATTTAAGAAGACTTACTTAAACTTAAGTTTGAAAATAGCATAAGAAAATAAATTAAAATCAGCTGGAGTGAAATTGGAAATACTGTTTGAAGAAGATACTGTTTGCCATTTTTTTGTTAACAATCTCGGGAATATTTAAAAATTGGGTTACTGACATAGAGACACTTTCAATTAACATTGACAATTTAATTTTTCAAAGGTCAATTGTTGGATGAAGAATAAAAACAAGAAAATACAAGTGACGAGCCACAACCAATAATAATGTTTTGTTGTTTAATTTTTGTAGTAATGAAATTTGTTTAAAAAAATGTGAAGAAATGCAGCATTCGCAGCTGCTTACCTAGAAAATCTACTACCAATACATAATAATCAGGAGCTGATGGTCATGAAGAAGACTACAGAAAAGTGAGCACTCACCAGGCTAGCGGGCCGTGAAATGGGCAATTCCAGAAAATTTTATACTTGCACGGAAATTTTCCCTTATTTCTATCATTATGAAAACTACTTAAAATACTAAATTAAAAAATGACGTATTTATAAAGTATAACACAGATATAATTTCTTTCAGAAAAAATATAACAATTGAAAATTGGAGCAAGGTTTCTGGTGGAAAAGTTGTTCAAAGATCGATGTAAAGTCAATATATTCCTCGCTATCAGGGACTGGTACCTTCTGGTTTTCACGGTTCCCGTACTTAGTTTTTTAAGAAGTTCTGGTTCCGGTTTCAGTTTTAGAAAATTGATTTTAGAGTTTAAGTTAGGGTTCTAGTAAAACCAGTAGGTTTTTAAATGTTCTACATAGGTACATTAAAATATTAAAATAATATTTATCATACATAAAAAGACGGATATACTTCGTATGCGGGTGCAGCCACTGTTGTAGGTGGGAGTGGGAAGGTAGGGCACCGAAAGGAATTTAATGTATATCTGTAAGCAATGATAAACATTCGATAACAAAAAAAAAACGATACTGAGCGCAGTTCAGTTGATAGTAATGCTTTGTCAACAATATATCGATATAACATGTCATATTATAGTAAAATAATTAAATAAATAGGCATTATTTTCTCTATTATATTTGTTAATAATATTGTACCGATTTTCTATATTTTCCTGCATTTTTCCCGGTTTTCCCATTTTTTCCTAGGTTTTTCACATTTTTTGGGAAAACTTGGGAAAATCGAAAAATAACCTCCCTAAAGTACTTCTCCAGTTAGATTTCCTTTAAGAAAAACCGCGATCATTGTAAATCAGAGTGAAATTGCTGGTAGAAAAGTTGTATACAGAAAAAAAAAACATTATATTTTTTTTACTAATATCTACATTTTCCGTTTTTCTGACATTTTATCCAGGTTTTCCCAGATATTATGAAAACCGCTTTAAAAATAATAATGTATTGTTGTAATTTATAAATATCTATAGATTATGTTTATCTTAACTTTAATATACAAAAATAGAACTCATAAGTCATAATATTACTTATCATGATTTTTCAAGAAATAAACAGCTCTAAACAAAAATAAAAATAGTTTATCAAATCAGTCGTATTTTAATCTGCGGTGTAAAAATTTTAGCCGATAAATTAAGCATAAGCAACTGAGGAAAAAACAATAATTTATCATTGTATCAGTTCCCAATATTTTAATGGTTTTCGGGTTCTAGAACCGGTTCTTTTCGGTTGGTTTCTTGTCACTGCTCGCTATGCTGCAAATCTAAAATATGACTAAATGATTCATCGATACTCGTCCTTTTTCCGAAACATTTTTTTTTGATCCCAGAGAACAAGGGATTAATTAAATTTTGTATTATTTTCAATACAAGAAAATTAAATTTTTAAAAACATAAAATAGGTAATGCACTACATACATTAATTTTTAAATTGCACACTTATGCCATTTAGGCGATAAAATAAAAATAATTTAATTAAATAAAATAAAATTATATAAAAAAAAAATTCTAACACCAAATAACTGAAGTCATTCCCTGTGAACAAAGATATAAAATATTAGTAATTATTAAGATTGTCGTATAACCTAGCATTTTCAGCTCCTTGTATTATAAGTCTATTCTTTTCCGCTTCCAAATCGGGGCGATCTTTAGCAACGACGACACCTAATAATTGATCTTCGAACCCGATTGGTGTGATTACAAAGTTTAGTAGAACTACTTTAACTGCTATATCTGGTAAGTAGTGAGGATTCTTTAGCTTCGTTGTAATGTAAAGCCTAAATATTAGTCAATATTAAACATAAATAATATACAAAAAAAAAAAATGTATAAACTTATAACCAGGATTCGAAATTTAGATAAAGTACTTAAAATTAACAAAACTTCATTAAAACTATAAAAAAATATATAGTTAATAAAACAAAAAATACTATTTAAAGCATTTTTTTCTTCTTTGTTAACTTAACGCTAATCCAGCGCTAACATCAATATCTATATTTTTGATACCCTGTCTGTGAGGATACATTCTGGTCTATTATTTGTTAATCTTTAATTATGTCAATTCATTGGGTTTGGGTCGTTCTTAATTTTAGGGCCTTTTCTTTTATATATTTTGATCAATAATACATTTTTAGTTATCGGACCATTCACTCTTCTTGGATACCCAAAAATTTCTAGCCGTTTTCGTTAAATAAATAAGAACATATGTGGTCTATTACATAATCTTTTAATTGCTTATTCTTTCATATATCCGTATTTCATATAGCATTCATAAATTTCTGCTTGATTTCATTTATTGCCACATATCATGTGCATACCCTAACATAACTTGATTATTACTTATCATCCTTCTATCACTATTAGTGTCCCTTATTATTTTTAGACAGTAATGTTAATTAATGTGAGTGAAAGGGCGCCCTTTTTTTTTTAGACGAGATGTAATGTCAAAAAATATAAGATGCCTTGTGAATAGTGTGCATGTTTGTGCACAACAGTGTGCACACTGCATGTTTTTTTATAGAAGCCTTTTTTTCTTAAGTTTACATATTTTTTAGACATTCCCAAAATTACTTAGTTAATTACATAATTACTAATCAGTACTTTTTAAAGCTTCTCTCTATCTCTATTATCATATATTTACTATTAATCCATGAAAACTAGATTCAGATCCTTTTTGAATTCGTAATATTTTGTCATTACTTGTTATAGTTTGAATATATATGATCATTGGTTAGTTGTAGATTTTTCTCGCCTAAATCTATATTAATAATTCGATATACGGGTTTATTATTTCTAATAACAGTGATAACAGAATTTTGTATTTATGTATCCAGTATTAAGGATTCTACTTGGTAGGATTAAATATTAGGCATACTATTGCAATTTTTTATTTTTCTGAGATGGTCTCAGTTTTCCAAATTATTGTCAAATTCTTTGATTTTGCTTATTAATATTAACTCTTTTTTTTATTGTGATTCTAACATTATGTCGTTTTATCCTGGTATATTAATATTATTAAGCCTCCTAACTAAATATTCAATTTGTTTAAATTTTGGGGTATCTCTATATCTACTTTGTTTTCTGTTTGGTAGTCTATATTTAGATCTAATTCATGTCATGTTGTCCACTAAAGGGGTATTCGAAATAGTTTTTAAAAATACTATCATTCATTAACTATATTCCTTGTTTACGGCTTAAAACCAACTTTTATTTTTCTGGTCATTTTGAACAATTACTTTATGTTGTATTTATTAATATCTAAATCTTCTTTTTATGTAAGCGTTTTTCTTTTCTTTTCAGACTTCATTTCTTTCAATTATAATATTCTTTTAGATATAGTAGAATCAATTTGTATTATTTCTTTTGGGTTCTATCCCTAAAATCCCTATTGTACCAACAAAGCACTTTTTAATTTCACATTTGAACTTTTAAATCTTCTGAAAGGTGTACTCACGAATTAGTATTGCCCCATATTCATTACCCAGAAACAAAGGATATGACATGCATATACAATTAACATATAAAAAATAATAATTGATGAAATAATAAATAGATGAAATAATTTAAAAATCATATGTGAGTAAATTATTTTTAAAAACATATTTAAATAAACAAAAAAAAAATGCTTTCAAATTTCATATTTATACTCGCTTTGGTATAACATAAATTAAAAAGGCTTTTATTACATTTAATGGCATGCAAACAAATAATATTATTGTCGAATCCTGCTTATACGTAACTTGTAGGTAGAACGTTGTATACGTACGTATATTGTTATTAATTACCTGAATCGATCATTGTACTCGACAATCGTTTCTCCTATTTTTAAACAATATACGCCTCCGCTTAAAAATACTTGAGTAAGTAAGACGGGATCCAAGACGGGATCTAATTCTTCGTAAATGTTTTCCAACAAGACCTGTTATAGTTTATTATTGTCTTGATTATTATTATCGTAAATTCGTTGTTAAGTATTTTTTACTGGTTGTCCTTCCATTATAGCACGTTCTAAAATTTTGATATAATTTGGTGTAGTAAAGCGTATAATACTTAGTGAGTTATTCGCCTCCATATTTTTGATCCATTTATTTGCTTGACTTTGAGGATCGATCATAAGTGGCGATCGTCTTGAATTTCTGAAACAAAGTACGTTTGGTAATCTTTTTAGATACCTATTATATTCAATACTTTCTTATATTTTATTCGTGGCGGGGAGGAGCAAAAATTAGTTGTAATTTTCTTTTTTAAATTTTATAATAACTGTAGAATAACTAACTTTGAAAGCTTTTCTTTTTAATCGTGTAAATCAGACAACTAACTTTTATGCCATTCTTGTATAGTAACAAAAATAAAATAACTTACACAACAATAATTCCGTTATCCGTTGAAAACAAATCGGTCGGTAAACCAGCTATATTCCATGCTCTGATATCAACTGGATTTCCTAATACTGTGCTTAGTTGAAAATTTTTAGCACTCACTAGATTATTATTCATGATATCATCAGCCCACTGTTTTATTTGTTTATTTCGAAAGTCCATTGTAAACGGACCCAAATACGCAATGATACCAGAACTTAATAGTATATCCCCTGAAAATAGGTAGCAAGTTTTATAACAATATTATAATATTTTAGAGAAAAATGGTTACGCAAATGGTATTATATTATAATGTTATAATATAATTAAATATTATAAACCTGTAAGATTTAAATACGATTTTCCGAGAAATGCTGCTGTTTGTTCCCACCGGTGTTTTTCACCACCTAATGCTCCAATTAATTCTCCAGCTCGCTGAAGTTTAGTTCCAACAGCATTCGTTTCATCTTGGAACGCTTTCATTTTTTGTTCGTTGTTTTCAAGTTCATTTTGAACAGCCTTCATTTTTTCTTCGATTTCGTGAAGTTGCGCTCGTTTTTCTTTTAGTTTACCCATAGCTTCACTGTACATTGCATCTGCTTCGGCAAGTGCAAGTTTTTTTGGTAAAACTTCTTTTGCTACGACATCATAACTTGACATAGCTATCACCCATTTACATAAACCTTCAGCAGCTAGCGAAGCTTTTTTGACTTTTTCTGGATCAAAGTCTGGATTGGTTAAATATTTTTCGTTGATAACTTTCATTATTGGAGGTGAAATATTGTCTTTATCAAAATGTATTAAGTGATCTAAAAACTTAATATCGTTCAGAAGCTTTTTTGATACCATCCAATAATCGTCTATAGTTTTTCCCGTGGTGGGATCCGGGATTTTCTCAGGTTTCACATCTTTTAAAATACAGACAGCTTCCATAACTAATTTTACAGTTTTCGGTGGATTATTCATGGATTTTACAAAAGTTATGTCCATAGGTGTTAAAGTATTGAGCGCTGCTAAAGCAGCATTTATTAGTGGCCTTGCTGCTTCCATATGAGAATCACAGTCTTGTTTAATCTTTTCTGATTTGTTTGCTGTTTCATGTGCATCTTCTTCGTCTTTTTCTATAACTTGCTTTACTTTAAAAACTTCTTTGTTTTCTTTTTCAACTTCGATCATTTTAAGTTTGACTTCTTCTGCAGCTATTATAACTTTTGGTGCTAAATCTTTTAACTCTTCTTGCATAATTGCTATATCGTCGGCAGCATTTTGTAATTTTTCTAAGCCCACTTCATAACGACGTTTTGCCGTAAGTATTTCCCTATTCAAATAATTGTTTATTTTATTTTATAATTTAAAAAAAAATTAACCAACTTACTGTCTTTTTTTTTCCAATAAGTCTTGAAATGTAGACATTAATTCTAAATATGATGTGGGTGTAATGTAAGTTTTACGCTGTAATCTAATTTCGAACTCTACTGATAAACTTTGTGTTGATGTATGAAATTCTTGACACATATTTATACACACATTTCTTTCGTGTTCAGTTAAAGTAATTGCGTTTAAGAATTTTGTTGCAACAGCCAATAAAGCATCTGCTGGCCAATTCTGTAAATAAATAATAATAAAAACAATGCATTTATACTTGGTAAAAATAAATAAATAAAATAATATTATGGGGATATATTTTAGGAGTAGTATTTTTTTACTTGAAACCAATCAATTGTACAACATTGAACTAAAGATGGAAACTTTCTTATTCTTGTACGAAAATCGTTTCCAATAGGACTAAAAGCTAACACAACGTGAAGTTGTTCTTTTACAATTTGAATAAAATAATTGAATAGCCCTGTAATACTACCATCAGTCTAACAAACATAAAATAATGAATTGTATGCATTTTCGTTTACGTTATTTAAAATAATTATTTACCTGTAAAGATTTATCGCGCTGTTTATCAATCATACGAATTTTATCGCACAGTTCTATTTTTTCATCCACTGGATATAAATTTGGTATTTCACCTGAATTTAACAAATTATTTATGTCTTCTACCATTGCTTCCATTTTAATCTGTACATATTATTAATAATCAAAATTTTTGTCATTTTAAAATTTTTAATAAAATGAACTTACTTCGGAATCATTGAATAGAAATAAAACATGTTGATCTAATGATGATACCGCGCGACCAAGTATACGTTTTAAATCTTCATGCCATTCATTTGTTCCATATATACGCGCCATTGTTACCTAATTAAATTTAAAGATTTTATTGAAATATATGTATAGACAAATTTAACCGAAAAAATTGTTTAGTTACCTGAAACAATTCGTATTGAGATATGTGAGAAGCAAGTCTTGTTAATGATTGACGGCCTGATCCACCCAAACCAATAAGTAAAGCATTTCCGCGAGGTTGCTTAAGAACTCGGCTAATTCTTGAAAGATGTTCAATAGCAAATCTAAATAAAACTAAGTGCATTGGTTTTTTGCTCATATTATTAAATTCGTCCAAGTATTTCTCAACAACCAATCGAAGACTATTTAGATCTTGAACTTCTGTATATTGTTTTATTTCTGCTTTAGGATCGGAAAAATCGCAATAGATTACTTTTCGTAATTCATTTTGATCAATCTGAAAATAAAAATTGTGTTAGTACAATACAAAGTTGATACATTAATTTGAATTATTAATTTACAGTTTTAGTTTGCTCATTGATCAAATGAAGGAATATATTATTCATATTTTCATGTAATAACTCGTTGCAAACTGAATTAAGGTTATCGAAATACCATGAACGATCAAATTCGTCTACTAAACGATCATAATATACTCTGAGAATTTCGTGAATCCAGAGTCGCTTCATAGAAATACTGTTTTCAATTGTTATCGGAGTAGAAAACATAACTCCCTTTTAAAAATGTGAAATTTAATTTTTTTAATTTTTATGGGTAACTTAAAATGTGTAAGATTTAAAATATTCTACCTGTATAACTTTCGAAAAATCTCTCAAATTGAATAAATAGTGTGATTTAGTAGGTGTTGGAAGTAGATAACTAATGCTTCGTTTATGAAGTTCCAATGTAGAATCAACTATTTGTCGCATACAAGAATCAAACTCGCTACTAAAATTTCTATATAAAACAAAATTATCAAGTTAACGTAAATATTTCTTTTAAGAATTTAGATGTTTTGAACCTCGTATCTAAATGCCATAATAATATTTTACTATATATTGATGTCATTGTATTTTCATCAAACTCATTGATAACAACGACATTAAAGTGTCGGCTAAATCTAGGAGAAACTGAGTTTCCTGTTGACGGTGGACTCATAGCACATATTAATAATACATCATAAAGAGACATGGGCACAAGGTCATGACGATCATACCACGGATTATTATCTAAGAATTGTCGTAAAAGTTCAATAGGTGGTTGAGCGCCATAATACTCTTTTTGAGGCATGTTAATATCATCAATAAAGATTATGCACTTTGTATCTAAGGGTGGTCCATAGACACCTCGTCTTCTCTTGATAACTTTATTCATAATTATATCTTGTGTTAAATTAGCTGAAGTGTTTGCTGAGAAGTTAATGAACGACGATTGATTTTTAATTTTATCGAGTTTTGTGAATAAATAATTCTGAAATGAAATATATTATAATTGTTATAATTATCCTATTAAATGTACTTTTTATATTAATATATTATTTCACCATAATATAAGTCGATTTTCCAGTTCCAGTTTTTCCCACAGTCATCATCGGTTTATTATGAGTAATTAACGTAGACATAAGCACTTGATGCCTAATTGAATCGATGGTTGGTACTATAATTTCATTGAAAGGTATCCCATGAGGTATTGGTGGTGCTTCTGTTACATAATTTGACCATAAGATCCATTGACCTTTACTTTGATCCTCTAGAACAAATCTGTAATCAAATACTGAATATTTTTTTGATGGATAATTGGAATACGGCTCTTGAGGAGAAGGACATAATTCACGAGGCAATTTAAGAGCTTTAACAACGTTTTCAGGGAATCGTTTTTCTAACAGTGCTCGAAATAAAAGATTGAATTTGGTTCGACTTTGTGCATCAAGAGTTGCTCCCATTGACCAAATACAAGAAAAGAAAAAAATACCCTGCAATATATATATATTATACATATTTAGTTGAAATTATCAGTAAAGCAAAGAAGGTATTTTATTTTAATTAAATTATTTATATTATAATTATGGTTTTAGATTACCTCAAGCTGAACTCTTATATCAGATTGCAAAACGGTCATCATATATTCTTTATTTGTATATACAACTATGAAAGTATCACAAATATTTGTTAAAGATCTAATAAGATTAGAATTATTGGAAGGGAAAATTTCCTAAAATACAATATACAATATAGATAAAAATATTATTATGACACGTTTGATAAGCATACTGTAACATTGCATCTTCGTAAAAAGTATAATATTGGGTAACTAAATCTAAGGATAAGCGACTGTAACATTTGTTTGTATTCAGATGTTATACTCGTCGGTAATTGATTAATCCAGGACTGTACTAAACATTCCCAACCTAATGAAACCGGTTCCATAAAAATCATTCCACATCTTGATACCTTTAATTAAATTAGACACACAATTCAGATGTTACTTTTAATGAACATCATTATGAAGATTTTAAGTCAGAAATTTATATTTACTGTTGCTGGAGATGCTACATCTAAATCCATAGGTTCGAATATCAAATTTGTTGTATTGGCGAGTTGAATAATTTCACCAGATATTAAGCAAAGTTTTTTATTATCATCGAGTACCGTATTCATACTTTCAATCCATATTGCATCAACTGGACCATCAAACAAAAGCCATTTTCTATTCATGTTTTCTGATGAAGCAAATTGTCTGAATCCAACCGCTAATATACCATCAGACCACTCGTGTGTTACCAAATCAAATTGGCCATATAATTGACCCAAAGTTATTGACTTTGGGTTTATAACTATAATTTCTACCTTGTGTTCATCCATTAATCCCTAAATAAAAAAAAAATAGGAAACCATTTATGAGTAGTTTCACTAAATAAAAAGTTAGTATATAAGGTAGTAGATAATATCTACTTCCCAAATAAATTAATATCTATTATATATTAATTTCGTCACACACGTAATTTAAAGAGTAGAGTATTATTAATTTGCCTATGTTGTGGAAAAATTATATGGTATCTTGTTATACAGAACTAATTTCTATACCTTTTCTTCAATAATTGATAATGCACCAGCAAGTGTTTTATACGCTGATGTTTTACCACTGAATGGTAATCCAACTATCATGAAACCATGTCTAACAATCATCATTTCATAAATTTGTTGTATTTTTTCCAAAAAGTATGATGTACACTGCAAATTTAATTGTTCACATGATTCTTCAATGCATATGTTCAATATATTATAATCTGGTTGTGGTAGCACGATCCCAGGAAATAAATCTGATATTAATCCCTAAAAATATAATACGATATGAATTTTGAATTATCTAAAATCTCTCCAAACTCATTTTATATTTAGATGATTACTTTAAATAACGGAATATCATGTGATAAGAACTTTGGTAAGTTTACGTCATTAATAGATCGCAAAATAAGTATATTTTCATCTTCTGTTGGATACTTTAATTTTAAATTACCAGCTGCAGTTAAAACAGTTTTCACCGCTCTCATCCCTAGAAATATTTTCAAATAAAATAGTACGATTATTATCTAATCTATAACTAACCATAGTCGTAATGATTTTGTGATGAAAGTTGTTCAGAGCACAATTTATAAGTTGCCACTATTTTTACAGATAATGATCTAGCTAAATTAAATCCTTGAGAGTACAAAACTATTTCAGATATAAGTGCATAGTCCGGGACCATCATTGCAACTGAACGAAATAAAGCCTATGAAAAATATAAACAATTTAAATCGTTTAATAAATTAATAAAATTCAATTTTTCTTTTATAATATCTATATACTTTCAGGTTATCGGGCAATTCCGAACGTCCAGCGTACCCTGGATTCATGGTAATAAATACAGCACAAGTTTTATCTAATGCCAATGTAGAACCTTCAAAAAATATTTGTTTACGTCCTGCTTGGATATTTCGTTGAATAGTTAATATTTGCTGAGCAACAACTGACAATACTTCTAATTCAATACGATTGAATTCGTCAAAACATGACCAGGCACCGCATGATAATAAACCCTTAAAAAAGTACAAATAAAATGATTATTTGTCATCTTACAGTAATACTGTATCTTACTTTAAAAAATTTCCCTAAGCCAATGTAATCCATGCTATCCGAACAATTAAATACGATACATTGTTTGGCTATAGCTTTTGCTAAATCTTTAGTTGTTTCTGTTTTTCCAGTACCAGCAGGCCCTTCTGGTGCACCACCCAAATTTAATTGTAAAGCACAAAATAAAGTACGATAACAACGATCTGTAAGAGGAGTAATCACGAGTCTTGGTGAATTACCAAGGTATTCATAACCATATCTTAGAGATGCATTTATCATGAATGCGTCCAAATTTTCTTTCTAAAGAAATAAAATAATTTTAAAAAATTGAATGTTTATAATAAACGTTAATTTTATATTAAAGATAAAAATCAAAACATTCTTACTATCCAATAATAACGCAATTGACAAAGCCAATTAAAATCGTTAGGTTTACGAACTTTTTTTGTCAACAAGTCTTCCACAACATCCTTTGCGTGCACGTCCGTTACAACTAAAGCTCCTTTAATACAAAATAAATAAAATGTAATTTATGATAAATTTCCGAAGTTCAATAAATTTAGTTTGTAATCTAACCTAATGTTAACCGGGTTTGAATTGATAAAACACCTCGAACTAGTTTTATTATTTGGCTAATTTGATCATTACACTTATTCAAATATCGAGATAAACCTCGAGGATAGGATTCTATAGCTTTTGTGACTTCGGATGTCCAATGAGTACAAGAAACAGCTAGAACAACTTGTCCAGGCCACTGAATAACCCATTCTTGTCTTTCAGTATTTAAATAAGCAATTAACGATTTTTCGGTAATTTCTCGTACAGTCAATTTCATTGATATTTCTAAATCTACAAGCCATTTTTCTACTTGACCTCTAGCTTTCATTGTATCTACAGCCATTGATAAATCTACAACTTCATCTTCACTAGACCTCATACAAACTATATCAAGACTCTCGGTAAATTTTAATTTAGCAATTCCTTCAAAACATTTTTTTAAATGTGGCTGCACCCTTGTCGGATCTTTAGTTTCTGATAAAATTTCAAGAAGCTCGTCATTGGACAAAAAGAAAAATCTTGGAAAATATAATCGTTTCAATTCTAAATAATCGTTAAGGCCTTTCAAAATCAATTCCAATAAATTATTGTTGATCATTAAGTTCGGTAAAATGTTCTCAATTTCAGTAGCTAGTATTACTTTCTTTACTTCTAGCGCTTTTTTTATCATATCTTTCCATATCTAAAATGTAAGTTTAAAAAGTTTTATTTAACATGATTATAGGATACAATTAAATACTCTTTGAACGGCATCAAATCTTCTAGATTCCTCGGGCATCTGATTTTGTATATCTTGAGAGGAAAATATTGGTTCTAAATACATCCAATTGACCTGCACTTTTATCCAGTAATCTAATATATTATTTAGTAGTAGTAACTTTTCTTCTAAATTTCTATGTATAAAAATAGTAATTAATTATTATGTTTAAAATGTATTTCATTTCAATTTGCCACTATAAAAAATTATTTACTTGCTAAATTCTTCAAACGGTTTTATAAATGGAGAATTTTTCATTGTTAACATTTTTAATACATGATCATCGAGCACCAATTGTATTTCGTCTACACCTGATAATATATGAGTACCAGAATCTCTGAAAAAATTATAAAAAAGTTAAGTATAATCATACATTTGAATCAATAGAAAGTTTATAGTAAACCTATATGGCACAAGATTTAAGTATAATTCATTCCATTCTTCTGCTATTGCATATAATTTTTTTTCTAAAGCCATTTCCTTAGATGCGACATCGCTAATCATCTCAAATTTAGGTACATATTCGTCCAAGTTATAGTTTAAAATTGTCCCTAGTGTAAGGTTTCCATCATTACATAACGGAAACCCAATTATTTCTGAAATTTTTTCCCAGTGCCGGTCTTTTAAACCTGGATTTCCCAATGTTAAAACTATTGGCATATGTTCTTTGAATGCTTCAATAGACTGTAATATCTTGTTTAAAACCAGTTTATGTTTAGCTAGTTTGCAATAATTTTTACTTGAGAAATATTAAACATTATTTAATTACTGTTGTAGCTATTGTTAGAGGAGCAGGAGTATCCATAAAAGTAGATTCTAACTTAACAATGTTACGATAAATTATGTTAACATCTTGTTCGATTTGTTCTGGATTATAAGTACCTATTTGAGCATTCGTCCAATTATTATAATTTTCTAAAAACTCTGAAGAGTTAATAAAAAGTTTTTTATATGGAGCCAAAGCATCTGCAACCTTCATTAAAATATTATATTAAACAATTATTAAAAAAAAAAAAAATAGGCAAGTAAATAACTTACTATTTTTCTCAGGGGATATGTGCTTTCATCCCATCCAAAATGTTTTTCCTCCTCGTTAAATCCATCTATGATATTTAGAGCATTATCTAACTGATCATCTAGACTTTTTGCTCTGGCTGTGTAAAAAGATAATAGATTTATGTCATCAAATTTTTCAAAGGTAATAACTTCAGCCCGGTAATGTTCCAGTGCAATTTCAAGTTGAGTAATACGTTTTGATAAGAAGTTTTGTAACTCATTTGTTTTCTGCATAACTAGTTTTGTATTTGACGCCAACACATAATCGATAAGTTTTAACCAATAATACGTTTTGCCATTTTGGTTTAGTTCAACATCTGTTAATAATTTATAATTTGATAAAAACAATTCATATGACACCACCATTTTAACTCTTTCTTCCAACTCAGGAATAACATCACGTTTTACATCATTTATGTATTTTTTTAAATCTACAAGCTCTTTTGTATTTTTTGGTGGAGTAAGAGCAATAGTTTGTACAACAGAATAATCTTCATTTATTCTAAAATAATGTAAACATTTTTAAAAATTATAAACGTACGTCTCGCCAGCCCCCCCAATTTGGAAATTGTCGTTTATTTTCATTTCAATATTTAGTATGTAATTAGTATGCATTTGTATTTGTACTAAATCCGAAGTTTGTATGACATTTTTTATTGCAGTATTTCAACTTTTAAATAGTGGGAAGGAGGCTGGGAAGATGTCTTAAAAAATAATCAGGTAAATAAATAAATAATAATTAGAATATTTTTATAATACTTGACTAATTAAACTTAATTTTTTTTAGGTAGGTTCGGTTAGCCTAAAACAATCATACCACAAGGGTGGTGGTCAGTCCGCCGCTCGACATGCGACAATGTAGAGAAAATTGATGGATCCCGCCACAGAAGAAAACAGGATTATCAACAACCGTTAGTTGTGACATTTTATTACACCAATAAACGATGATGGTCTGTGTACCCGACGCAATAATCTAGTGGTAGTCCCATATATAGAAATATTATTGCTGATACCGAAAAAAATCAATTATATACGAGTGCAACATATAATGTATAAAATAAGTTATATAACTAAAAAGACATTTTTTTTTTTTTGTTATCAAGTACAATGGGTCACATAACCTAACCTAGTGGTTAGGATTTAAAAACCGTAAAGATTTATTATGGTCAAATATTGATAAAAAAAAAATAGTTAATATATTTTATAGATTGCAAGCTGAGAAAAAATCGATGAGATGACAAATCCATTATAACCGACTTTTGACCAGTAAGAGGGATAGTAGAGATTTTCGGATTGGACATACAAATACATACTAATGATACACTAAATATTTGTGTCGTTAAATTTTCAATTTTACATATATTTACATATAGGGGAGAGAGAGAGACGTTTCTCCACCCCCCCCCCCATTTAAAATTTAATTTATTTCAATAAAATATATCATATGAATTCCGGGTTGGATCATACAAATACATATTAATTAGTAATTACATATTAAATATTGAAATTAAAAAAAACGACCATTTCCAAATGGGGAAGGGGGGACTGGAGAGAAATACGTAAATTATAATATATTTTTTTTTTAATTATAATTACTTCTTTCCTATTTCTAAATAAACTTGCGTCATCCGATCGACAATTATACTTTTTAATTTCTCTGCTTCTTCATATAATGCCATTATAGCATCACTACAACGTACTTTAAAAATTCCAAATACTATTTCTGTACTAGTTTTAGTTGATACGTTTAAAGCAATTGTTTGATATTTAATCACATATTTTTTATATTCTTCAAAAGTATGTTCTTTAGATAAAAATTTATCAACTTCATCGTAAGCTTGACCATTGATCAGATAAAGATGTTCATCAAAGTCGTGTTCAGCTAATTCCCAATAACCGTTCAACATCAAACTTAGTTTGTTACGATGCTGACTTACTATATTCTCATCTATATTAACCTATTATAAAAAATTATTATATTATACTTTTAAATGGTATTTATTTATTTATTATTATTTTTTTTTTATTTAGAAAATTATACAATCTATACAAGTATAATAAGCATAAGAGATGTTTTAGGTATGGTGTAATAGCCTGATTAACTTGTGAGAAGAACCAACCAGTGAAGGCACTTCGGCGTTAATTTATTTTACTATAAATAATAGTTTATTAGATCTTGGGGCCATTTTCGGTTGAGTCTTCTAAGGAGATTTTCCAGGGTTGGAGATGAAAAGGAGATTTTTAACAAGGAAGTTGGTATGATTTGCAGGCGATTCCTGAATTTGGTGTAGTATAGTTGGGCTGTTTCAGTGACTTTAGGAATGTGGGGATCTGTGTGAAGGGTGTAGTTTGAGATGCATAGAGGAGAGTTAGTTATGAGTTTAAGGATTTTTGATTGGGACACTTGTATTTTTTTTGTATTTGATTTTTTGACAGTGCTTCAGAGCTGTATACTATATATCCAAATGGGTTTAAGAAATAAATTTTAGATTTTAATTTTGTTTTTAAAGGATAGATTAGAGAACATGCCGAGGATGGGTCTGAGAAGGTATAGTCATTTGTTCAATTTTAATTTTTTTTGTATAGATGTGCGTAAACCATGTTAAACGTTTGTCGAAAACTAGTCCTATATATTTGACTGTTTCTGAGTTTGATATGGGTTTGTTCTTTATATGCACTAGTGGAGGTTGACTGTGACGGAGAGCAAAGGTAGTGTGAACAGATTTTCTTTCGTTAATTTTGTCGCGCCAGTGGGAGTACTAGGTCATTGAAATGGCTTTGAAGAGAGGATGTTATTTGAGAGAGATATTTATTTAAATAAATAAATAAATAAATAATACTAACAAATTTACCTTTAATAATTTGTCAGTATAAGTAAAATTTTTAAATAATCTATGCTCAAGACGTTCTAAGTTTAAAACAATATCAATTAATTGATCATAAACAGACATAATGAAACCACAAATCCGTTTAAAACTCGGATAAAATTTTAATACAGAGTTTTTAATTTTGAAATCAATTATAAATCCAGGATTCGTCTAAATCAAATATTTACAGAACAAATTGATAAATATATAATAATAATAATAACAAAAAAGAAATGTTGTATTACTTTTGGATTACACATGAAATCAGTAAATTGTTCCATTACTTTATATACATACTGTTGGTATTTGAATTCCATAATGTGTGCTACACAATTATAAAATGAAATCTTTTTTTGTATTGTATCTACCTTTGGATTGTGCTAAAATAAAAATAGTCATCAAATATTATAGTAAATATTTATATAACATTATTTAAATTAAAAATACCAACTGATACTATTATTGCTAATGGGTAAGCCACTGCAGTTAACTTTTATTGAAGGGAAATTGAAAAAGTAGATCATTCTACACGGTACAGGATTGCAAAGAAAAATGTAGTTAAATATCAAACTATGGTACTCTATTTAGATATTTATATTAATTTATATTTTTAGGTATTTTTGATCGTATTTTAATAATTAGATAGATATTCAAATTATTAACTAATTATGATTATACATTATAATTACATAATTATATAATAATACGATTACATAACTAGTTATTAATATTTTAAAGAAATTAATAATTTAAGTTACATTACTTGTTGAAATAGTTCCTGAACACTCTTGAACCATTTAATCCGCATTAAAGTACTGCCATCAGCAATGCACATCACTACATGATTCATAAATTCAGAAAATACAAATTTTTCAGTACCTTTTATCATCATTTCTTTAAAATCAAACATCGGAGTTGGTCTGTAATGATTCATATTCAGAGATGCATTAATAATTTTATATAGTTGAATAATTACCTACCTAATACTATTCAAAATGTACCTAGTTAGTTAAATGGTTACAATCATTGTAGTTGGAAGAATTATAAAAAAAAAATCAAAAAACTAATAAGATTTAGATAGGTATACCTTTTCATTAATCCAATCCAAATGTTTCAAATTGCAATACAATAATAAAACATTAATCAGATATTAAATATTTAATAATACGCTTAATGAAACAAATTAATCAATTATAATTTATCAGAATAATGGTAGTATTTTTGAAATATTATGTTTAAGACTAAATAAAATTAACCTATTAATTCAATAGGTGATCTGCTAATTGTTTTTGAATTACTACCTATGTCATGTAGTAAATAAATTTACTATACAAAATCTTTATAGTATATCTACACCATAAGTTAGGGTATCCAAATTGGGGCACCTTGAGAATTTATTCACTACTAGCAGATAAAAAATTCAATAAATTCAGGTATTTCTGTAATTAATATAAATCACTATAGTTCTTAGTAGTAGGACGTTGTTTAATCTAATCAAAATGGTAAATGATTACAATACCTATTACGATAATTCAGATGTAATCATTTGTCGTCGTAATTGTATTTAATGTTCACAGATTTTGTGGGTTTAATATTTTATTTTGTTTAAATTAGTTAATTTCTATAGTTAAAATAAACGTTAAGACATTTTAGTTTATTTCGTAGCCAAAATTTCGTCGCCATTCATCTCACCGCGAGACCTTTTTTTGTTTGAAACTTGGTCGTTTTTTAATATACGCTGCAGCACTGAAAGGATTTTCACTAATCATTTTATAGATCTGTTATGCGCACTTTTTATTAATAATACCAACCACCACTTTTTGATTTTTGGATCAAGTATACCTCACCAGGATTTGGTGATAGGAAAGAGATTTTAACGACAAACAATTTAGCTGGTTACACTACACAAGTCCCCTTTCATAGTTTAAAACCATAAAATCTTTGTTCGGGGAACTGGAATTCGTCCGATTACTACCAAACTTTGGAAATGTCCCTAGATTGCCTCTGGACTCCTCTCACCAAATTTACTATCAATCTAAAGGTCATTAAGGTCATATAACGTCATTAATCATTATATTACATTATATTACGTCTATAAAGTGATAATATAAGTATTCTGTGAAAATTAAAAAATATTGGGATTATTTCGAAACGTTTTATAACAAAATAAAAAAATTATATTTCCTTAAACTTGTCTGTATTTTTGATTTTCCTCAAACATTTTTTTTTAAAAATTGGATTTTAGAGAATTATTGTGTATCTACTTTTAAAATTAAAACTTTTTTTTTACCCATTAAAGGATTTATGAAGACAATTTTTTTTTTATCAGGAATAGGATTATAAAGTTTAAAAAATGTTGTCAAATCATGAATGAATTAATATATATTTTGCACCACCAAAACTAAATATATTATAAAAAGATTAATAAATCTTAACTTGAATTAACTACCTAAGTTATTATGTGTAAATAAATATATATATACTATATGAATTAAGATAATTTTTTTATCATGAACCAGCAATTATCTCAGAGGATTTTCAGTGAATTCAATTTATGTTTTTTCTAATTATTATGGAATCGTTTAAGCTTTATTTTAAAATAATTTTTAATTTTTCACCCCCACTACATATACCTTAAATAAGTACATACTTTTGATTTTCAAAGAGGAACTCCCCCCTTTTGAACACAGATTTGAATAGAGAATATTTTTCTAGATGGTCTTCAATGGTTAATCGTTGATTACAGATATTCAATAATTACCTATAGTAGTGGCTGCACCCATCTCCATTATCTTAGGACGTTTTTTAACTTTAATACTACAATAATATAAATACTTCTAAAATGTAAATATATTAAAATATTGATACCTCATAAGTGATGTACATACAATTTTTTTGTTTTCGAAAACTTAATTTTCAATTAAGAAAAATATGTCTTCGCATTTACTTAATAAGTAGGCCATAATAACAGAGTGCTACGAAAAGTATTAAAGAAAATATTTTTTCATCCTAATAAGTATCACCCTACTCTATGTGTTATATAAACATACTCAAAATCCTTGTGCCAGATTTTGATCATTTTGACCACCAAATGATTGCCTTGATGAAAATTATTTTCGAGGAATTCAGTAGCCTGAACCATGGATTTTTTCCATAATAAACTATCAGTTCTTAATTTTTTTTTTAACGGCGTGTCTAATGCTGGTAGATGATTATACATTGCGTATACATCTTGCAACGTAAATGATACTAGTGCTTCTCTTATCACCTTGAAATAACATTCCTGTAAAAATAAAATAAATTAAAATTTATCCATTATTAGATTTGTATCATTCCTAGGACCATATATTTTCAGTAGGTACTTAATATATGTTGTTCAAATTGACTGCGCATTATGTATTTAGTGTTTTGTGTGAACGGTTCGAGATAAACAAGTATTGAAAGAGTACAATATTATATAGGGTTTTCCAATTAGAGCGGGCCGATCTTATCTGCGCTGTATAGCCTTATCGTTTTGTTGACGTCTGTCTAATTTACTGTTTATTATTCAGTCACTAATGCCAAATCATCATGGTTAGTTACACTATAGAGCAGCGCGTCCAAATTATAAAATTTTATTATCAAAATAAATGTTCGGTAGTTCAAACTTTGCGCTCGTTACGTCCATTTTTTGGCCGACGTAGTGGTCCTTCAAAGTCGACTCTCCAACGTTTGGTGTCGAAATTTGAGACAACTGGTTCGGTAAACGATCAGTTAACACCCGTACGTCAAAGAAACGCCAGATCGGTCCAGAATATCGCCGCGGTACGTGAAAGTGTGCAGGAGAACCCGAGGCAGTCAATTCCTCGCCGTGCACAAGAACTTGGTCTTTCACAGTCTTCAACTTGGCGAATTTTGCGCCGGGACTTGNTGACCCAGGAGCTCAAAATTAATGACCATAGACAACGCCGATTGTTTGCTGACTGGGTTTCGGAGCGTTTGGAAGAGGACCCTAATTTGGCCGAAAAATCGTCTTTAGTGACGAAGCGCATTTTTGGATGAATGGCTATGTTAACAAGCAAAATTGCCGTATTTGAGACAATACCAACCCACACGAGGTTCAACAGGTAACAATGCATCCACAAAAAGTTACTGTTTGGTGCGGATTTTGGGCCGGCGGTATCATTGGTCCGTACTTTTTTGAAAATGACGTTGGTGAGGCCATCACCGTCAATGGTGAGCGATACAGAACGATGATAACCGATTTTGTTTTTCCCAAAATGAACGGTATGGACGTAGACGACATGTGGTTTCAGCAGGATGGCGCTACGTGCCATACATCCAACGCTACGATAGCCACTCTGAATGGCAAATTTGAGGGTATGGTTATCTCTCACCGAGGAGACGTGAATTGGCCACCAAGATCGTATGATTTGACCCCATTAGACTTTTTCTTGTGGGGTTTCCTGAAGTCGCAAGTCTATGTCGATAAGCCGAAATCGACAGATGACCTTAAAGTGAACATAACCCAGGCCATTGCTCAAATTCAACCGGATCTATGCGGCAGAGTCATTGAAAATTGGACCACTCGGATTCGTGCCACTATGAGAAGCCGTGGGACATTTAAACGATATTAAACTCAAAACANAAAAAAAATTTCACTAATACCTCGCACATAGCTTGTTTTATTTCATTTCAACATCGACCCGCTCTTATTGAAAAACCCTTTATTATAATATATTCTACATCTATTATAAGTAGTCCTTTGGATCTAGGGTTTTATAAAAGTTAACATTGCAATAAAATATTGTTCAGATATCAAAGAGTTCAAAAAACTTCTTCTTATCTTTCACCTTCATTCTAACTTTTCTGGGTCGTCCACCCTAGAGTTCTGAACTTCCTTTTGACCAGATCTCCAACCTAGCATACACCTGCGGCCCTTATATTTATTACCAATCACATCTAGCCGCCATTATTTACTATCATAACATAAACGTGGTGTATTATTAATTGCCGCGCGCCGTACCGCCACACAAATGATACTTCACTAGTCTCCTCCAACCAAAACTTAAAAGTGGAATATCTTGTCAATGGCTCGACAGAAATCAAAAATGTCAACACTCATATTTATTCTAACTAATTCTCCATCTATTTACGGATATTTTAATATAGATTGTTATTTGAAAATCAATAGTAGGTAATGATTTTACTCCCAAAAAATAAGGGTGACAAAGAATAACATTTAGTATAAAATTCTAAAGCTGGTTGTTTCTTAAATGTTCTAGAAAACAAATTTCGGGAAAAGTTAATACTTTCCGAGATAATGGGTGTACGTGGGTACAACTGGAAATAAATGGAACAACTGGTATATCTGTATACTGATTGTTGAGGTTGATAAGCAATAGTTTTGTATTTTGTAAATATGAATGGTTTCATTACAGAGTAATAAGTTTTATATTACTTATTTATAAAACTAAATGACCAAGCGTGGAAAACAACTATTAAGAACTTACACGATGTCTGTCTCTAAGGGAATTAATAATAATCCCTATGTGATAACTGATCAAAATCTTGATTAATGATTATTGGTTATGTCTTATCTTTTTTTGTTAAGTACATTTTATACCAATAGACACATATAAGTATATTAAATACACAAAATATTGACTTTTTAATTATTTAATTTTTATTTGTTAATTTGTATTGCCATTTCTCACACAATGAATGATAAAAAAAAAAATGCAATGGGTATCAAAAAAATAAAAAAAATAAAAATGAATTGACTGCTGCATTACCAAAGATAACTAGACATTTTAATATTAGTAATTGAGATTTATTACCAATTAGGCTATAGTTTTAAGCAATATTATTTTATATTATTACTTATGTAAATATAGTATAATACAAAGTTCATTTTCTAGTCTTTACCTACCTATTAAGTATAGAAATGAATTGTTTGTTTCTCGTATTAAGAAGCTTACCATTTAGAGGCCATGATGAAATCTTCACTGTAATAATAATGGTAATTATTTAGGTTTATTAAGTCTAACAATTTGACCACAGAGTACCTAATGAATAAAAATTAAAATGTTTATAAATAACTCAAAAATGGCTTAAACTTTTTAAAAATTTAACCACATCTATAAAAGGTAAATACAAGTTTTCTGTCCAAATTTCCAGTCTATAAAATCGATCGAATATTTTAAACTGAATTTCAACAAAAATATTAAAATGTTTATAAAAAGCTTAAAAATGGATCAAATGTTTTAAACATTTTACTTATGTTTTTCTCACTTTTTCCCTTTTATTGATAAAACTGCCAGTAATATCAAAAAATAACCTCCCCAAAGTACCACCCCAAGAAAAATCCTTTCAGAAAAATGTATACTTTGTATACATCAGGGCAAGATTTCTGTTAGAATTTGTGTACACAGTGTAAAAAAATAAAATAAACATCTTTTAAAAAAAAATAAATGCATCATTACACTCAGAATCTAAAAATAATACATTTAGTATAGTTTTCCTTTTTTTCAGCGTTTTTTCCTGGGTTTTCCATTTATCATGAAAGCTCTTCTGAAAATTACCTCCAATAGTACCACCCAGATAAAACTACCTTTCAGAAAAAGTAAAAAAAGAAAATTTGAGCAAGATTTCAGATAGAAAAGTTGTTCACAGATAAAAAAAAACAATAAGAGTAACAAGAGCAATATTTTTACACTTTTTGTTATATATTGGTGGCAATCATCTTACTTCCATTAATTCCGTTTTAAGTTTCTGCAAAAATGGAGATTTTTGGAAGTCTTTGTTTAGTCGGCCGTCTATACCGTCCAATATTCGTGAATCAATTGGAGCCAGACTATTAGTGTCGGCTTCAGTGCCTTTGGTAAGGAAAAAATAATATTTCATTAATGTGTCCGTATCCATTATCACGTTATTATTGATGTAGTTGTTTGGGTTAAGATATTTTAAGTGTGCAGCCGTTAAATTTAAGCGAAACATTTCGAGTTTGTCCTGGGCTTGTTTATTCTCTTTCTGTAACAATAAATTATTGAGTTCATTTACATATATATAGTAGTATTTTACATATTATAAAACCATTTAGAACAAAAAAATAATATAATTGATACTGGAGGCAGGTGCGACCATTGTTGTAGGTGGAGGTGGATAAGGTGGAGTATATAAAAAGAAAACCGTAGAAAAAAGACGTTCTAGGATAATAGGGTCGGGTGCAGCTCCTATTATAGGTAATTCAATTTATAACTGTAACCAACAATAAGCCATTGATAAAGAAAAACGATTCAGAGGACAGTTTAATTATACATATTTTAAAAATTATAAATAAAAAAATACTACATTAAACTAATTTTTTTTTTACCACTAAGTATGAATTAAAATTAACCTCTTATCAAAGGATAAAAAACACTAGGAAAACTCTTGGGAATATCGAAAATTAACCTCCCTAAAGTAAGTAGTTTTCTAGTAAGATTTCTTTTCTCAAAAATAGTGCTATTAATGAAAATCTGAGCAAAATTACTTTCCTTTCGGAAAAGGTGCTACAGTTTTAAAAGTTGTTAACAGATAAAAAAAAAATAAATATCTCTTTAAAATCATAAGCTTCTTCGCTCCATTCAGAATCTAAAATACCTACACACATCATATCAAAACCAATAGATCCTTCATTACGCTCCAAATCTAAAGAAAGAAAAAATACAATTATGGATTGTATTTAAAATTATTTAAATGTCCACTGAAATTTGTCAAATTTGACAATTACAATGCTTTCTATCGAAGAATACAATATCTGGTAAATGTTCCAAAAAACCCATTACAATATTATTATTTTAAAATCAACTTTAAATTTTAACTAATATAATATTAGTTTAATATTACAGTGTTTAATTTATATTAAATAATGATTATATTATACTTTAATTATGTAGTATTTTGATAGGCAGGATTTTAAAAAACGTATATAAGACACACATTTAATGAAAAAGTCTTAAATGGCTAAAGGTATCAAATTTTGGTTTTTACTAATTATTTTGAAAAAAAATCCAAGAATCCATGTAGCAAAAATCCGTTGGATTATAAAATATGTAACTAAATAAATACTTTAAATTGAAAAAAAATCCTAAAGAATATTAATGATATTAGAGTTCATTACTTTTTTTTTTGAAAAGTCTGGAAATCCACGACATTCACTTGTTGATTTTTCTTCAACTTCGTATGAACTCTTCGATAAAGAATCATGATTATCATTATATAATGACAACGAAAATTTGTCAGACATTTTAAGCTTTATAGATGTACTAGAGTTTCTGAAATCACCTCTTTATTTATTAAATCATCAACTCATACATTTATTTTCACAGCTGCAACAAATTAATAGTAAAACAAAGAATAGATATACAAAAAAAAAAAAAAAACAGAGTTATATTTCCAAGCAACGGATTTTCCTTGCATTCTTACCAGCGCACACTAATTAAATTTCGAATTTTAGCTGGACAATATTTTATGGAAAAGTTTTACCGTAAGAAACACAAATAGTACATTGATCTGGTTTTGAATCTTTTAGACCATTAGCAAATGTGAACGAATTAACCGGGAAAAAACGGATAAATTTACGGTGATTGTTTTTCTACAAAAAAATTTTACTTTGATTTTCTGTGTAGCATTTTTTCTAAAAACAAATTATAGGTAGCTTATTAATACCTTCTTGTTCATTATAAGTTTTTAAATTTTACAGTGTATGTATTAAATAGTATGGTATTATACTATTATAGACTGCTAAACCTTGTAAAATTTAGCGAGCTAGTAATTAAATTAAAAAGTCGACTTTGATGAAATATGAATTTTAATAATTTAATAGTAATCTATAATGTGCTTTTGTATATGTATTGTATATTTTGTTGTTAATAATATTGTTGGTTTCATAATTTTGCAATTTCAGAAAAAAGAGCACTGCTATGTATAAGTTAATTTTTTAAACAATTTACTGTTTCGTATTTAGTAATGAATGAATATTGTGCATACATTTTTTACGTCAAGAGAAATCATTTTGTAACCTGGGTCAATATCTATTTTTTTTATTTTTTCAAACAAATCATAAGTGTTTTTTATAAAAGTATTAGTATTCATGTTTAATTTTTTTTGTATATGAAACTCTAAATATTTAGCAAGGTTATAAGATAGAGCAGTTTTAATGTTAATTAATGAACGGTATTTGGTATCAGTTTAATAATTTGTTAATTGTAAATTATATTTGGGCCATATGTTAAGTTTTGAAAATTATTATTATTTATAAAATCTAAAGTTTTTTTTATGCATTTTATTAGTGTAAATGATAGCAATAGCATTAGATTTATCTACTGAAACTATTTCTAAATTATTTATTTTTAATTTATTTACTATATTGTTTATAATTGTATTTACTCGTTTAACCTTACTATTTTGCTTTAATATTTTATTAGTTTAATTTTTGTAATTTTTATTCGTATTGTTTAATAATTTATATCTTGTTTGATTTTGATTTTGAATTTCTATACAATTTATAACAGATCCACAATGTATTAATTGTTTTTTAATTGATTGAAAGTTTAATGTGCAATATTTACCTATTTAATTTATTACCTTTATTTAAAAAATTGTTTTAAGCTTTATTTAAAATTATAGAAGTTAAATTAGTAACTTGTGGTTAAAAATAATGCTGGTTTTTAAGTTGTAATACATTTTTGTGTATTTTGTGCTGCTAAAATATTAATTTTATCATTAACCCAAATTTCTCATTTTTATTATGTTGTAATTTTTGTTGGATATTTTTAAAGTGTGAAATTTGTAAGTGGTTTAAATTTTGAGATAAAATTGTTTCTAAATTATCAATTTCTTTTACTGTTATGTGAATTTCCTGTTTTTCTTACATTTTTCCCATGTTTTTCCTGGTTTTTCACATTTTCTGGCAAAATCAAAAAAAGGTCTCCTTAAAGTAACTTCCCAGTCAGATTTCCTTTCAGAAAAAATTGTATCATTGTAAATTGGAGCAAAATTGCTTGTAGAAAAGTTGTTCACAGCCGCAAAAAAAGACTTCCTAGAATAATGGAAACGGATGCAGCCAATGTTATAATTATTTGTGTTTTTTTCTAATTTTATACGATGTACACGGATTAATACTGTTTAATAATAATTTCGAAATGACCGATGCTACTATTCCCGTGCGTATTATCATTGATGATTGATTATAAAGACTATAGATTGCTCAAAGACTGTATAATAATTAATGATGCCGCTATAGAGCGCTTTAGGAATACTACAGTCACGTCGGGTGGCAGCTGCGACGCAAAATGCAAATGCCCACGGTTCCATAATATTGATACGGATTCTGTCCTTCACGTGTAAAGTTTGTTAATCATAAATTAACAATACCACGCGACAAGATATGAAATCGGTTGTCGCATTAAGTATACGCACATTAAAGCCATTAATACGGGTGTGATTAACCGATGACGTTCCCATGCAACAACGCATGATACGTGTTCATGGGCCAAAGAGAAAATGTGCCCGGGTACGGACAACGTGTCACCAGTAGACAACGGCGGCAGCGTCCACCACCACCTAGGCCCCGATCGAGGTGACGACCATATATAAGAAGACTGGAATCATCACCGAAGAAGAACTTGAACTCAGTCAGCAGTCAAGACAGCTACACCACTGACGCACGAAAAAGAGGAGCGCCGTCACCTCGACACCAACCCGTTTAGTCATTTCTTTAGTGTATTTATACCTGATAATTACAACTAAGTCTTGACCCGGGGCTGGTGTCGCAGGTTTTCCATTTATAGAAACAACTTGTCAACCGTGTATTATTTTAGTTCTAATAAAAACCATTTGTAGACCTAACACACGTGTACATCTTCCCATCAAAAGGCTGTGTCCGAACGACCCGTAACAATATCATTAACTATAAATACTATACAATATACCTAGTATTTATAAAAGTATACATTTCAATATGTTATAAATATGTTATTTTAATAAGTTCAGTAACATTAATGAGATTAATTTATAATTAGGCACCCATGTTATTTATTCTGTTTTTGTTTTTTGTTTTTTTTTTTTTTTAATAATAATGTATTGATGCACCAGCATTATAGTTGCCAGGACACCTAATAAAATATTGTTAAGACACTAAAAGGTATTATCAATAAGTGTTGTTTTATAGTTGCCTAGTATGTAAAATCTGTTTAATCTTGTAATTATTTCATACTAGGTAGGTACATAACAAAAATAATTATTTATTTGAAGTATAAATTAAGGTTATTATTACTAACTAGTATATGTGGCAATCTTTATAATCATTTTATTCTGTAAAATATAAACATGAAAAAAATTAAAAATAAACAATTAAGTGGAAATTGTAAGGGTCTAAGTGAGATTGTGCAAGATGGAATGGCCTATCCTCCATTGTTCTGTTCTCACAACACATGGACTAAATCTGTTCCTATTTGTGTAATTTATTTATTATTATTAATAATGTAAACAGAACAATAATTTAAGAGTACATTAATAACTTTAAATCACAGCACAGAATTCATCAAATAAAACCGTCTATGTCAATCGGACGAAACTATAGACTAGAACTTGAAAATCGCTTACGTACAATTAATAAATCTCGGGAAAATACCTTAAGTATAAAAATATTGGATGAACATAGTCATTTAATAAAATCACCTGCTATTCTTAGTAGAAAAAAATGTAAACCTAAAACTAAATCAAACGTGAACCTTAGAAACAATAAGTCTTCTGGTGTTGTACATTTGGCGGTGAAGAATTTTTTAAAATTTCAAAATTTGTACCTATTATTAATCTATTTTTGATTATTTTTTATTTTTAGGATTTGTTGTCAGGAAAGTATTATAAAGATAAAACAGAGATGATGGAACAAAAACATGTATCAATGAAAATAAAAAAAGAAAAATCTATTGAAAAACCCCAGTTACTATCAAGGTAATTCTATCAAAATTTCTCAAAAATATCTACATTTACTCTAACAATTCCCTTTACTCTTTAGTTATAATTCATTTTTACAAACGTGTACTGAATTGAATCCAGATGATCAATTAACTATACTAAAAGATATACGAAGTCAAAAAAATCCAAATGAAGTTATGAATAAAAAAGACAATGAAATAATTAATTATTATTTAAACGAAGTAAGGTTATATTTATTAATTTAGATTAATAAAAAAAAAATTGCATACTAAAACTAGTATATATTAATAACTAGGGACATATTTAACTAAGTTCGTATATTTTTTTCTTACTATTCATTTTTAAAAAAAAGTGCTCTATTTTACTAAAATTCAATAGTATCACAACATCAATAGGTCACAAAATACTTCAAATTTAAATTAAATAAATATCAAATATATCCTTAGATAATCGTAATAAATACACTTCAAAATAATATACAAAATAATAATAATAATGATATAATGGCAAATATACAAATTATTTAACACGTTATAATATAATACTAATAGTATTAATAGTACAGTAGTTTTTTTTATAACTAATGACACACGTAAATTATCTTAATACCTAATTAAATAATACGATACTTATTTAGTGTTAATATGCATATTATACTAAACATATAGGTAATAATCGTACCTATATTTATTTACTGGGTGGTTCTCAGTATTTGGGTTAAGTTAGTGCAGTGTTTAAGCCTCTATTGATTGGATATGATAAAGATTAGCTAAAATATAAATAGCCTTGGTAATAATCAATAATTGATTTTATTCACTAACATATTATAGTACCTACTAGTAATAATTACTACAGTCTACAGTTAATAATATACGAAAATACAATATAGTACCTATAGTGCTATAATATTTTAGCATATAAGCTTACCAGGGCTTGGAACCAAAATTAAAAATACCGGTATTTTAACCAGAATCTTTTGAAAATATTGAAACCGGAACCAAACCAAGACATTTTTGATTTTCTTAGGAACCTAAACTGGAAACTTAATCGATATTTGTTGGAAGAGAATTTTTCGGTTCCAATTTTATTTAACTATTTTAGATATTTATTTAAAACATAATAATATTCAAATAATTTGAATGGTTTTGTAAATGTATACATACGTGTATTCATAATTGTATAGTTCTCTAATCTAACAGTTCCAGGAAACGAAATGATATGAACAGTTACCAAAAAAAAAAAAATTTAAAAAACTGATACTTGGGATGGGTTCGGCCACTGTTGTAGGTGGGTAATTTGGAAGGTGAATGTATAACTTTTTTTAAATTACAACTGTGACCAACTATAAACTATTGCTAATAAAAAACGATTCTGAGCAAATTTCAGTTATAGATATTTTGAAAGGCCGTTATATTTACAATTTTCGTCAAAATTTAATTTTAAAGCCCTTATATAAAAAAAAAAAAAAACTATTACATTCAATTTTTATTTTTAACCATTAAGGATGTTCAATAATAAACCACTTGTTAAATTTTCAAGCATTTCTGTTTGGTATTCTAATTTTATCCACAGGGAAAAAATTATACCACTAAATGATATTTACTAGTATTATAACCGAAACATAAATTCAGTAATTTTAAGGATCGGAAGCAAAAACAGTACACATTTTTTTTTAAGGACCAAATTGGAACTGAAACTGAAAAAATCACAAAAGTGTCAAGTCCTGGATTACAACAGTCAACAGCATTATTATTTTATTTCATACTTGTCTATCTATTTTATGCACTTATTTTTTTGCCATTTATGGTTTAATTAATTACATTTTTCATGCATAAAATATATATTATACTTTATATTTTAGGGCATATCTAATGAGATGTACAACTTATTTCCAGAAGAAGTGTTGAAAAGCATTAAACAAAACCATATTAAACCAGTTCTATTAAAAAAGTATGTCAACTATAATAAATAGTTTATAGGTATAGGTACTAACAACATTGAAGAAATAATAATTGTATTTATTATTTATGAAATAATTTAATTTAAGAAACAATTTTTTCTATCTAATTTCAATGTATACAAATTTGAAAATATTTTAATTGGTTCAAAGTTATGAAGGTATTGAAATATGTTGTCTATAAGTGTTTTGTTGTGTACAAATGTATGTACTTTTGATTAGTAAATTTGTAAGGAAAATCAAAAATAAATTTTGAAGTTCTTTAACTAAATTAGAACTACTTGAAAATCGTTTTAAAATATTAAATTTGTTTACTTTGTTTAAGTTTTAATTGATATTTGGAAACTTAGTTTTTATAAATTAAAATATACTACTTTGATACAGTTCATTTATTTAATTAGACATCATTTCATTATGGTGAAATTGGAAAGTGAAGTACGACAAAATTATGATATTGCCAATCATAAAATACTATTAGATTATATATTGATGGATCCAGATGAACTAAAAAGAATTGGAGTATTAAATTACCATACACCAAATTATTCCTCGATGGCTATTCGAGGTCCTGTCTTATGGCATCAAATAACTATTATTCAAAAAGAACAACTTAGACATAATTTATATATCTGTAGAGAATCTATTTTGATGTTAAATAAAATATGGAAAAAGTAAGAAAATTGGACTTATAAATTTCAAAATGAATCATTTACAATAATATTAGATATTATATTTGTTAATAATTTTTGAAATTGTTATTTTTAAAGATATTCCAAAGATTTCATATTTCCAATAAAAGATTTAAAAAAAGTCGGTATGCCTATAGACCCAACATCTTTAAAAGATATTCTGGAAAAGTCTTGTGAACAATTTCGACATAAACTAGTAAAAGAGTACGGAATTTAACCAAGTTTCAAAAATATTTATTAATTATTTAATAACAATATAATACAAAAATACTAAAAACTATTGATGCATCTACATTTTTGATTTGTCAATGTCCTTAGTCTATTTATTTCTTTTTGAAAGAGATTTAAGCTTTTACTAAAAACAACTTATACCTACTTCCTAGGGTGTAAGTATATAGAAGTTTCTAGTTTGAACAATAATTAATTTTAAATTATGAGAGGAGTGAGAAATTTATTGGTTTTACAGTGATGTTTATTTTTATTTAAGTATAGCACTTTTTCTGAAATAAAATTTTACTGGGTTAGTACTATAAAAAGTTAGTTTTTTGATTTTCCTAAGGGTTTTCATAGTAAATGAGATAAACCGGGAAAAAACGTGGGAAAAAGGGAAAATGTACGAAATATATTATCCTCAAATCGTAAATATTACGATTCCCAACTTCTTACAATAACAGTGGCCCACTTATCGTGCATAATAATTTATTGTATCTTAGAATGTATCTACAAATGCTATTACTTAAAATGAATAAAAAAAACATTAGTAACTTACTGTGTATAATTTTTTATCAATAAAATAGATGGATTGAAGAATGCGCTGATTTATTTGTGGAAACAAAAACCAGCTATAGAGATATTTTATCAACATGTGCCATAAAAACATCAAAATATCAAATCCAAAAGTTTTTTGACTGTGTCGCTGCTACTATGTCCAGACAATTAAGGCAAATTGTATTCAAATCTTTGAAACATTTTATGGATAAAATACTTGAATATAAGGTAAAGTTATATTATTAACAAATCTGTAAGAATAAATACAATCCTAAATCTAGAATTGTAAATCACATAGAATTTTGAAGAGGTTTTCCTAAATATTTGATTGAGTATGTAACAGTTGTTTACCAATTTTTTTTTTTTACATTGAATATCAATGACCGAAAGGTAGCTGCAAGTTTCTTCATTTCATCCCCTCTTTTCCCCAGACAATATCTTTTATTGGGTCAATTCAATACACGAATTACGGCCTGGTTTTGGAGCAATCCCTTTCCGAATTCTTCAACAATTTTTACATCGAATTTGTGTACAACGATATACATTTAACGGTTCATTAGTTCTCAATTAATTACTTCTTTTCCAACTTTTTCCATATCACTCTAATAATAAAATTGATGAGGAAATACCAGAACCCTTGACGAAGCTTTAGCTTCACCATACTGTACACATGTGTGTAGCGTCTAAGAGTTCCTCTTCATCCCTTCTCTACGTGTACCAGGCATCATATACAAATACTATGTGGTATGCGTTGTTTATTATTGTTATTAATGACTTACCCCAGATATTTGATAGTTCCATAAAACTTCTAATGTTTGCTGATGATGCTAAATTGTATTGTGTAGTTAAATCAAACTCTGACTCATTCATTTAACAAATTCTTTGCTTGGAGTGAGATAAACTGTTTACCACTTAATATCAATAAATTTCGGGTTATTTCATTTAGTTTTAATAAAAAAAATTGTCCACTTTTATTATACATTGTATAATACTAATTTAACTAGGGTTAAAACAAGTTAGGATTTGCGTATTCACTTTGAATCTGGCTTATCTTTCAAACTTAACCATAAATTAGTTTTAAACAAAGATTATAAAATTTTTGGTTTTATTAACAGAAAAACCCAAACTTAAAATACTAAAAATACCAAACTAAAAATCAAAACAATGAGACCTCTAAATACTGGACACTCTCGGTCTTTGAAATTTTGTCCGCAATTCAGAGGAAGAAAGTGTCCTTTATTTAGTGTCTCGTATTTATATTTAGAGGCTTTCATGTAGGTAAGTAGTGAAAATATCCTCAGTCCCAAAAAAACGTTTGCTATTCATTAGCTGTCCATTAAGAACTAATTGTCCGGTGTAATATAGTTTTAATATAATCATGTAATTATTATATTATATTATTTATGATTTTGTCTTTATAAATTTAACAATTATTCATATCACCCCCTAAAAAAAGGTCCTAGTTATGCCACCGTTCCTAAAAATATGTCTAAATTATATCAATTTTGGTAAACATCTCAAAATATAGATTCTGCACCTATCGTTCAAAAATTGTTCCAATACTATTGATCTAGTGTTTATATTTAAATTGAAATAAAATTATTATGAAATATAAAATATATATTTATTTTTATATTTTTTAAAATTAAACATTTTTTTTTTAAATATTTAGAATGGAAATGCAATATATACTGAATATAAGGATAACATGTTTATATGTTTACCATTTTTTATACTAAAGGCAGTACCTAAACCAAATTCTACTGAAATATCATTTGAGCCCACTCCTGAAGATTGTTTAAATCTTCTATTATCAATTCCACGAAGGATAATTAAAACAGTAGAAAATATTCCAAGAATAGAACAATTATTAATTAAAGGTAATATAATACAAATACTACATATTGTTGAAATCAGTAGTATTATTTAAATCTACAAAAATATATTTAATCCATATTAAAATTTTAAGAATTCAAAGGCGATTCTACAATGGTATTAAAAAATGTAGATGATACAGAAGATGATGTACAAAATATGTTGATTGAAATTGGTAAAATCTTAGAAAATAATTTTCCAGGACCAAAAACATACATTACATACTATGAAACATATTCTTATTTGTCAAATGGATCAGAAACTGAAGCTCTAAATTCATTTTTTAAAAATGATCCATTCCCATTGTTAAGTGTGTGTATCAAAATAAAATATGGATATCATTTTTAAGTTGTTAATAATTAATAAAAATATTTTATTAGGAATTTAACACTTGGATAATAAAATACATGCATATAAACAATGATATTCTTAAGCTTAGACATCGAGTGGAATTAAATTTATTGTTGTTAGATGTAACTGAAATTAATCAGAATTTAAAAAATATTGTTGCAAATTTAAAGAATAAAATTATTGACTATTTTATGAATTTAACTCAACAAACTATTTATGAGTAAATATATTTGGTTGATAAATATATTAGAAATAATAATTATAATAGTTATACTAAGTACAATTTAATAATTCCATAATATATTTTAGAGTTAATAGTGCATTTGAATCAATGTCTATTAAGTCTTCAGAAATGCCTGACACAACTGAAGAATTAGTTGAATTAAGTAATTTCGTAAATGAATGCCGAGATTCTACTTTATCAAAACTAAAAGGTCAATTGAGAACAGTTGGAGATTACATTATGTTTTTATATGAATATACGGAATTCAATGGTTAGTAAAATATTATTTTTTTTAATGTTGGTCTGTTCTACCTGTTATAATATACATATATTCAAAATTAACTTTTATAGATGCTGATATAAATATGTCATCACGGGTATTTCGATGGCCTCAAGAGATTTATCAAGTTTTAGATTCAGCTACAAGAAGAGTTATTCAAAAAAAAGGAGTAGTTGAAGTCCAGTTGAAATCTAAAAAAACTGAATTTGAATTTGAGTATGTGAATTGTTATTTATATTTTCCCAAATTAAATAGCATAATCTTTTAGCCTCAAAATCCATTATAAGTTGTTGGAAAATTTAAAAAAAAAAGATCCTCCTATATTAACAAACAATGAAATTTTAGCAGCAACTGAAGAAGTAGAACGTCTTATTGATTTCTTGGAAGAAGATATAGCTACTGCAAAGGTAACTAAAATGTGTTAAATATCAATAACATTCAATACAAATTAAAAATGTTTCCTAATTATAAATAAATTAATATTCCATATAATTTTCATAATTAAAGTGTTTAAATAATAATATTGTTTTAACCATTAAGTTGAAGAATATGTTTGGTAATGTAAGTTTCTGCTATAAATCTATAGTATAATAAAATTATTAATTATTATTATAATATACAATTTAGAGCATAAACCACACAGAACAACTTTTAGATCTTGAAGTTTCACCATATACCCAACTTCACTCAACGGTTGCAGCTAGTGAACCATTTAATCGGTTGTGGCATATTGTTCATGACTTTCATAACTACTATGAAATATGGTTCAATGGTATCTAAATATTGTATACTATACCTATATACTCGTACTATAAATAATGCAGATCAACTTAATAATTGTTATATTTAACAAAATGTAATGTATTTAACTCTAGGGCCTTTTCAAAATTTAAATGCTATAGAAATAAAGGATATTGTTGATGGTATGTGGAAAAATCTTTATAAATTAGCTAGGAATCTTCAAGATTATCCTGGGTCAAAAAGAGTAGCAGAAATTGTACGTGGTAAAGTTGAAAGTTTTAAAAAGTATTTACCAGTATTAGAAACTATTTGTAATCCCGGTATTCATGATAGACATTGGACAGAGGTAATTCATATTTTAGTGTTGTAAAATATAATTAAAAAGTTATTCCAATAAAAAATATTTATGCACATTAGATTAGTAAAACGGTTGGTGTAGATTTGCAGCCTAATGAACAATCAACATTGTCTGACATGATTGAAATTGGTTTACCTGATTACATTGAAAAACTTGAAGAAATTAGCATGACTGCATCTAGAGAATATTCTCTAGAACATAGTCTTCAAAAAATGAAAGAAGAATGGTTAACTATTGAGTTTGAATGCAGTCCATACAGTGGTGTTAGTATATTAACGTCATTAGATGATATTCAAGTTATGTTAGATGATCACATACTCAAAGCTCAAACAATGCATGGATCAATTTATATAAAACCTTTTGAGGTGGAAATGGATGAATGGGAAAGAAAATTAATTTCAATGCAAGAAATTTTAGACATATGGATTTCTGTGAGTAATAAAATAATTTCCTTAAAATATTTTAAACCATTTATTTGGATTTTATACAGAGTAATGAATGTATACATTCATCAACTCTATAGTATAATGTATAGGAAATCAAACAATTGGCTGTAAGTGTAATAATTTCCATATTATTTTAAATGTATATAGTATATTATTATTTTTACTTTAAAAATACTCTTAGGCTCTAAAATAAATTATATATAGAGATAATCTAATAATATAATATGAAAATAATTAATTATAGGTTCAAGGGGTTTGGATGTACTTAGGTCCAATTTTTAGCTCAGAAGACATAAATCGTCAAATGCCGGAAGAAGCAAGAAATTTTAGAACTGTAGATGCTATTTGGCGTCATATGATGATCCATACTGTTAATAATCGTAAAGTTCTCGATGCAACAAATTATCCGAATATGTTAAAATTACTCAAAAAATGTAGCGTTATGTTTGAGCAGATACAAAAAGGCTTGAATGAGTACTTGGAGAAAAAACGTCTTTTCTTTCCGCGGTATTTTTTATTTTTATGTGTTACCATTGTTAGTTATGCAGACTAGGGCAAAATGGGTAGATATATATTTTAAATATATTATATAAAGATAGATAATATTAATTTAAAGTTTTGGATACATTTTCAAATATAATATTTCTCTTTTTCATTTTAAATAGGAAAATAGGTGATTATTTATTTTATTTTTTTTATACAGAACTTTTCTTCCAGAAATTTCGCTCCTATTTTCAAGTGTTCGGAAAGGAAATTTTATCTGGATGTATTTCAGAAGGTTATTTGTTTGATTTTTTAAGGGATAATAAATAGAAAAAACGTGGTAAAAATGGGAAAATTTATGAAATGCATTATTTTCAATTTTGTTTTTTTGTTGTGATTCAGTTAAAAATTTTTAGTAAGGACTTTAAATGTGGACAGAACACTTTTATTTGCCTTTTCTAAACGCCTTTAAACCATTTTATCAATTTTTGAACTATTTGTAGACTTTTAAATTTTGGGAGTTTTTTACGTCATTTTTATTCGGTAGGTATTTTATGGATAAAATTGTTAGACTTAACAGAAATGCTTGAAAATTTGATAAGAGGTTTTTTAAGAATTTCAGTATCAAATTTTGACAAAAGTCATTAATACTACGGCTTTTTAAAACATGTAAAACCGAACTTTGCTTTAAATCGTTTTTCGTTAACAATGTTTAATCGTTAAATACATTTGTACATTAAATTCTCCTCTATATTTTACTTTCCCGTTTGTCCGTATTTTTTAATTTAATCTTGTATACGATTACATATATTATATTTTAGTTATCAATTAGTATTTAATAGGTAACTAATTATTTATTTTATTCATGTATTACTACTGTATGTAGAACATACAAATTCTTTAGTTAAGATGTTTTTGATGTTCTGTTACTAACTGCTAAACACATTTTGTATTTTATATATTTTAAGTAACCATTTTGTATTCCAAAAATATTTTCAAAATATAAAATATAAATTTTGCATAGGTAGGTACATTTTAATGAGAATGTAACACATTAATGTTTACATAAACACTTTAAAATGATTATGTAACCATTTTGCTCAACCCTGATTATATGACTGTTAAATAATAATATTTACGAATGAGTACATAATATTATCAAGTGCAAAGAATTGTTTTACTAATTCATTTAACGTCATTATAAACGGTTATATCACGTTATATTGTTTATTAAATTATATAATAATATGTATTAGGTATTTAAAATATTATGCTAAACATCTTACATTAATTATAGATTTTTCTTTTTATCTAACGATGAGCTTTTGGAAATTCTATCCGAAACGAAAGATCCACTGCGTGTGCAACCACACCTTAAGAAATGTTTTGAAGGTATTGCTAAATTAAATTTTACAAAAAGTATAGAAATAGTGGGAATGATATCTGCTGATGGTGAAGTAGTTGCCTTTAATGGAATAATTTATCCTGCCGATGCTAAAGTATGCATTCATTTTAAACCTAAAGTAAACGTATTCATATTTTTTTTTTTTCTTAGGGTTTAGTTGAAAAATGGTTAATTCAGGTGGAAACTTTAATGATCCAATCAATAAGTGAAATTATTAACACTGCAGGAAAGGCGTACATTTACTCTCCAAGAGTTGAATGGGTACGTAAATGGCCAGGAATGGTAGTTTTATGTGCTGCTTCTATAAATTGGACTACAGAAGTAGAAATATCTATTGAACAAAATGGACTTTCTGTAAGAAAAATTTTAAAAGTACTTAAACAAGTAAACAGTTTATTATTGTACATTTTATTTTTGTTGTTTTGTAGGCTTATTTAAACAAAAGTAATAAACAAATAGACGATTTAGTAATTTTAGTACGTGGACAATTAAGTAAAGGGGAAAGAGCAACAGTATGTGCTTTGATAGTTATAGATGTTCACGGTAATTAATATAACAGATATTGTAAAAGTAATTTTTTATTATAAATTAGAATAATATACCACATACCTATTTAATATATTTTAAGCCCGCGATGTTGTTAAAACTCTTAATAGTTTGAAAGTAAACAGTATCCATGATTTCAATTGGTTTAGCCAACTTAGGTACTATAATAATGACTTGAAAACAACTGTATCAATGGTAACTACTACTCTTGATTATGGGAATGAGTACTTAGGTAATACGCCAAGATTGGTAATTACTCCATTAACAGATCGTTGTTACAGGTAAAATAATAAGTATTTAATTACAAATATTCAATATTTACATCTTTGTTTATAATTATTAAATAGAACACTGATGGGAGCATTAAAATTATATCTTGGCGGAGCTCCAGAAGGACCAGCTGGTACGGGTAAAACTGAAACTACAAAAGATTTAGCTAAAGCAATAGCTAAACAATGCATTGTATTTAATTGTTCTGAAGGACTTGACTTTAAAGCTATGGGCAAATTTTTCATGGTTTGTATAACAATAACTTGCTTAGATTTAAAATTATTGTTTCATTATAACATTTGGAAAAAGTGCCCAACTAATCAATACCTAATACAAAATTATACTCAAATAATTTTAATATTTATTTAATCATCTCAGTACCTATATAGGTAATACCATAATAAAATATAATATAATATTTGTATTATATATTATATTTCTTAGAGTCAATATCGGAAACTAATATGCTGCACATTGCATTGTTAAGCATAACAATTCGGAGTTTTTTCGTTTAAAAATCTGATATGAGCCATCCCCTAGACCAGCAGTTTTCAACCTCTTCATATCCGCGTACCACTTACATATTTTAAGAGTTTTTATTTACTTCTCAAAAAAAAAAAAATATGTAGGCCATTTTACATGTATGGAACTTTTTATTATTAAATCTACATAATTATAATCATTTAATATACAATAGTACAGTTATTATTTATGAATTACATAGACATTAAAACTAATAACTTGTTTTGCTTACTTGTCAAACAATTTCTTCTCGTATCACCTACGAGCTTTAGAGCTTTACGATTTTTATAGAATATAGATCTGGTCTCTAGTGCCAACCATAAACGTAACTAGAAATATTTATTGTTTTATTAATGGAGTTATGAGTATACAATATATGAGTTGAATTTTAAAATCTTTGAATCTATTGACTCTAAAATTCTAATGAAAAAAAATCTTCATTCATTTGATTATTTCAAAAGGAAATTTGATGATCCAAATATTTGGCCCTTTTATTTATATATATATATATAAACAGAGTGTCCTAAAGTGTTATATGAACGTTACTTAACTCATTATTTTTTAAATTGGGTTTTAGTTTTTAGAACATTGTTGTAAAAACAATTGATTTTCAATGAAAATTAAGGAATTACGGTGCTGATTGTGATTTCTGATTCCTTACCGTGTAACGTGTTATTCCATTGAAAATTAATTGTTTTCACGCCAATTTGCTAGAAATTAAAATGGCTATTTTTAAAATGTTGAAAAATGAAAAATAAAGTTATTTCTTTTTGATGATTAAGGGACGAAAAAGAAATTATTATTTTTTCTGACCACTGATCCACTGACTCACTGACCCAAAACCCGATTGAAAAAATAAAATAAATAAATAAATAATGATAGAGTTATATAATGCTCATATCTAACGGGCCCAATGTAGGAGTATTAGTAATAGCAACTTGATATTATAAAAAATATACAAGTTCAGAAAATATTCTAATTCCAAAACATTAAATTCACACAAATATCACAAATAAATAAGTCTAAAAAATATAATTTACAAAAATAAATACAAATCTAAAAAAATCATAAAATAGAATGACGCGAAGTTGTTTGCATTCGACCTTGATGAACTCGTCTGATTTGCCGATGTTTCGGGCGGATATATGCTCGGAGGGACCCTCGCAACCCGTTGTTCACAGTCACGGCTATCTACATTATTTCGTTCGTGACATTTTTTTATACATCCTGGAATTAATCTAGGCATTATTCATCGATTTTATTACAGAAAATTATATGTTTGCCTTACGACCGTTGTTTTAGGCCTAACCCTTGGTATATTTATTGTATTTCAGTAATTTTCCAAATAAAAGGGTACAATCCCCAAGAAATTTAGTTTGTTGCATTTTTATATTATTTCGTTTCTCCCCTATTTTGGTTAAGGCATTGTCGTTTTTTACTAACCGAATTCAATTCTTAGCTCCCAGTTTTGTGCGTGTTTTCTTATGGATTGGTCCCCTTTTTCGGATAATTCGGCGGGCCGGCAATTACTACGGATTCACGCACGTATACCTATAAATGGCGCGTGAGCACGTAATACATATAACACTGTAGAACAATCTATGTGTTAATCTATAGTAATAACTAATAAGTAATAAACAATTTAAAGTTCTAAAACATATAATATATACATTTTATATAAATAAAATATCAGTTGTTAAAGACTTTTAATTGTAAACGTTTTCAAGTTATTTATGTTATTTTAAACATTATAGGGAGTTGCTCAATCTGGAGCATGGGCATGTTTTGACGAGTTCAATAGAATTGAGCTTGAAGTATTGTCGGTTATTGCTCAGCAAGTAGCCACTATACAAATGGCGACAAAAGCTAATTTAGAAAAATTTGTTTTTGAAGGCACAGAGTTGACTTTAAACCCCACATGTGCAGTTTTTATAACAATGAATCCTGGGTTTAGTATAATTTAATAATTACTAACATAACATTTTATTTATTGGATATATTTAACCAATTTTAGATACGCTGGACGACAAGAACTACCAGATAACCTAAAAGTATTATTCCGTACAGTTGCTATGATGGTACCAGATTATGCTATGATCGCAGAAATATCATTATACTCAATGGGTTTTAGTCATGCTAGAAGGTGACTATTTTTTTATTATTTCATATTTTTAATCACATAATCCAATAAAATAATATTTCAGTTTAGCTGAAAAAATAGTAGATACATATAAGTTATGTTCAGAACAATTATCATCTCAATCACATTATGATTATGGAATGCGAGCAGTAAAATCTGTATTAATATCTATTGAAAATTTAAAAATTAAATATCCCGATAATGATGAAGCACAAATTGTATTAAGAGCTATATACGATGTTAATTTGCCGAAGTTTTTATCAGAGGTTTTTTTCTATGAACTAACTGATTGATAAGTTTTACATAATATCATTCAACTATTTATATTAGGATGTATCACTTTTTATTGGTATATATGGAGATTTGTTCCCTGGTGTTGAACTTTTAGTACCAGAAAGAGAAGAACTAATTAATAAAATACAAATTAACTTGACAAAAAAAAACTTACAAAGTACACCATGGTTCATAGAAAAAATAATACAAACATACGAGATGGTATTAGTTAGACATGGTCTTATGATTGTTGGTGAACCACTTTCTGGAAAAACGTGTGCATATCAGGTTTGTAGATATTATAGTGTAAGTAAGTAACCATCTGCCTGTTAAATTATGATATAATAGTTACGCTAATAGTACATTTTTAGAACTTTTAATTGTGAACTATGAGGTTCTAATGACTATTATTTTATTAAAATATTTATTAGTTTCTATGTATACAAGGTTGGATTTTAATAATTTATATTTTAAATTCTGAGTAGAGGAGCTTATGGTTTTACAAAGATGTTTATTTTTTTTTTTTTTATCTATAGACAACTTTTCTACCAGAAATCTTATTCCGATTTACAATGATACCACTTTTTCTGAAAGTAAATCTGACTAGAAAGCTACTTTAAGGAGGTAATTTTTTTAATAATTTTCCTAGGATTTTTCCCAGCAAATGTAAAAAAACATAGGATGACCAGGAAAAGAGGGAAAATTGGTAAAAATATTATTAAAGAAAATATATAATGCCTATTTAATAATTTTACCATAATATGACATATATATTGTTGACAAAGTATCACTCAACCGAACTCCGCTCAGAATCGTTTTTTTGTTAACAATGGTTAATTGTTGCTTACAGATATACATTTAATTCCCTTTTGTATCCTACCTTCCTAACTTCTCACCTACAACAGTGGCTGCACCCGTTCCTATTATCCTAGGACAGTTTTTTTCATAATAATTTTTACAGTTGTGCATGTCTTATAGTAGGTATATTTATTAATACTTTGTTGGATATTTGAATAAAAATGATTAATCTAAAAATTTCATTAATCTCTATTATTAATTATAATTTTAATAAAAGTATTTAAATGAACTCATCTTTGAACTTTTTAACTGTACAGTTTGAGAAGACTGCAATAAAGAACTAAAATTTATCTTGAACTATAACTTTGTAAGAAGTTATAACTCACTTATAAGTTGTAATTTATAATCATGAGACAATGTATACTAATTTTCAATTTTTTATTGTACGAATTGTATGAAAAACTTAAAAATTTAATTTTATATTATTTTTCCTAATTATTTAATAAGCTATTAGTAGGTATTTTATATTTTATAACGAAAATATTTATTTGTTAATAATTTTTACTATTAATTTTAGATATTAGCAGAATCTTTAGGCGATGTACAACTTGAACTTAAAGCAGTAATGGAAGAATTTAAAACTACGTATAAAATTATTAATCCAAAAGCTATTACTTTGGCACAACTTTATGGATCATTTGATAAAGTCTCACATGAATGGCATGATGGTAAATTAAAAATTTTTATTTTTATGTACATAACATTTGTTATTATTTTTCATTTACATTTTAGGAGTTTTAGCAATTATTTTCCGTGAGTTTGCAAATAGCATATCAAATGATCGTAAATGGATTGTATTTGATGGACCAGTTGATGCAGTATGGATAGAAAATATGAATACAGTTTTGGATGACAACAAAAAACTCTGCTTAATGTCTGGTGAAATTATTCAGGTTTAAATAAATACCACATTACTTTTTAGTTCTGAATTGTATAGTTTATTGTGATTAATAATTATATATGAATATATTATTTTTATTGTATTATAGATGAATAGTAAAATGAATATGATATTTGAGCCAGCTAATTTGGACCAAGCTTCACCTGCAACAGTATCTCGTTGTGGCATGCTATATCTTGAACCCAAGCAACTTGGGTGGCGTTCGTTTTGGCTTTCATATAAACAAATTATTTGGCCCAAACTCTCGCCTGATCAACAAGTAATGATGGATGAAATGATTGAATGGTTGGTTCCTGCTACATTTAATTTTATATACAGGAATTGTAGTTTATTTTTAACTACATCTGAAAATCATATGTTTAATGTAAGTAGTTTCGTTTTGAGTCATATAAATTGAATACCAATAATTTATTAAGTTTCTATAGTCTTTTACTAGATTAATTAATTGTTTGATTAAAAATGAAACTGGAGTTGGAATTGCAGCTAAATGGTTAGGATGTATAACAATTTTTTGTTTGATTTGGAGTTTTGGTTCTACAATAAAAGATGATAGCAGAAATAAATTTGACACATTCCTGCGAAAAATTATTCTTGGACAAAATGACCAACATCCAAAACCTCAAACTTTTATGTTGACCAAAAACCATCTATTTCCAGATGGTGGTACAGTTTATGACTTTGTATATGACAAGAAAAATAATGGCTCTTGGATTCAATGGTCAGAAAAATTAGATTTGAAAAGAATTCCACCTGATGCTAAAGTAAATATATTATAATTTTTTAATTATTTTTCCTTAATAATAAAATAAATTCTATTTAATCATTTTACACAGTCTTAAAAATTTATAGCTTTGTATTTTTTTTTTTTGTTAATCGTTAATTAAATAATTAAATAATTAAATAATGCTAAATTATGAGATTGATGATTCATTTATATTAAGTCAATTAAATTTCAAAGTTAATAGCTACCACACTCGTAACAATCATTTATTTTATATTCCTCATTCATCTAAAAAGTTTACGTCATATGACCCCATAAATATTTTAATGTCTTCGGGAAATAGTTAATTATTTTATTAAACATTGAATGTATTTTTATTATTATATTCATTATTATTNAATTATATAAATTTATAATTTATATAAGTTATATTTTATTGTTATCTATACAAATATATTGTGAATTGGACTTTTGTCCGTATTAATAAATAAATAAATAAAATAAATAAATAAATAAAAATAAATTACCTATATAAGTTTTTAGCTTCTATAAATTAATAATATAAATAGTGTACTTTAAAAATTATTTAGTGAAATATTAATGTTTTCTTTCCTTATTTATTTTAGATTATGAGCGGAACGAGAAATATATTAGTTTTTCAATGATAATTATTTTTATTATTTTTTTATGGACAGTTTTTTTCACCAGCCATTCAAATGTAGCACTATATCTGAAAGGAAATTTGACTGGGGTGGTACTTAATAGGTCATATTTTGATTTTCCCAGCTATTTTTGGAAAACCCGGATAAAACAAAAAAAAACCAAGAAAAAACTGGAAAATTTACAAAATGTATTACTTTACTTCCAAATCGTAAATATTACTGGCCTTTTAAAATATATATAACTGAAGTCAGAACTCCACTCGGAATCGTTTTTCATTACCAATAATTAATTGTTGGGTACAGAAATACATTAAATTCCCCTTTATATCCTACTTTCCTAACCTAACTTAACCTACAATAGTGGCCAACAACTTTATTTTTTTGTTTTTCTAATTATTATATATATATTTTACTAATTATTATATATAATGTCTATATCTTCGTTAATTTTCTTCTCATAGTGACGCTTCTCTCTTCTTATAAACTTGCAATTATTGCTTCTATGTACTTAATTATGTGTAGAATTACCTGATGAATTCTGCAGGGCTATCTTGCTTAGTTCATTTCTTCTTTGCATACGTTATTGAACCAACTCTTCTTTTTCTCTTTCTTTTTTCTATGTCCAAATTTTTCGCTGGCACTATTGATCAGAGATTTTATAGATGGTTCCAAGTGGAGTTATATATTGTATTACTACAACTTTTTTCGTAAATTATTTAGCATTGTAATGTATAATGTTAGATTTAAATACTACACATTCAATATAAGTCACACTTATAATAGGTGTGCAATTATTTGAAATTGTATTTTACCTGAAGCTAATTAATTTTATATTTTGTATATTGCAAAATAAAACTATTCTTATTATTTCCCCTATTTTTATTAATTGGCTTAGTTTGTATATTAATATGAAATCTTTCAAAAAATCTCTTAGAGCCTTAGGGTCATCTAGCCTATGAATATTGAATTTTCTCTAGTTATTTTCTTTACCATATTCCATTTTGTAGACAATCTGAGATTAAATTGTACCAAAAGTAGGAAATGGTCAAAATCAACGTTCGCACGTCTTTATAAGTTCTCATCTTTCTGATACAACCATAGTTTTTTTGCTTATCATTATGTGATTAATCTGATTATGTAGTTTAATATTCGGAGAAACTCATGCGTATTTATAAATATCCTTCCTTGGGAAAAAGGAGCTACTTTTTAAAAGTTCTTTTGACGCAAAAAAGAGGATGTCTCGTACCATTGTCATTACTTGATTCGTATAAGCTCTCAGAACCTATTATAAGCCTGTACATGCACTTTTTGCTCACTGTAGCATTCAGATCTATCCAAATTGTATGTTTCTACAAATATTTTTAACTGAATTCCAACAAATAACAAAATTAAACAAATAATAATAAAGCATTATTTTCGTAAATATCCGATTTTTCTTATGCTTTATTCCAAGTTTTCCCAGATATTATGAAAAACGCTTGGAAAATTAAAAATTGATCTACTTAAGGTACCATCTAGAAAATATTTCCTGTCAAAAATTATACCATATGTATATATCGGAGCAAAATGTCTAGTAGAATTTTCGTACACTTTATAAAAAAGTTTTTGAAAATAAATATCTTTGTAAATCCAATACATTCTTCACTACACTCAGAATCTAAAAGACAGACGTATCTTGTACGATGAGTGAGTGACTATTATAAACTTATAACTTATAGGTGGAAAGTTGGTAAAGTAGTGTACAGAGTATAATATATGTATATCTGTACGTGACTATTAATCATTGCTAACAAAAAATAATTCTGAGTCGAGAAATTTTGAAATACTGCAATATTTACGATTTTCTTCAAAATTTAATAATGAAATTCTTCTTATGAAAAAAAATTACATTACACTCAATTTTTATTTTTTACTGAAAAGTACGACTTATAATAAACTTTCTGTTAAGCATTTCTGTTTGTCTAAAAACTATATGAAAACTTAAAAATCTACTATAGTTCAAATGTTTTAAAAACTTTACCACTTCTAGAAAAGGCAAAAATAAGTTTACTGTCTAAGGTCAATTTTATGTCTATATGATTATTTTTTACTAAATTACAACAACAAAACAAAATTAAAAATAATAAAATAAAACTATTATTTTCATAAATTTGTCCATACATTCTACATATTTTTTTGGTTTTGCTCAATTATTAGAAAAACTACAAAAAAATCAAAAATGACTTTCTCGGTTCTCTTTTTTTTTTTTTCTTGGACTATAAGATATTAAAATAATAATTGTTTTTATGATTGATTAAGAGGCTTACATGTAGGAATTTTAATTTTCTTTTTTATATCAATTATTATTACTTATATATTTTTTTTCATTTTATTACTTATAAATAGATAAATGACTTAATCATTGGAACGGATGAAACTGCAAAACAACAATATTTTCTTCAGATGTTTTTAGAAAATGAAATTCCTTTACTATTTGTTGGACCTACTGGTACTGGAAAATCAGCTATAGTGCTTAATTATTTAATGCTCTTGCCTAAAGACAAATTTTTAGCTAATGTTTTAAACTTCTCTGCGCAAACATCAGCTAAAACTGTACAAGATATAATAATATCTAAATTAGACAAGTATAAAACGTGTATACATTTTATTAAATAGATACCTATAACTTATAAACTACATTATTTTACAGGAGAAGAAGAGGAGTGTTTGGGCCACCTGTTGGTAAAAAATGTTTGTTGTTTATTGATGATTTAAGCATGCCATTACCTGAAAAATATGGTGCTCAACCTCCCATAGAATTATTGAGACAATGGATTGATCATAACCATTGGTATGATCTCCAAATGATGTCTAGAATAGATATGCTAGATATGGTTAGATTTATTTATTAATTTATTATTAAAATCACATATTTGTTTTACTCCTTTTAAATTATTTCATTATTTTTCTTCAGTTATTTATTGGTGTGCTTCAACCTCCTGGTGGTGGTTCAAATGATGTTACTACACGTTTGACGCGACATATGAATGTTATAGGTATAAATTCCTTCAGTCAAGAAACCATGTTAAAAATATTTACTCAAATCGTGGATTGGCATGTTAGCAAAGGGTTTGCTGAAGCTATAATATTTCAAGGAAAAGTATGAATTTATTTTTATTAAAATTAGAATAGATACATCTTTAATTATAATTTGATTTAGAATGTTGTAGAAGCTATACTTTTTGTGTATAAAGAATCAGTTTCCACATTTTTACCAACTCCTGCAAAATCTCATTATACTTTTAACCTTCGAGATTTTACCAGAGTCATAAAAGGGATATTATTATTACCCGCATCTCGATGTAAAGTTATTGAAAAATTTTTCCGTTTATGGGTTCATGAGACATGGCGTGTATTTGGAGATAGATTAGTTGATGATGATGATCGTATCAAATTATTTGATATTATGCAAATTGCATCTTATAATTGTTTGAGACAACCAATGGACAGTTATCTCAGTGATTTAATGGTTGTTGAAGAGGATAACACTCTACATTCTAGTCATTTGCGAAACTTATTTTATGGAAACTACATGGATCCAGATAGTGATATAAAAATTTATGACGAAGTTAACAATGAAAAACTGTTAACCGAACGTATGGAGTACTATTTAAATGAGTACAACACTATGTCTAAAAGTCCATTATTAATGGTTATGTTCAAATTTGCTATTGAGCACGTATCTCGTATAAGTAGAGTTTTGCAGCAAGATAATGGTAATTTGCTATTAGTTGGAGTAGGTGGCAGTGGAAGACAATCGGCTTCAAAGTTGGCAACATTTATAGCAGATTTTAAAATATTTCAAGTATGTTTTGAATAAAAATGTACATTTTATAATACATAAATATAATAATCTGTAAATATTGTTGAAAGATTGCAGTAGGAAGTAATTATGCCAAAAATGAATGGAATGAAGATATGAAAAAAATATTAAAATATGCTGGATGTGAAGGAAAACCAATCACATTTTTTTTATCTGATAGTCAAATTATAGATGAAAGTTTTGTAGAAGATATAAATATGCTACTTAATACGGGAGATATACCAAATCTTTTTCAATCTGAAGAACGAGTTGATATTTTAGATAAAGTATCTAATATTGCTCAAAGTTGTGTAAGTTTAGTTATATAGTAACTAAAAATTACAAAAAGATACAATTTAGAATTATATTTTATATATTATATACAGATAAATATGTATTTATATACTCGTATATTTTAATTATATTTTATTTAAATAAAAATTCTCAAATTAATAAAATATAATTTTTGTTACAGGGTAAAAAAATTGAAACAACACCTCTGGCTTTATATAATTTCTTTATTGAAAGAATCAAAGAAAATCTTCATCTTACTTTAGCTTTATCACCAATTGGTGAGGCCTTTAGAACACGCTTAAGAATGTTTCCTTCACTGATCAATTGCTGTACTATTGACTGGTAAACTATTAGTATTTAAATAATCTACATTACAGATTATGAACATTTGAATATTTTAATAAAAGTTTTCTAATACACATTTTCAACAAAATTTTGCAAGTAAGTATATTATCAACAAATTTTCCAAAACACACTCGTGTCCAAAATTTTTGGGAAACATTTGTTGATAAAATATTTTATCAAGGACTTATAATTTTTCCAGGGATAAGATTAATTTTATGCATTTAAATAAATAGGTTTACTGCTTGGCCTGAAGACGCTCTTGAAAAAGTTGCCGAATATTATTTACAAACTATGTCTCTACCACTTGATATTGCAACATCCTGTGTGACAATTTGTAAAGAATTCCATACAACTGCTAGGGACGCTTCCATTATGTAAATATAATACCACTTTATAAGTTACCTGTACTAAGCACTATTGAAATTTATCTATGTAGGTAGGAAACAGCTAGGTAATTTTTTCTAAAAATTGAATCAAACAATATTCGGTCTTGTAAAATGTAAAAATATATAGTATAATATTCATATAGGTACCTACTTATTGTTGGAAAGTAAATAACCTTTTAAATTCTAATAACTTTATTATATAAAATTATACTGAAATATTCGACCTATACTGACTTATTGAAAACATTTGGTGTCTATTTATATTTAACATACTTATTAATATTGTACATAATTTAGAATTTTAAATTACTTTTGGTGCAACATACACCTTAGCAGTGGTGCCCTCTTATAGATCCAATTCTATTTTCCAACCAAAATTGTTTGTTAATAATGTACTATTGCGTACGTTGTTTTTACTTACAATATGCATAGAGAAGATAAAAAAAAATAATAATTAAAATATCTTTTCAAATTTAATTTTAGGTTTTACTCAAACTTAAAGAGGTATAATTATGTTACACCAACTTCATATTTAGAGTTAATTAAGACATTCCAAAATGTACATATGAAAAAGGTAACTGAAATTACAACTTCACGAAATAGATACGAAACAGGTTTAGAAAAAATAGATTTTGCTGCTGGTCAAGTGTCTGTTATGCAAGACCAACTTACAGCTTTAAAACCAAAATTATTAGAGACTTCAAAAGAAACTGAAGAACTAATGGTTAAAATTGAACTCGACACTATTCAAGTTGAAGCCAAAAAAGAAGTAAATTTAAAATTAAATTAGTTTTAATTGATGATTCTTAATTAATAATAATAATACTATTTTAGATAGTGGGTGCAGATGAAGCTCTTGCTAATGAGGCTGCAGCAGCCTCTCAGGCTATTAAAGATGATTGTGAAAGTGAATTAGCTGAAGCTATACCAGCCCTAGAATCGGCAGTTTCGGCTTTAAATACTCTAAAACCAGCAGATATTACTTTAGTTAAATCGATGAAAAACCCACCATATGGTGTAAAGTTAGTATTAGAAGCAGTTTGTGTAATGAAAGGAATTAAATCTGAACGTAAGCCAGATCCAAGTGGCTCCGGCCGAATGATTGAAGATTTTTGGGGACCTTCACAGAAACTTATTTCCGATACTAAATTTTTAGAAAGTTTAAAAACATATGACAAAGATAATATAGATCCTGCAATCATGAAAGTTATACGTGAAAAGTATGAATTATATATTATAATTTTTATTACGGTTCTATAAATGTACATAATTTATATTTATATTTATACAGATATATTCCTGATCCAGATTTTAATCCAGTTGTTATTAAATCAGTTTCTAATGCATGTGAAGGTTTATGTAAATGGATACGAGCACTAGATGTTTACGATAAAGTTATTAAAATTGTTGGACCTAAAAAAGAAAAACTTCAAAAAGCGGAAATGGACTATAATATACAAATGGAAAAACTTAATGAGAAAAGAGCTGAACTATCTGGTGTACTAGGTAAACTTCAAACATTGAGAGATGAACTAGCAGAAAAGACTAAAGGGAAAAAGGAATTGGAAGACAATATTGATATGTGTGCTCAAAAATTAACTAGAGCCGAAATATTAATTAGTGGTCTTAGAGGTGAAAAGTACAAATGGAGCCAAACAGCTAAAGAATTACAATCAACCCTTGATAATTCAGTTGGTGATGTATTGCTATCTTCGGGTGTTGTTGCATATCTTGGAGCATTTACTGTTGACTATAGAAATGTTTGTATACATAAATAAAGTTCATAATTATAAATATAATAATAAAACAACATTTTTCAGGCACTCGTTGAAGATTGGAATAAAAAATGTCTACAAATGAATATTCCGTGTTCACAACATTTTTCATTAGTACATACACTAGGACAGCCAGTATTAATCCGGGAATGGAATATGTTTGGACTACCAGCTGACAATTTTTCAGTTGAAAATGGGATCATTATACATAATGCTACACGGTGGCCTTTAATGATTGATCCTCAAGGTCAAGCAAATAAGTGGATAAAATCTATGGAAAATAATAACAGGCTTGCTATAATTAAGTTGTCAAATTCAAAACTTACGAGTATATTACAGTTAGCTATTGAACATGGCTTCCCAGTTCTTTTAGAAAATGTGCAAGAAGAACTCGATGCTACATTTGGTATTATTATAATATTTGCATTAATTTATTTTTTAAAAAGAGCTGATACTGGGGATGCGAGTGAACACTATTATAGATGAGAAGTTGGGAAGGTAAAATACATAATGTTATTTCGTTTATATTTGTAAGCAACAATAAACCATTACTTGAAAGACGATTCCGAGCGTAGTTCGGTAATACATAATTTACAGTGGCGAATTTTTTTTTGTGTTTTTCGTTTAAACTTTATTTCAAAATGATTATTAAAAAAAAAAAGTCGTCCGATCATGTTAGAAATTTTACCACGTCTAGGTAAATCCAATATAACTATTACTACCAAGTTTCAAGTCTCTATGTGTATTTATAACTGAATTACAGCAAACAAATTCTCAAAAATTAAAATTCCTTAAAAACTCAAAAATTTTGGCCATTATACTGTAAGAAAGAAAATAAAAGTAACAAAAAAGGTATCTTGTGATTTTTTCGATTAAATCGTTTTTATTCTGGTAGAAAAAGTGTTCCGTGTTTTTATAAAATAATAAAATCGTGAAATTGTACGTTTTCTACGTTTTTTCCCACTTAAGTGTTTTTATTTAAAGAATGGGGTTGAAAATCAAAAAGTAACCTCTCTAAAGTACAATCTAGACAACTTGAGCTTTCAGAAAAAGTGCTACACCTAGACATCAGAACAAGTTTACTAGGAAAAAATATGTCCACAGACTAGAAAAAGAAAAAAGAAATAAATATCTTAGTAAAACCAATAACTCCCTCGCTACGCTTGGAATCTAAAACGAATATATTAAGAATTCGAGCCTTACCTCATATGGATGACCGTTCGAAACACATTCACTCATAATCTATGGGGAAAATAAAAACGATTCTGAAGAAATAGCTATAGTTATACCATTTCTTTTAATAAAGAAACATTCAAAGGCATCTAGGAAGCTCTCTTACCCTGGCACCTGACTTGAAAATTATGTTATAAATTTGTTACGCAATTTTAATCCCCGATCCCATCTTTTAATTTCTGGACACTAGGGTAACCTTCCTTCAGCACCTAACACACATAACATTTAAGATAAAATTCCCAAGTCGAGTGCCAGGGTAGGTGAGCTCTAGGACATTTCATCATCACCGTCTTGTTTCCAGAAACTTCCCTACGAATATTTTATATTATACAGGATTATCTTTTTATCATGAACTAACAATTTTCTCTAGAGATTTTACTTTGGGTAAATTTAATTTCTATCTTTTTCAATCATTATGAAATCGTTTAAGCTTTATTATTTGAATACAATTTTAAATATATTTACACTTCAAACGGGAATCTTCCATTTTAAATACAAATTCAAACATAGAATGTTTTTCTAAACATTGTGTTATATGTATTGTGTAGTAACACTAATATCAGTAATGACAACTGTTTATGAGTTACAGGTTTAAAACAGTTTAAAAGCTAAACCGGAGGAGTAGGAAAGAGTAATAAACTTCTAAGAGTATATGCGTTACATCGGCCCCCACTGCCTCCCCCCCCCCAAATTTTATTTTGCAATTTTTTTTTGAGCCAATAATTACTACTCAATCCCAGTGAATTCCTGACCATATTTTTATGATTCCTGCTTCACCAGTTTTCCCGGAAAGTCGAATTTTCCATGGGTTGGTTTTTTTCATCCCCGCCCATCAGTTTCAATAATTTTACCATTTTGATCTCCAGAATGTTTTCTCTTAAAAACATATATATATATTGTTTTATATGAACAATTATCAATCGTACACTAATATACCTAATGAAACACTTTGGATTTACAATGTTTTTTAGTTGATTAATATATATAGGTACTCAATTCCTGAAGCAATTCTAAACATTTGTAATTAAATGTTAGTATGAATGACATATGCACACAATTTGTCTATAAAATACAACTTTTTATGCTATTTTTAAATATTAATACATCTGAAATGTTATAGTTTAGCAACAACTAGACAAAATTATCCACCAAATACTACCCTTGGTGTTGGTGGTTAGAGTAAAATCTCTGGTTAAAAAAATTGTTAAAATTAAACTATTATGCTTTTTATTATTATTATGAATTTATCTTTGTAAAAATAAAATTCTCAGAGAAAGTAATGACTGTCCCTTATCCCTCAAATACGTTACTGTCTGCAAAAGTTGCTCCTATGTAGTTCAACATTCAGTATTATTTTTTTTATAACATTATGTTTGTAGTTGCAAAATATTCAGCTCTCAAATGTATGCCTAGGTACCCAATAAAAATATAAAAATATTTTTTATTTTTTTTTGTGAATGATATTTCTACCATTTCCAATTTACAAGTGTAGCACTTTTTCTGAAAGGAAATCGGACAAGAAGCATAATTTAAGGAGGTTATATTTCGATTTTCCCAGAAGTTTTCTCAACAAATTGGAAAAAACTGAGAAAAACAGTATAATATACAAAATGTATTAGTAAAATATTAATATTACGACCTTTTTTTTCTGTGGGCAACTTTTTTGCTACCAGCAATTTTCCTCCGATTTACAATAATGGCACTTTTTCTTACGGGAAATCCGATTGGAGAAGTACTTATAGGGGGTTATTTTTAGATTTTCTCAGGAAATTTCCCAATAAATGCTAAAAATCGAGAAAACCCATGGAAAACTGGTAAAAGCGTAGGAAAACCTGAAAGATAGGTACAATATTAAACAAATATTATTAAAGAAAATATATAATACATAATTAATTATTTTATCATAATATGACCAATATTATCCAACGTTTATAAAACACATGGCCTGTTTAATTTATATCTATAATTTAATTAATTAAGTTTGTATTCTAATTTTCCAACAGTGGCACATCCATCCCTAGTATTAGCTCTTATTTAATTTATTGTTTGTGTAATGACAACTTAACCACTAAAACAATATTTGGTTTTTTTTTTACATTTATTAAATTGAATTACGCAAATTATCAATTTTTAAAACAAAATTAAAATGTAACTTATTGTTTTTACAAATGTGAATTTTAAATAGATCAAGTACTGTTGAAAAATACCTTTAAACAAGGAAAAATTGAATATTTGAGATTTGGTGATAATTTATTGGAATACAATCACTCATTTAGACTTTACATCACAACACGACTTCGAAATCCTCATTATCTACCAGAAATATCAGTTAAAGTAGGTTTAACTATATTATTAAAACAATCAGTAAAAGTCAAATTTATATTATTTACATTTTGTAAATAATTTGATTCCATTTAGTTTACAAATTATTTCCAAACAAATTTACCAATTTTAGTTAATTACTACAAATAAAAAAATGTTTATGAATATTTAATTTTTAATTGAATACCGTATTAAATATAATACTTATAATGCAGCAAATTTTTGTCTATAGATAATATTTTTTTTTTAATGTGCGTTTATTTGTTATTTAATCTATATCGTCTTAAAATTAATTTTCAACTAAAAATAATTTTACCAAATGTATTTTAAATTAATTCAGGTAACATTACTAAACTTTATGATCACTCAACAAGGATTACAAGATCAATTATTAGGAATTGTTGTTGCTCAAGAACGGCCTCAATTAGAGGAAAAGAAAAATCAATTAATCATTGAAAGTGCTGAAAACAATAAATTACTTAAAGAAATCGAAGACAAAATATTGTACATTCTCTCATCATCTCGGGGAAATATTTTGGAAGATGAATCAGCGATAAAAGTTTTGTCTTCATCAAAAGTATTAAATTCGTACAGAACTTAAATATATATATACAGAGTGGAATTCGACAAATGTAATAAATTTTATACTATTCAATTATTTTGATATACATTTTTTTTACATAATTACTAATTAGTAATGCGCCTCAGCGCTACAGTTTATGTATGAATATATTTAATGGGATGGGAACTTAAAATAAAAAAATTAAAATTTTACTATAATTTTTTAAAAAAATTCAAAATAGGTATTTTGTAAAATAAATTTTTAGAACATTTTTGATGGTTGAAACTTTTTTTGAAGTATGATCTTTTATTTTCTATGATTTTTTTAAAGTTTTTGTAAATATGAATATTACCTATTGTGGTGGTTATTCAGTTATCAGTTATTAGTCATCCATGAATTAATATCATGCAATTAAATTAGCATGTGATAATTATGAGGTAGTTTCAATCAATCATTAATGGTAATTTATTTTGCTAAACAATATTATCATGATTGAAAAGAAAATTTTTCAAATTTTCAAAAAATCATAGAAAATAAAAGACCATTCTTTAACAAAAGTTTCGATCATCAAAAATTTTCTAAAAATCTATTTTACAAAATGGCAAAACATTTTTTCTAAAAACATTAAAGAAAAATTTTAAATTTTTTATTTTAAATCCCTCTCCCCCTAAAAAAAAAATATTCATACATAAACTGTTGCGCCGAGGTATACTAATTATTTAAAGAATATACATATCAAAAATATTAAATAGATCAAAAATTACTGCATTTATCGAATCTTTGTAGTACACTCTGTATATGTATATAATGTATTAATGTCAATTTAATAATTTATACAGTCATTATCGGCTGAAATTCAATCAAAACAAGAAATTGCTTTTGTAACTGAAAAAGAAATTGATGTAGCTCGTGATGTTTATATTCCTGTCTCTAAACATTCCTCCGGTTTGTTTTTCTGTATCACGGATTTAAATTATATTGATCCTATGTACCAGTATTCATTATCATGGTTTATAAACCTTTATGATCAGGTAAGCTTTAAAATAATTGATTGTTAATAGATCTTTAATTTATTTCTTTTTTCTAACCAAAAGTTTTTTTTGTAATTTGTAAGTACCTTCATTATAAATTATATTTAGCATTTTATTAGAACAATGAAATAATTTAAAATCTAAACTGGCTAAATAGAGCAAAGGTAAACATCTAATTTATTTTAATCTGTTTCCAAAATTTTAACATACAATGAAAGTAAATATAATTTTGTAATAGAGTGGAATCATCATCACTGACCATCTTAAAAATGTTTATCTATAAATATTTTATTTGATCTATGTGTGGTTGTCAGCTATTGAAAAAAATAATAACTAAATTTTAATAAGTACATTATAAGTTAACCAATACTTAGTTTAAGTTTCAAAATCTTAAAAACTTATGAAATTAAAAAGACGTCCTAGAATAATGGGGACAGATTCAGTCACCGTTATCGAAAATTCAATGTATACCTGTAACTTATAAACAACAATAAACCATTACTTACGAAAAAACGATTCTGAGCGGAGTTCAGTTAATAGTGATGCTTTGTCAACAATATATATATAATATGTTATTTTATGGTAAAAAAATTAAATAGACTTTATATATTTTCTTTAATAATATTTTTTGAATATTGTACCGATTTTCACAGTTGTCCTACATTTTTTTGGTTTTCCTGCGTTTTATCCCGGTTTTTCAAATTTCCTAAGAAAGCAATTAGAAAAATCGAAAAATGACCTCTTTAAAGTACCTCGTTAGTAAAATTTCCTTTTAGAAACATTGCGATCATTAAAATTTGGAACAATATTCCTGGTAAAAAAGTTGTGCGCAGAAAAAAAGAAAGCCGTAATAAATTTAAACTAATACCTACATTTCTTATATCTTCCCGTTTTTATTTTTCGGTTTTTCAAATTTGATGAGAAAACTTCTGATAAAATCGAAAAATGAGCCCTCTCTAAAGTATCTCTCTAGTAACATTTCCTTTTAAAAACATTACTATCACTCAAAATTGGAGCAAACGTCTTGGTAGAAAAGTTGTGCACAGAAAAAAAAAATCGTAATATTTCAATAATATATTTCGTATATTTTTCCGTTTTTTTTTTTGTAGGTTTTTCAAATTTGATAAAAAATGCCCATTTCAAAGTACCTTTCCACTCCGATTTCCTTTCAGAAATGTTGCTACATGTAGTAATTCAAGCAAACCTTTTGGTAAAGAAAATTGCGCACAGATACAAAAAAAAAATCTTTATAAAATTATAAGCTTCTTCGCTCCACTCAGAATTAAAAATTAGTATTAATATTTTAACATTTTAACATATTAACATTTTCTCGTTCTATTTTTATTCTACTTCCTACTTCATCTATGATTTTATTGTAGTTTATATTAGTAAATAATAAATACTTATTACAAGTATTTATTCAGTAAATTAATTAATGCAGATGATTACAACAAAAATCATATAACTTGTCAAATTAAAAAATTTCACTATATACAAATAAAAATGAATAACCCTAGCAGATATACTGGACATAGGTAACGATTCCACCCTATTATGAATCATTTACAGTTGTCATAATAACACATACTCATATATATTTTATTTTCCTTCACCTTCATCCCAAATATTTAGGGACCGTCGTAGCCTTGTTCTAAACATCCATGTCTTTCATTTCCCCTACTTTCTCCTCCTTTATTTTTATTAAACTATATTATTTGTTATACTTATTTAACTATTTATTTTATGCATTTATGACAGTCAATTAAACAAAGCAATAAATCTGATAATATTAACGAAAGGATACAAATTTTAAATGATTATTTTACATATAATATCTACCGAAATGTTTGTAGATCTTTATTTGAAAAAGACAAATTGATTTTTTCGTTTATCTTAACAACTGGAATATGTCGATCCAAGGTAATAACATAAATAAAATCATTAACCTACATATGTAAATGTATGAACTACTATAAATTTGTATTAACTTTATACTATAGGGAGAACTCAATGATGAATTATTTACATTATTTCTTACTGGAGGAACTGGATTAATTAATGTATACCCCAATCCTGCCATTAAATGGTTAACTGATAAATCATGGGCTGAGACAGTTCGAGCATCTCAATTTCCAAGGTAAAAATGTATAACGAAAAACTGTTGTTTACAATATATTTATTTCTAATTATTAGTTTATAATAAATAATTTATAATAGAATTAATTAAATTAAACATTAAAAATATTATAGGGAAGAGAGTATACACTGTACACTATATATTTCTAGTTTTGAATTCTCTTGTATATACCTAGAACAAAACGCATACATATATAGTTGTAACCTTATTATAAATAACATCATTTAATTTGTAGAAAATAAATCATTATTCATTTGATATTATTTTAATAATTAATTAGTCAGTTGTACAGGCAATCGTTCATCAAATTATTTTTTAAGTGCAATTTAAAAACAATTAACATTATTACATACCTAAATAAAAAATTATTCGAAAAATATTTATGCTGCAAATAATGAGGTAGGTTCACTTACATATAACTTTTACGTTGTCCACATAAGAGGTTTGAAACCACGTAATAGTTATATATTTTTAAATTACTACTTAATTGATTTTTTTTTTTTATTATTATTCTATACTATGCCTATAGAACAAAACTAGTTATAATACATAAAATAATACAAAAACTATTTCACATTATTGCATTTATTTTATAGTTTGAATCAATTTTATAAATCAATTGTGGATTTCACTGATGAATGGAGAAAATGGTACGACTCCAATAATCCTCAAGATATGCCAATTCCAGAACCATATCAAAGTGTTGATGGTCTTGAAAAACTTATAATTATTAAGTGTATTCGATCAGATAAAGTGATTCCAGCTATTCAGGTATATATTTGCCATAGTTTTTATTTTATTTTATATGAAACAGACTTTTTATTAAAAACACGAATATTTAGTACTACATTATAAGTAGTATGGGTAAGAAATATATTGAACCGCCATCATTCGACTTGGAAGACTCATACAAAGACTCAAACTGTTGTACTCCTTTAATATTTATATTATCACCGGGAACGGATCCAATGTCAAATTTGATTAAATTTGCTGAGTATAAAAATATGAATCGAACAGATTTAATTACTATATCACTTGGTCAAGGACAAGTAATTTATTAATTTATCAAAATGATTTGTTTTAGTAATAAAAATACAGAAATATTATGATTAAAGGGTCCAATTGCTGCTAGCATGATAAAAACAGGCATAGATTTGGGACAATGGGTTGTGTTGCAAAACTGTCATTTAGCTGTAAGTTGGATGAAAGAACTTGATCGTATTTGTGATGAAGATATTATACTAAGCCAAACTCACGAATCATTTCGCCTCTGGCTTACTAGTTATCCGTCTGATAATTTTCCTGTTTCCATACTACAAAATGGTAAATTTAAGTTTAATTAGTGATGTTTCTCATTTTAACCTCTTTAAATTAAATAGGAATTAAAATGATAAATGAAGCACCAAAAGGTCTCAGAGCAAATTTATTACGTTCTTATATGACTAATCCTATAAATGATCCAGAATTTTATCTTAGTTGCAAGAACAGTTTTGGTCTAAAGATATTACTATTTTCATTGTGTTTTTTCCACGGCCTTATTCAAGAACGTCGAAAGTTTGGACCACTTGGTTGGAATATTCCTTATGAATTTAATGATTCAGATTTGCAAATTAGCTTAATGCAATTACAAGTACATATATTCAATTATATCATTTTTTTTTTTTTTAAATTTTAAGCACTCAAATTACAATTGGAATAATTTAAAAATTAGATGTTTTTAAATGATTATGAAGAAATTCCATACTCTGCTTTACTTTATCTTATTGGTGAATGCAATTATGGCGGTCGAGTAACTGATGACAAAGATAGACGTTTATTATCATCTCTCCTTTCAATATTTTTCAATCCAAATGTTATTAGTAATGAACTGTAAGTGATAATACAATTTTAAAACAATTACTTTTTATTAGTTCTACCATATGTATAATATATTATACATTTTTAGTCCATATTATATTACCATTGGTAATATTTGAATAATACATAAACTGCCTATAATCAATAACACGGACGTCGGACATTTAATCTTAAATAATTATTTTATTTATAGAAGATAAATATTATAATTTGTTTTAAAGTTTTAAAAAGTATAGAATATTTATTATTTAATTTTTTAGATTCTGAGTGAAGCGAGAAATGAAATTTAACTATAATGTGTACTTATTATTATTATTTTTTTTTTTTGGATAAACAACTTTTCTACCAGAAATACCAGAAACTACAGTAAAAAAACGAAAAGAGTCCAATTTGTTGCATTTTGTATCTAGTTTGCGCACTGAGTAGGTAATTTTTTGATTTTCCAAATACTTATAATAATTGAAAAAACCAGAATAACATAAAAGAAAAATAAACTAGGTCCTAATAGTCTGAAACCGAATAATCGAAATAATAATAATGATATAAATTATTTATAAATTGATAAAATTATTTGGTCGAACAAATATAATTGAACATTAAGAGAACGTTACACCCACATCTACCGTCTTAGTCCAATTACCGGGTGCCATTATTTATGTATGGTACCCGGTAGTTGGACTAAGACGATAGATGCGGTTATAACATCCTCTTAATACGTAGACCATTAAAAGTTTAACTTATTAGTACAAAAAAATATTATGTGCAATGTACAATAGATAATATGTATTACATTGCGCAAAAAAAAATATATATTATATTTTTTTTTTTTTTATTAATAAGCATTTTAAAATCAATTTTTGACGAAATAGGATTCATATTATATTTTGATCTACAACATAGATTAAATTTCTAAAATCTCGAGATACTCTGTCTACTTATTCTACTGGAACAAAATAAGCACACAGTAATTAATTTTTTACCCTGAAATTTCTGGTATTATAATCTGATATTTTAAAAATAATTTATAACATCTATCCTAAAAAAGATGGACATATTTCGCACGATGGGTACAACCACTGTTGTTGGTGAGAAATTGAGAAGGTACTCAGGTAGGATATAGAGGGTAAATTAATTTGTATCTGCAATCAACGAAAATCGCTTACTAAAAACGATTCTGAGTGGAGTTTAGTTGATAGTGATGCTTTTTCAATACAGTAGAATATACAGTAGAAGCCGCTTATTTGGAACACCTTGGGACCGAGGTGAAACGTGTCAATATAACGATTGTTTCTAATAAACGATTGATTTTAATATATAATTTTTTTTTAATATACGACCAGTTTATTCCTATACATTTTATTTCAATTAACGTGATTGTATCAATTATCCATATTCCTGATAAGCGGCTTTTACACTATATCATATTATGGTAAAATAATTAAATAGGCATTATATATTTTCTTTAATAATATTTATTGTGTCGATTTTTCCGTTCTTTCCCACGTTTTCAGAAGTTTCTCCGTGTTTTTCCCCCGGTTCTTCATATTTACTGGGAATATTTCGGAGAAACCGAAAATGACTTTCCTAGAGTACCACCCCAAGAAAATTTCCTTTCAGAAAAGGGTCTACATCGTATATATCGTATATATTTAAGTTTTCACATAAAAAAAAAAATAAAGAAAAATAAACATATTTGTAAAACCAATGTATTCTTCGCTACATTCAGACTCAAAAAATAATTTACAATAATAAAATAATTAATCTAAATAATAAATGATTATATTAGTATAGTTTATGTATTATTTGTTTATTATATAACTAATTGTAAGTACTATATATTAAATGTGTATGTGTATTTTATTTCACGAAGTGAATGGCCAAATGATAAAAAAACTTATACAATATCAAATTTTGTTATCTATTTTGTAAAAAGATTCACTTTGTGAAATTTGTAAGTATTTCACTAAGTTGAACAAAATCATCCAAGTTTTGAACTAGATAACTTTTAATTTCTTGCTTAGTCATAAAGTTGGTCGATTAAATACATAAAAATAAAAAAAGATGTTAACAATTTTTACTTAATCAATTCTGTATAATAAAATGAAAATATAACGTACATGCCTATATTATATTTTAGATACACATTTTCTGAAAGCGAAATTTATCATGTACCAGAAAATACTAATTATGATGGATGTTTAAAATATATTAAATCTTTACCAATGAATCCACAGCCAGAAGTATTCGGATTACATGAAAATGCTGATATAACAAAAAATAATTATGAAACTAATTTGGTTTGTAAATTATTCACCAAACATATGTTTAGTAAACATATTTATACGATCATTATATTTAGCTATTAAACGGTACTATTTTAACTCAATCACAAATTATAACGGGTGGCAGTGATACAGATTCAGATAAAAGAATAATAGAGCTAGCTAGTAACATAGCGAATAATATACCCGATTTGTTTGATGTAATTGCAGCTGCTGAAAAATATCCAACAAAATATGAACAATCTATGAATACTGTTATTCGTCAGGTATCAAATTTAAAAAATATTAATATTATTTATTGATAATGTCTGTCTTATTAAAATTATTGTGTACACATTTGTATTTTATAATTTTAATTCATTATTATTCAACTAAAATTCAATTTTTATATTATATTAGATATTTCTAATTCTATGTAGGAATTGATACGCTTTAACAAATTGCTAGCAGTTATAAAAACATCTTTAGTAGAGGTACAAAAAGCCAATAAAGGTATTGTTGTTATGTCGGCTGATTTAGAAGAATTGAATACTAGTTTAGTCATTGGAAGAATACCAGCTAGTTGGATGAATAAATCCTACCCTTCGTTAAAACCATTGGGTGGTTATGTAACTGATCTATTACAGAGGTATATTTAAACTAATTTGTGTACATTATACAGTAGAAGCCGTTTATTAATTGATACTAACGCGTTATTGAAACAAAATGTACAATCTTATATTAAAACAATCGTATATTGAAACCAATCGTTTATTAGAAACAATCGGTTAATTGACACGTTTCACGTCGGTCCCAAAGCAACTTCTACTGTACCTATTTATAAAACTGAATAATGTATTAAATTATAATTTTAGACTGAAATTCTTACAAGATTGGCTTGATAATGGTGTACCAGAAGTGTTTTGGCTTTCTGGATTTTATTTCACACAATCTTTTTTATCGGGTGTACTTCAAAACTTTTCACGCAAACATAAAATACCGATAGACCAGCTTGGATTTGAGTTTGAAGTGACTATATATGAACCAGATATGAAATTGAAAGAAATTCCTGGATTGGGAGTATACTGTTGGGTAATAATTATAAAATACTATTTTAAATTTTACTGTGTGATTACATTGTTAATGTCTCTTTAGCTTTTAATAATGTATTCATTTAAAAATAATTTAAAATGAGGTATGATTGATAAAATTTTAATTAATTTTTAGTTTTGTATTTATAAATTTAGTAAATAAATATATAAATAAAAAACATATATAAAAATAAAATTAATTAATTAATGAATGCATCGCTAGGGGTATTATGATGAGTGTATTATACAACATTTCAGATTAGAAATTTATCATCAAGTATATCACAATCAAAATGTAAAATTTTTTTCTACCTATAAAATGTTGGTAATTTCAAGTTTTTGTGTGCTATGAAATACTATAGAAATACAATTAATATAGGTTTTTTTTTTATTATCAATATAATAGAGACTATTAGAGTATTTATCATCATTATTATAGAAACATTATACCTGTACTATTAATAACTATAGTGATAACAAATTAATACTCGTTATAGTTTCAGTTTTATGTTTAATAACGTACTATTTTCACTAGACCTTTGAAAGTTCATTTAACATATGAACTAGTTCATAATCAAAAAAGTGAACTAAATTCATAATTTCGTTCATTTTTTATGGATGAACTTTGAACTTTTGCCGTTCATTTATAAATTCATTTAAAATAAAATTGTGACAAATGATAACTACAAATATGCATTTTTAACACTATTTTATTTAGATAATATTAAAAAAAAAAAGCTGGTACTGGAAATTGGAGTAGCCACTGTTAAAGGTGAGAAGTTGAAAAGGTAGGATACATGAGGTTAATTCGTTTATATCTGTATGCATCGATAAACCATTACTTAAAAGACAATTCCGAGCGTAGTTCATAAAACATAATTTAAGAGCCGAATTTTTTTTGTGATTTTCATTTAAATTTTATTTCAAAACGATTATTAAAAAAAAAAAGTCGTCCGATCACGTTGGAAATTTTACCACGTCTAGGTAAGTCCAATATAACTATTACTACTAAGTTTTAAGTCTCTATGTGTATTTATAACTGAATTACAGTAAACAAATTCTCAATAATTAAAATTCCTTAATAGCTCAAAAGTGACTTAAAAATGTTGGTGATAATACCATAAGAAAGTTAATAAAAAGGCAACAAAAAAGGTTTCTTGTGATCTTTCGATCAAATCAATTTTTCTAGTAAAAAAATGTCTTCTATGTTTTTATAAAATAATTAAATGGTGAAATTGTACATTTTACTACGTTTTTTCCCACTTAAGTGCTTTTATTTAAAGAATGGGGTCGAAAATCAAAAAGTAACCTGTTTAAAGTACAATCTAGACAACTTGAGCTTTCAGAAAAAGTGCTACACCTAGACATCAGAACACGTTTACTTTGGAAAAATGTGTCCACAGACTAGAAGAAGAAAAAAAAGAAATTAACATCTTAGTGAAACCAATAGCTCCCTCGCTACGCTCGGAATCTAAAAGGTTTTAGGTTTTATTTTGTTTTAAAAGAACCAGATGTTCAAATATTTCATCTGTAAGAGAATGTCTTTTCTTAATCATAACATTACTAGTTACACTAAACAATCTTTCAATGGGGGCGCTAAATGGTAATACAGTATTCCAATGTTGTAAAATAAAAATGTTTGTAATACAACAGGATAAGACATTAAAATATTTATATCATGACTATAATTTTTAAGAAAGAGTTTAACTCAGATACTGGTGCAACAATAGACTTATTTGTTACAGCAACTAGACCAAAGAAATCATAATTTTTATATTCGTAATTTTCATCTGAATTAGCGTCGTTACTTTGAATTATCGTACTAGAGTTGGATGTAACTTGATTTTCAAACTCTGATTTCAACCAATCGCATAATACTGCGGTTTAATATTTGATCGTGTTAAACTTATGATGAACTTCTGAATAAAGTTCAAGTTCATCAAAACTATGAACTTAATTCAAAATTAATAATAATTTTAACCAGTTATTTTACTTTCACGCCAATTTATATTTTTCAAATATCTATAAGGTTTATAGAATCGGTAAATGTTTAGATTAGCTGCCCATATTTGCCCCTTGAAAAATTGTAATACCATATTGAGTTTTGGCCACCCTTTTTCAATTTTGAACCATTGAAAATGAATCCTTGACTTAGGCATTCAGTTGAAAGTTACATTTCTGCTATGTGGTTTATTTATTTGAAACATTTACCAACATTTTCAGCAGTTCACTCACTTTTTTTTTACTTCCGAGTTTTCTTAAAAAATCAAGAATAATACTACTCTGTTATAAATATTTGTTTTCGTTCACAATGATTAATTATTATTGCATATACGTATAAACTATTTATATTACCTTATTTATCCATGTATATTCCTTCTATATATATATACCCACTAACAACAGTGGCCTACCTGAGGGCTGTTTAAAATTAACTATGCTTTGTTTTATAATATTGAAGTTAATATAATTTATGAACAATGATTAAAATAATAAATATAATAGTATAATATATTATATTTAAATAAATAAATAATTTATTTGATATTATTTGGTATAATACTGTTACATCTAGTATTAATTTTAAGTAGACCAAATCTTCATTTTAATGATCCCTTTATTCCCTTGTAATAATTTTTAATGTTATTATTATAATAATATAGGAATTATCATCCATATTTATGACTATAATAATAATCATTAATATTTATTATGATTAGAATACCAAATACCAACTTACATTAAAATCTGATCCAATTTGGAAATTCGTTATTATTTATATAAGATTTTTATTTATTCATGGGTTGCCACGGAACAGAAAACTCAATATAATAATAATTATTACTATTAACTACATTATTCAAATTTCATTAATTACACATTAAGTTCGCCGAAGGTGGACTACGCACTTTCCACCTATTTGTTTTCATTCAATTCTAACACGTTCAAAACCAAAAACGAATATGGGTAAAATAATAATAATAATACAAATTAGTACAGGCAACGCCAGGCGCGGGACAGCTAGTAAAAATATATAAATTAAATAAGCAGATACATATCTTTCATAAATATTTTGGTTTTGTAACAGTAAATAGTTATAAATTATGACTTATAATATTTTTATAATATATACCTATTTAAAATATTTGCAGGGTTTGTTTTTAGAAGGAGCTAGATGGGACAGAGAATTATGTGTGTTAAATGAATCGTACCCAAAAATTCTTTTCGATACAATTCCAATAATATGTTTTAAACCTGGAATTAAAGTACACATTTTATCTAAATATTTACACAGATAAAATAAATATTATGTTAAACCAATAATTGTGTAACTATTTTTTTAGACCCAATTTGAAAATAAACTGTATTATGAAGCGCCAATTTACAAAACAAGTGCTCGTCGTGGTACTCTTTCTACTACCGGACATTCAACTAACTTTGTGATGTATATGAATTTCTTAATTGATCGATCGCCAAATCATTGGATCAATCGAGGCACTGCTTGCCTATGTCAATTGGACAACTAATCAAACAATTTTTGTCTTCTATAAATAAAATTGAATACATTTAATAGTAATTAGGTAGGTGTGTATGTAATTATTGTATGGTTTTAATGACAATTGCTCTTAATTTAGGCATTCGCTATTCATATCAGTATAATTATTATTAAATCAAACAACACATATTATCTTCTGCTTAGCGACAGAAGAAGTCACTCAAACTTCATTAGTTATGGCTAAAAAACTTCAGAACACTCGATTTTTCTAAAAATCGTGTTTTTAAGTTTAAAACACCAAAAATGTACATTTTTGGAATTTTAGATTCTGAGTGTAGCGAATAATGTGTTGGTTTTACTAAGATGTTTATTTTTTTTTTTTTATCCTGTATACAAAATTTCAACCATAAATCTTGCTCAAATATATATGCGCGGCACCATTTTTGAAAAAAAATGTTATCCAGATGGTACTTTTGACTTCGGAGGCCTCAAATAAGTTGTTGTACCTTATTTTATTAAATCAGGCCTGCCTATCACACCGCTTTATCAATTTTACACGAGAAAAGAGAAAGCTGACCTGGATGTTCTAATTTATAAAAACTTCGATAATAACTATATTTAAAACGAAATTAAACGGTTTGAGATTACATTACCTTATTTTAAATATTTTGGTAAATAAATATTTGTTGATGAAATGGCATATAAATATCAACAATATTAACAAAAACAATGGTATTATGAGTAAAGTTTCGGTTTTACTATGATGAGTGGTTTTTAGATTTGGAACGTAGCAAGGGATCTATTAATTTTAATTATTTTAAATTATCTAATAATTCGAAAAACTGGAAAAAGATGAAAAACTAAAAAATGTATGCTAAATTTTACGCATGATGTTTTCTATCATAAATATTGCTCCACTAGAAAACAACAAGAGACGTTTTTTGATGCATTTTCAATCTTGATAGTGACCAAGGAAGTCGATTTTTTTATTTCCTCCAGTTTTTTAAGTAATTTTGTAGAACAGAAAAAACGTAAACGAACGTGAAAATTTACGAAAATAATGTTTTTTATTATTTTCAATTTGGTACTGTATAACATACTTTTAGTGACTTGAAATGTTGACAAAAAACATATTTACTTTTTTTAAACATGATAACATTTTCAAAATATTAGAGTCATTTTTAAACTATTAATATAGACATTTTAATTTTGCGAGATTTTTGCGTAATTTTTATTTGGTACCCTGAGGATGAAATTGTTAGATTATACAGAAATATTTAAAAATTAAACAGGAGGTTCTATATAAGTTATACTATTAGTACCTAGTCAAAAAATAATAATTATGAAAATTGTAGTTTTTTTTATAAGATAGTTTTAAAATTAAATGACGAAAATCATAAATATTACGTCCTACGCGAAATTTCGGTGTTTCAAAACATCGAATTTTGCTCCGAATAGTTCTGATAGCAATCATTTATCGTTGCTTACAGGTATAAACTAAATAACTTGATGTGTCCTAAATTCCCAAAATCCCACCTACAATAATGGCACACCCGTTCCAAATATCAGCTCTTTTTTTATATATATTTTATAAATAAAATATAAAAATGTTGAGATACCCAGCCATTTTATAAAAATGTATAAATATAATTTATAGAAATTACGAACAATTTAAAATTGTTTTCATTGTCACTGCTAAGCTAAATAATATCAATCAATCCTCCAATTTTTTTAGGTAAAGAGACAAGATAAAGGTAAATTAATTTATAACTCAGTTGCTGTATAATAAAAACTAGTGAAAACACTTATAAAAAAATCACAGTAACGCATGTTGCAATTATCCACTTTTCAACATTTAACATAAATAAAATGGTAACTCTGTTGCATGGTAAATATAAAATGACCCTTCTGGTCCAACAACGATAAATATAATGCAATACGATTGCTAAGTAATTTAAAATAAATAGGTATGGTACAATTAAAAACTCACAGTTGTTATACGGAGCAGACTGGCCAGCTGCTACCCGAAACTAAAAAAACTGCCTAAAATAAGTTAACAAAAATACATAACACACGAACTTTAAATTAAGTTATACAATAGAAAAATTAGATTTTTAAAACAGTGACTATTCGAGCTTGCGTATTACTAGCTATTCGGGCCGAATAATATTAAAATAAGTAATAATCAAAATTAGTTAAGACAAGTAGCTAGTTCTTTAGAAAAACAAATTTTAAAAATATGAAGAATTTTGTCTGTTCGCTGGATTGCGTCTAGTAAACGAACAATAAATGCTGTCATAAATAATTGTTCGGCTCTTTATAAACATTTTATATCTGCTTCAATAGATTTAACAAGAGATTCAAAGAAAGAAGCAAGTATAATGGGTTAAAATTAATGATCTCCAGCGTCGAATTTGTTAGTAATCTAATGCAATGGCAGACGCTTTAGATAAACTAGGAGACTTATCGGAGTATTTGCAAAGGCGTAATATCACCCTTGAAGAAGCCGATAAGGCTATTAGAACAACAATTAGAGTATTTGATTTGATGGTAAGTGAACCTGGACATAAATTAGCCGGCGCTTTAAAAGCGATTGAATTTAATATTTATAAAAATGTTCCCATTCAAAATGGGAAGGTAAAACAAATACGAAGCTAACTATACAGAGGTTTAGCAAATAATTTAAGAAATCGGATGATAACAACTAATTCATCACATGTAAGCAATCAAAATGAAAAACATCAAAAGGAGAACATATAATTATACAGATTTACTAGATTGTCTTAGCGTATTAGATTCAAAAAAATGGCATATTTCCAATAATGGTGAAGTCGGAAATATTACATTTGGTGATGATAAAATACGCCACTTTCAATTAAATAAAGAAAATGATATTGTTCGGAGTTTTCAAATATACAAAATGGAAGAAGTAAAAGAAGGTGTTTCGGACGACTTACAAATACTTTTTAAAACTGTAGCTACTATTCCTATTTCTTTAAGTGAGTGCGAGTGAAATTTCAGCTCAATGAATGAAATTATAACACCCCTCAGATCATCATTAAATATTAGTACAGTCTCTGCACTTTTATTTGTTAATTATTTTGGCTCTCCACTCACTGAAATTCGTCTTGAAAAATATGTACACTCATGGTTAGTCAAAGGTAGACATTCTGCTGATGACACTGCAAATTGCAAACTATTGAGTGTCCTACTTCATGTTCAAATAGTGCTTCATTCCAACACGGTAAATCAAAGGTACTGACACTAAGAGCATTTAACGATACAGCTGAGAGAGCAGTTAAGTTAATGCAACACTTTTACGGTTTAATCACTGTCGAAGAACAAAAGCAATTTTTATTATGTTGCGTATAAGAACACAGACAGGTATATCCTGACTGTAGAAAGTAAAGAAGATAAATGAAAAGTAAATTTAATAAATAATGTCCTATTAATGATAAAAACTAAATAAATATAAGATATTGGCATAACAGTGTTTTATTTATTGAATAAATATTAAGTTATAAAATCCCTATAAGTCTACCATACTAATAACTTGTATATTAAACTTTGACATCAAGTAAACATAATCCGATATCAATAATACTTATTATTTAAGTTATAATGGTCAAATGGTAAAAAAATTAAGGGTATGAGTGTCTCAATTCCAAAAATAAAATGTTGGCCCTTATAGCATGGGACACCCTAATATACACATAGTGTATATTTAAATAATATGGAAATATTAATCAATATAGCCAGTGAGCTACATCAATCAGCAAGATACATATTTCCAGATGGAAAGAGGTATTACAACTTTTCATGGGTAATCTTTGACAAGTTGCCATTCTAGGAAAAAAAAGGGTTTAAATATATTTTAATTATAATAGACACATACATAAAATATGAATGAGGGGTATAAGCATTAAAAAATAAAAGCAGCACAGAAGTTACAATTTTGTAAATATATTTTAAAAATAAGCCAAAATTCTTACAGTTAATGTAACAATTTTAAAATAAACCATTTCAAGATCTTATGAACAAATATAATATTAAACACTACAGTAGATACAGTATTATAAAGTTAGGCATGGTTGAACTTGTTATAAAAACAATAAAAAGTAAAATTTACAAAGAATTTGGTATAATTCAATATCAAAACTAATTATAATAATACTATATATTCAATGATTAAATGTACACCACTTGAAGCTAAAAAAAGACAATTATCATTAAAGTAATCATTTAAACAACAAAAAAATAGAAAAACCTAAATTTAAAATTAATGATAAGGTTATATGTAGAATATCTACATATAAGCATCACAAAATAAACAGGTATGTCAGCAATATATTTGATATATATAAAATGATGGTCAGCTTGTACCTATTATCAATTTTTATTATTATTATTATAATATACATATTGTAAACATGACAAAATATTTTGTCAAGATTGTAAATATGTCCTGATAAATAATTGGCAATTGTTCCAATCAGTCATAAGATATATCATCATATTTTAATCTATATTTACTACAAAAAAATATGTAAAACCCTAATTAACATATCAAACAAAAGGTAAAAAAGAAGACTACTGTTAGCATATGGCTTTAATCTTTATAAACATTTTGAAAAATATCATGCAACAAAAATAATATTAAACATGACAGTAAATACAGTAGTATAAAGCATGGTTGAATGTGTTATAAGAATAAAAAGTAAAATTTACAAACATTTTACATTAACAGGTACATAAACTGGGTACAATTAAATTTCAAAACTTATAACTTATTACTAAACATTCAATGATTAAATGTACACAGTTCAAAGGTAGAAAATTCATCAATTTATTGTTATTTAAGTTAAACAAATCAAGAAAAAATAAATTTAAAGTAAATTGACAAAGTTAAAATATCTAAATATAGCATTCAGTAAAAAGTATACACCAAATTGGATTATAGAAGTATTTACAATAATAAATGTTTTAAACACAAATTTGATAACTTATTAACTAAAAGAAATATTGAGTAATGCAATTTTAAAAAAGTTTTACAAATAAAAAATTATAAAAACAAATTTTCCAATAAAATGTACATTAAGTGGTTGGATCTAGATAATAGTCACAATTCATGGATTGGAAAAAATGATATTGTAAAATAATGGAGGCATTGTGCTATTGTAATATATTTGAAAAATGTTTAAAAAAGTAATGGGTAACATTTCCTTTAGTTGTCATTCAAAATAACCATAAACATTCCATATTTCATACACCAAAACCGTTAATTATATATTTCCCTGAAACATATAACTACTGGTTTTGGTTTATGGTAGCTTGTGGTCACAATGAACAACAGTCAGATAAAATGTTGTTTACTGCCAGTGGTACAGTAACACTAAGTAAAAATGTCTGTACCAATAATAATACTGTTTGATTTTAAATTGATTGAATATACAATAAATATTACAATTGGTTATGGAAATAACTATAAATGATATAGAAAATTCAAATTATAGCAATAGCAATTCTAAAAATTATTATTCTCTTGATATTTCACAACAGTAAAAAGGCTATAAAAATATACTTAATATAAATTTAGCAACTGATCATTTAGTTGAATGGACATCAAATAAACAAGACCCTATTACAAAGTTATAAATATAAATAAATCCTGTTCTACAAGACTTGTCATAATTTTAGTGTCAGAGCTCAAAGAATTAGACAAAGAAACAATTAAAATAATTGAAACATGTAGTAAAGAAAAACATGTGAGAGAAATAGTTATATTATTTGTTATAAAAAAGCAATGAAATTAAATTGTTCATCTTAAAATAAATTCTACCTGGCCACTGACGAGATTGAAGACCAAAAGAAAATCTGATCACTGGATAAATTGCGTGAAGCAATTAATTTGGTTTTTAAAAAATTAGCTCTTATATAGATCATGCAGAATATATGAAAGAAGGTAATAAATATTATCCAATTAAACTTATGACAACAAGAAAACAAAGCTTTTAATTTTAACCCTAAAAGAAACAAATAAAAAAATGTTTTATTTTATTATCAAGTTAATAACTAGAACTTAAGTTTAGTGGTGTATGTTTATACAAGTCAATTTTGGATAATTTTCTTGACTTCATAGTAAGTTTTCTTGCCACAAAATTTAAAAATAATTAACTTTAATATTAATAAATAATAAATTAAGCAAAAAAAAATTAACAATCTGTTTTTTCCTAAAGGATTTACAATATTAAACCCAGATTATGCTAATTATGATAAGATTAAATAAAACTTATGTTAGGATTATTTTGGCTTACAGTTAACAGCATATAAGTGTATTTGAAGTCCTATAGAGAAATTGAAAAGAAAATCTATTTCAAATTTACTACAGTCTCACAACAGAAATACTACCACAATGTTTTGTATGGTCATAGATGAATTTTCATTTTTCCCATTTAGGGCAAGGGGGTGAAAAAATAATTATACCACTCATGTACTGAATGTACCACTTCACCCCACATCACACCCTATTAAGTGAAATTTTAATTTTAAACATTTAAAAATAAAGCCAAATTTCAAAGCAAAACATTAACTTCCACAATCAAATTAGTAGGTTGATGATAACAGAATCATGAAAAAAGAAAATAAAGAAACCTATACAATTTTTTATCACACCCAGTCTAAATCTTAAAGATTTATTTGTACCCCAATATGAAACAAAATGCACAGGAATGGATAGTAAATATTATATTTATTAAATATACAAGTTCAAACATATATACATATACAAGGACTAATCAAAAAGTATAGACTGAAAAATATTACACAGAAACCTAGCATTGAAGAACAAAATAATTTGAAATACTGGCTTCTATGACTTTTATTGAGCACATCTTTTCTTGTAAAATCTTTATAAACTTCTTCCTTTTGATTTCACCAATATTTTTTTTAAATCTATTTTTCACGTTTGGCGATTTTGTAATGAATCTAACTTTTTACAAAAAAATTAGTGAAATCAAAAGGAAGAAGTTTATAGAGAAACTACAATAGATATGTTCAGTAGAAGTTATAGAAGTCAAGGTTACTTCTGAGTAATATTATCAGTCTCAATACTTTTTGATTAGCCCTCATANATCATTAAAGTCTTTAAAAGTTTTTACATGCATATTAGTTGTTTTAATTTTATTTGTTTCTATACAATTGGTTTGTTTATGTGATGTTTGAGGGAGTTCAAAAAATATGTAAGCTTGTTGTGTTGAAGTTTCATCATCCACTGTTCTCCCACAAAATATTCAAGTGTTTTAGAATAGTTTGTTGTAAAATTTCATTTCTCGTTTAAGTGTGAAGAAAAACTAAACAACAAAGTTATCACTTGATTGTGTTGAAGATTCACATGATTTGTAGATAGGACTTTTTTGACCAGTTAATAGAATTTATTAAACTTGTTCATGTTTTTAAATTTGACATACTTTCAATAAACTTCTTTACTTTTTAATATATCATTTGAGATCAACTGATAATAATTCAATAGTTCTTTAGGTGGGGCTGTTCATATTTGTTTTTTTTACTGTTTAAAAATATTGATATTACCATTGATTTCTTTTTCAAACTTTAGTTACATCCTCTAAAAAATTCACCATTTCAACATCTTGTGCCTTTTTTTTTTTTGGTACTAGGCTGTAATAGATACAATTAATTTAAAACAATTGAAATATGAACACAATATTAAAATAAGAATACTTACCATCTTACTTTTTCCACAAAACAAGAATGTAAGAACACCTCTTCCTTGTTAATGAAAATATTACTGGATACACAACTTTCCCAAGCCACTTCAATCTGTTGTTTAATTTCATCCAGTTTAAGTTCTTTGGGTATAAAGCATTTTCTAATAACATGGTCATAATTCAGCTAAAAAAAAAAAATAACTTTATTTTATAACAAATATTATACAAGCATGGTTTATTTGGCTCATTTGTATCTATGTGTTGACAAAAGTACTATACTAACAACTCAACAAGTAATAAATATATTCCAAAGTTTTATTGCTATTAAAGGCAATTTAAATTTAAAAAAATAGTATTTGAGTACTTCAGAACTGTAATTTAGCAAATATGATACAGCAGGAAATATCAGCAGGTAATTAATAAACTTAAGAATGAAAAACCTTCCAAATGAAATAAAAAAATATTGTAAATAACTAAATAATATGAGAAAATAGGTCTGTGTGATACGTATATTTTCTTTTCCTTTTTAATTAAAATTATAATTTAATATAATTAGTTACTAATATATAGTAGGTATAACTAATAAAAATATATATATATATATATATATTTCTAAGTACTATTAATCAAAGTTGGGAAAAAAAAACAAAATCATGAATATATTTTTTTTATAACAAAGTATAATTTTTAATGAACCTCCCTTGTAAAATGTTCAAGTATTTCTGTAGTAGTCCTATAATTTTACCACAGAGTATCTACTGAGTAAATATTATATAAAACTCAAAATTAAAATGTCTATAAATAGGTCAAAAATGATTTAAATTTTTTGAAAATTTAGATAAAGCAAATACAAGTTTTGTGTCCAAATTTCAATTCTCTACAAATATTTTTAACTGAATTACAACAAATAACAAAATTGAAAATAATGCATTTCATGAATTTTCCAAACAAATTTGAAAATAATAAAAAGCATTATTTTCGTAAATTTCCTGTTCTTGTTAAGTTTTATCTCGGATATACCTAGATATTATGAAAATTGTTTAGAAAATCAAAAAATTACCCCCCTAAAGTACAAAACATTCTGTGCTAAACTCAGAAATTAAAAATAAAATCATGGATAACTAATTATTTTGTGAATAAAGAATAATATTTTATTTTAAATAGTTTTAATTGTGAAAAATATAAAAATATAATAAAAAATAAAAATTATTTTGATTAGTTTAACTTGTGAATATTTTGTGTGACAAAATTATGATAACAATAAAATATTTATAACAAAACAAATAATAATAATAACAATAATACTATTACATTAAATTAAATAACTAAAGCAGTATGATTTTAATTTATGACAAATTTCAATAAATTCAGAATTTCAAGTTATCTACGAATCATTAGGAATAAACACAATTATGCGGAATAATGAGTAACGAACAATTGTTCAATCAATAATCAAAAATAAATATAAAAAATCTAGAATAACCCGTAGAATAATGAATAATGAATCATTATAAAAATTAAAATGACATGTTTAAAAATAAACTAAAATAACTGAATAAAGAATAATTTTTTATTCAAAAAATTCATTAAATAATTTTTAATTTGACTAATGCCCAACTCCGCTTTTAATCATTACTACTATTAAGACATTACTTCATCAGACATCTGATAAGAAAGAGCGATTTTGTCACAAACATCTTGGAGGAGAAGATTATGGTAAAAGAGGTAGTCCCAGACAGTCATACTTCAACAATATCAAACACTAAATGGATCTCACTTTATATCAACACTAAGGCCTTGCTTTTAGAAACTGATGATAAGTATACACAGTATATAGTATATAGTAGCACTATACAGCATATTTTTTATGAATATATCATTTACTGCTTATTGCCTAGTATTAGGTGATTTATTAGTAGATAGGTACTACAATTTTATAGCTCATTTTGAGTGTCTACCTAAATGATGATTTACTGTCTTTTAACTTAGTTACATCTATATATAATGGTCCAACAAACAATATTCTGCAATAATCTAACTTTTGAAAAATTGTCAGTTAATGCCTTTCAATTTAATAGGGCAGTAAAATATAGCAGGTATATAATAAAATCACAGGGACTATGAAGTAAGTAAAAACCAATTAAAAGTAAAATTTTTTTTTAGTGAACATAAATTAATTTACAAATAAAATTTAACTAACCAAGTTCACAAAAAAAAAAAAATGACTCAATACATGAAATAGATAGTTCAATTTTATGTTTATTAACTAGAGCAATAAATAAACTGTCTTGAGCAGTGTTTCCCAACTATTTTTTAGTCAATGCCCCTTTTAGATTTTCAAAAACTCGCATAGCCCCCCTCCTCTCCAATAAATTAAAAAAAAAATTATTACAGTTTAGTTTTTATAATCAGCCATTTAATTAAAATGAAAAATAAATATATTTTTCACATTTCGTGCTCGGAATTCTATTTTAATTATGAATAAGTATAACTAACATACATACACTTTAAATTATTAAAACTTCATGTAATAAATGCAAGTATACAATTGTAAGAAATATCCATATGAAAGGTTAATTGAATAAAAAATATAAATATTAGATGTGAAATGTATCCTGTTACAAAGGAACAAGTTGTTTAAGAAAAAACTAATAATAATAATAATGCAACAATAATGGATTTATAAATAGATAATAGATTTTATATTCATTTTATTAATTTTAATATATTTATTATTTTTATATAATTATAATTTTTAATTGCTTTCATCAAAAATTATTTTTAATAATTATTTTAATAATTTAGAATTTGTGAACATATTAGGTAATGGAAAAGATTTCATTATGCATAGCTAATAAATAATAATAATAATATATTTTTCTATTTAGATAAATTTTTTATTGTTTTAAAATATTTATTTTACTATCAACTGATTTCAATGAATAATACTTAATTATTTATAAATTATTCCAATAGAAATATAGTATGTTGTTTATTACTTAAATCGTTCAATCTTTAAAACAAATATAATGGATTCATCAAGTAATGATCAAAATTCATACATACATTCCAACCTATGAAAATCTGGATTAAAGTTAGCCTATAATATTTAGATTTAAATTTATATAGGCTTATTCAAATAAGCAGACAGATTTTTGTAACCAAATTGTTAAATGTCCAATCCCAGAATTGTGATGTTTATAAGTAGGGGCTATTTGGTATATTTTATATGTTATATCAAAATAATTGACATATTATGTTTTAGCCTGGTTTTAGCAAATTTGTGTGTATTTTTTAAATGAATTAATGTTGTAATCATATTTGATCATTACATTTGATTGTAGATTAGAAAAATAAACTAGACTATACTTACTGGCTACAGAGGGATACATCCCTCCCGATTCATTTAAGAATTTGAAAACATCATGTCCATTGTTGGAGACTGGACAAGTTATTCATTCATTTCCATATAAGGTTCATATTCATGAACTTGGTGCAAATAAATTATTTGTAGAAATGTTATATGAAAACCATTTATAAATAAGCTATTTGTAACGTCCAAAAACGACCATTTTCCGTTATCGTAGGACGAACGTACCTATAATCAATAAAGTCGACTGGTTAATATATTACGCCCGTGACGACGACGGATTATGTCATCGTGATCATTAATCCCCTTGCGAAAAGATCTATGCGATAGCAATTTTTCGTAATTTACAATAATACTATATTTCTGACTACGGGTTAACGGCCAATCATATCACGTTTCTTCTTATCACTCAAAACGTCGGCCCACGGCGACGTGTGTCACGAACGTCTTGGCGCTCCGCCAACTAGTTTGTTGTTGGTCCATTTTTCGCTTCTTATCTACACCGCGTCTCGAGACTTCGTTATCAGACCGTCACTTAACACAGTTTTCTTTGCTTAAACACTCCCGTACTGTGCGGATTCGCGTATTTTCTTCAAGAAAGGTCGTATACCTTGGCATGTTTCCTGTCCTGATGGTGTGTCTCAAACGAACTAATGGAGTGAGTCCCGATCTGGTCCGCTGGGCGGACATCCTCGGGCGAGATGATTGGTAATATATATGTAGTTTAATAATTGGCCGATACCCCGTTTAGTTAAATAGTTTAAAGTTAGTTTAGTTAATGTTCCCCGTTTAAAATGTTTTTTTTTCTCTCGAACAATCGTTTGTTCAATATCATGTACACACTTCCCAAAACACAAATTTTTTCCCGTTCGTATACGCGTCCTACGGTCCGCGTTGTGTGTGTTGAAACTCGTGTGTGATATAATATTTTCTCTATGTTAAATTCTTCCGTTACACCTACGGGGATCAACCGTTAAAAAAAGTTTGTGCATCCGTCTCAGTGTAGTAATCCCCGCGTTCCACATCCTATGTGCAATAAGCAAAACCCCCCTCGCCCCCGCATTTTGTTTCTTTATTTTTCGTATTCTTTTTTAGGCACTCGGCTGCACAACCACGTGTGTGTGCGTATTTAAAAAAAAATCTATATGATATCGATCTATATTTCTCCATCTCGCGATCCGTGTTCGGACGCTACCCCGCAGGTTAACCCGCAGGGCCACCGTAACCACGGGCCAATCGATCTGGAATAAAAGCTTTTAGCTACCCTTCCCGGTTGTAATATGTGTAATGTGGCAAACATCACATACCTGCTGGGACCTCCCAAAATATTTACTTTGTGTCCACGAAATTCCGCGTGGAGGTCCGTCTCTGAATGTATATATATATATATATATATGTATCGATCTACGCGCACGTGAGTTCATTATTCTTATTAACGTGTAGTAAATCCCGGTGTGCACGTTCCCGTTGTATCCATACATGCGTGTCCGGACTTCAAGTTTTAAGAATGGTTGACGCCCCAGTCACCCTTATATATATATATTTAATATATGTTGTTTATATATATATCATTTTTCGTTTTCACGCCGATGTACCTACGTTAAAATCGTACTTATTTATTTACTTTCCCTTGGTTGATAGTTTTTATGCCATTGGCTTTTCTATCACAACAACTCGACTATACTTTTATCTAATGATTATTAACTTAATAAATAATTCTTTATTCTCCCCAAAAAACCACGTGTTTATTTGTTTTAGCCTAAAGTAATTTTCCCTTATCTTTTATTATTCTCCCGTATCATCCGATGAGTCCAATGTTCACGGTGCTTGATACATCTACAAAAATCTTAGGACTCCGGTTTTCGAACCTGTGTTCTGGGTTGGCGATCTTGCTCCTAGACGGGTAGTCGACTGGGCGCTCGGAACGGTCCTTCTAAACAAGGCCGGCCGAACCGGGACGTCTCGGATGGCGACCTAGCCAGGATCCGAAATTTTAATTTTTTTTTTTATTTCTTTATTAATACTCTATTTCTCTTTTAATTCGCACGGGTTATCGGCCACAATATTACTTTCCCAAGAACCTTTTGTTGTTGTTTTTAATTATTTGCAGGGAAGTACGGTTCTTTTTTCGTATTCTTTAATACGCCGGTACTTTTAACGGTCGGCGAGTCCAAAGATTGCGATCGCACGTTTCGTTCCCAATCAACATTTTCGTCAACGGCATACAGGCCCAGTCTCAAGGTCAACTACGGCAACACGACAATAACATCCGCCGCCCGCCGCCGTAATTATTATTAACTAAGATAGGATTATTATTGTGCGCGCAGTGTGTGTACATGTAGTACATAATATTTTTATTTTTCCTACTATTACAGTGACTTGAACGGTCACAATTCATTACGTATTGTTATTTATATATTGACAAACCAATACCCATTTAATAATCGCCCGAGCTGCGATCAAATATTATCTAACTCCCTTTACTAAATATTTTTTCCCCCTTAGTTCTTTTGATAATCATCACTATTTATTTTATTTATGGCACGTTAGGTCTCCTCCTCTTTCAGCAGGCGGGTAATCACTCAACACACGTTATGTTATGGTAGGGAGAGTTTTTTTTTTGTCCTGTATAGGTATGGCTTCCAATTGTGAACTCCAGCTACTCCAGGTTGATATTTTATGTTTTTTTTTTTTCTCTCGGTGTGAGTATGGTTTCCGTCTTTACGGACGCCCAGCCCCCGATACACCTGTATGGTGAGTAGTTGTTATGGTAGAGAGTTAATTTTTTTTTGTTTGTTGTGTTTGATGTTTCAGTCCCTGGGAGGAAGGTGAATAGTAGCGTTTCGATGGTAGGAGAGGTAGTTTTTTTTTTTTCAATCCGTAGATTGGTTTAACGATGAAATATTCTTCCATTCCTCTCTATTCATTGCGACTCTCTTTAGTTCTATATATGACTCTCTTCCTATATCCAACATGATTTGTTTCATATATGCCTGTCTAGGTCTTCCTCTTCCTGGTTTTCCCTCGATTTTTCCTTCAATTATAGTCGTTATCCATGAATTGTTCCTTATGAGATGTCCTATCCACTTCTTTCTTCTCTTCACGATTGCCATATTGCTCTTCTTTCATTTATTCTTTTATATACTTCTTCACTAGTCACCCGATCTGTCCAAGGAATTTTTAGGACCCTTCTCCAGCACCATGTTTCAAAAGCCTCTATTTTTCTTCGGTCAGCTTTCAATATTATCCACGATTCAGCTCCATATAGCGCCACACTCCATACAAGTGTTTTTACTAATGTTTTCCTTATGTTTATATTTATAGCATTTGTGGTTAGGAGTTTCTTCTTTTTGAAAAAAGCTTGTTTAGCTTGCGCTATCCTACATCTTATATCTGTAGCACTTTTCCCGTCACTAGTGACTCTGCTTCAGAGGTATGTATAACTATTTACGTTTTCCAACTTAATGCCATCCATGATTATGTTTGTATCAACTTGTTGTCTACTACCAACTAGTATCTTTGTCTTCGTTTTATTAATATTCATATTGTATTCTTGTTTGAGTATGTTATTCATTTTTTGGAGCATTCTTTCTAGATTTTTTCACTGTCTGCTATCATGGCAATATCATCTGCAAATCGAAGCATCTGGACTAGCATCCCACCAATCTTGATCCCTCCTACCTCTTCCTCTCTCAGATCTTTTAGCGCTTCCTCAATGTATAAGTTAAATAAAGCAGGTGATAAATTACACCCTTGTCTTACTCCTTTTTGAACTTTCGCCTCTTCGTATGTGTCGTATTCGCCTTTTATCACAGCCTTTTCATTTATATATAATTTATGTATTAATCTTTTGTCTTTAAAGTCAATACCTATCTTATCCATAATATGAAAAAGTTTTTCCCATCTAACATTGTCAAATGCCTTTTCCAAATCTACGAAGGTTATAGATATGGGTTTATTTATTCTGAACATTTTCTCTATAATTAATCTAAGACATAGGATTGCTTCTTTTGTCCCTCTATTTTTCCTAAATCTAAATTGATCTTCTGTTAAAATATCCTTTATTTTCTTTTCTATTCTTTTATGTACTATTTTTGTTAAAATTTTTGACGCATGGGATATTAAGCTTAATGTTCTATACTTTTCGCATTTTTCAGCTTTTTGCTTTTTTGGTATATGTATCATTACGTATTTTTCGAAGTCTTTAGGCAATTCTCCTGTTTCATAGGTATTTATTATTATATTACACATCGCTTCTTTTCCCGTTCCTTCTAAGGCTATCAGAAGTTCATCATTCAGATTATCGATTCCAGGGGCTTTATTACGTTTTAGTTCCTTTATTGCTAATTCGATTTCTTCTATCATGATGGTAGGTCCTATAGAGTCAAAATTTCCATTTTCCACTTCTGGTGGTCTGTATCTTTTGTCCGTGTTTCCTATTTTGTATAACTCTTCTATGTATTCTTTCCATACTAGAATTTTTTCTCTATCTTCCAGAACCATATTTCCATCTTTATCTCTAAGTACTTTTGCTCCGCTTTTGTATGCCCCAAAGAACTGTTTTATAATTTTATATGCTTTATCACTTAAGCCTCTAACTAGACAATTTTCTATTTCTGAGCACTTATTTTCTAACCATTCCTTTTTTGCTCTCTTAGCTTCTCTGTTCACCATGTTTCTGTATTTTTTGTACTCCCTCCTATCCTCTTCTGTTTTTCCATTTTTTATACTTTCTCCTTGTCTCTATGAGCTCTACTAGTCTAGTGCTAATCCATGGCTTTATTGGAATGTTCTTCGTTTTTCCTAATATCTTATCAGCCATTTTTGTGATTGCTTCTTTAAAACTTTTCCATGTATTCTCATAATTGTCCAGTTCTTCTGTTGATTCTGTTGGTTTTATTCGTATTATTCTATTTACCACCTCGAAGAATTGCTTTCTTGTTCCTTCCTGCTTAAGTTTTTCTACATACCATTTTTTCTTTGTCTCTTGATTTCTTGTAGACTTTTTAAGACTTAATCTTGTTTCCATGATTACCAGATTATGATCTGAGTTTATGTCTGCCCCTGGGTAACTTTTACTTTGCTTTACCTGATTTCTATATCTTTTTTTTACTAATATGTAATCCAACTGATATCTGTTACCTTCTTCTGGCATGGTCCAAGTGTATCTTCTCCGTTTTGGTTGTGAGAATAACGTGTTGGTGATTATCATATCCCTTTCCTTACAGAATTCTATAAGTCTATCACCCCTTTGATTTCTTGTTCCAAATCCAAACTTTCCTGTTACTCCTGGTTCTGTTCTCTCGCCCACAAGGGCATTCCAATCACCCAAAATGATTAAATTATCTTTTTCTTTTGCCATTTCTATTACTTCTGACTAGGTGTTGGCATATAAATCTGTATTATAAATGTATCTGTTTGTTTAGTTTCTATTTTGATACCTACGATTCTTTCGTTAAAGTAGATAATACTCTTGATCTTGTGACCAAAGTCTTTATTTACCATTATCCCCACTCCTGCAAATTTGTTCTCGTCGCCATTAAATATTATTCTATAGTCTCCAGACCAGAAATCCCCTAGTCCTGTCCATTTAATTTCGCTAATACCTAAGACATCAATTTTATAACGCTCCATTTCTAATTTCAAGTTTTTAAGTTTTCCACATACTCCTAGTGATTTGACATTCCACGTCGCTATTCTCCTCTTCCACTTCTCTTTTGACGACCTTATATTGGCAGTCCCCACCCGAAGATCCGAACGGGGGACTTTTTTACTTCCGGAATTCTTTACCTCTACAATCATCATCATTTCATCATTATCCTCAGCTGTAGTTTCCTCTTGCTTTCTGTATCGCAGTTGGTGAGCCATTACTTGAACTATCTCCAAGCTGCCTCCACCCTACCCTTCCATTGCCGTTAGTTTTGCTACAAAACTCGCCATATGGTCGGTAGTAGCAGTTGCTGCTTGTCAATATATCCATTTACCTATAAATTGTCCCGACAGGCCCGTACACACATTTGCGTTTAGCAGTTAAGAAGTCTATACCAATGTACCTTATGAGTCGTAGGTATTTAAGCGAACCAATCGCTTACCGTCGATAAAAATAGAAATTCGCCGCATGCCTATTCTTCAGTTTTATCATATCCGAGTACACGAAGTAGGTATCTGTGAATAATACCTCGATCTTCACATTTTTTATTTCCCCATATTCATATATCTATCCTCATATTTATCCCTAACTAAGGGATATCCAATTTAGTTTTTTTTTTCATATATATATATATACCCTTCCCGTAGGCAGAATATAGTTATACCAGTATTAACTGGATTATCCCTTGTAGGTAGTTAGTTTTTTTTATTCTTGATATATATATTTGCCTTGGTAGGTTAGTTTGATTAGTTTAGTTCATCCATTTATCTAGGATGTTTTGCATCCATTTGTAGTTTTAGATAGTTTGATTTATTTTTTTTTTTTATTAGAAGTTTCGTGCCCTTTTAATATTACCAAACCATGTTCATCTCCAAGATGTTCCGCCGAACAGACCACCTTTATATATATACAGTGTGATCACGATTTAAGGTAATACTAAATATCTCTGGTGAATGACCTTGTAATGAAATAAGGTTGCGGGAGGTGATAGAGAGTACCTAAATACATATTTTAAGATAAATTTCAAGTTTGTAACACTTTTGGTATGCGCATGCGCAATACAACTTACATTTTTTTAAATGGAAACATGAAAACTATTTTTTTTTCTATTTATAAAACTGATCAAGTTAGAGTAAGTCAAAATTTGGATTTCTGTATAATTCGTGTTTAATGAAATTTTCATTTATAACCACTGGAAATACTATAATAATTATGAAATAATTAAACATTATTTTTAGTACTAATCCATAAGTACCAATCCAGTGGTTTTGGAAATATTTCATTTAAATATCGTCTAACAATATTGCATTGTGGGCTGGTTCTCCATCTTGCTGGAAAAACATACGGTTCCTGTTCTGTGTGTCAAATGAAACATCATCCAACAGTCTTGATAGTACATTGGTTAAAAAATTAAGATATTGTCTGCCATTAAGCGTACCATCGTAAAAGAACGGTCCTATTAGCTTTCTACCAACTAACCCATATCTAACCCACATTAATTCCCCAAACCGTTTGAAAATTAGTTTCACGTGACCAGTGTGGGTTTGTGTCATCCTAGCACCAATGATTTTGTTTATTCATAATGCCATTGTTAGTGAATTTTGATTCATTACTCCAAAGAATATGATTGACAATTAAAGGGTTATCATACAATTTAATATTAAACCAAGCTATAAATTCCAACTTATGAATAGAATCTCCTGCACGCAAATGTTGGACAAAATCGATTTTATATGGGTATTTTGTGTTTTTTTAGAATTTTTTGAACATAACCATATGAAACTCCAATTTCGCGAGCAACATGACTAATTGACGAACATGGATGAGCTCTTATGTATGCTAGTACCTGTAATTCTGTATCGTCATCAAACATATTTGCTCTACGCATTTGTTGAACTATTTGTCTTCCTCTTTTAACCCTTGTAAAAGTCGTAAAACATAATTATAAGGTGGATGGAACCTTTCTGGGTATCGTTGGGCATACGTCATAGCAGCTAGGCGTACATTATGTTGAAATTCGCCATAAATTAAAACCAATTCAACTTTTTAAGTGTTATTCATATTTAAAAAATTATAATTTATAGGAGCACTTAATAACCAGACATCCACGGATAACGCACACACTTTAGAACGGGTCTAATTACAGAATAAAACTAAAATTATAATTTTCATCAAATTAAATGCCTTATTATCTGATTATCTTATCGTTATTAGAGCTATTGTAAAATAAAATAAAATTCCACTATAAAAATAGTTAAAATTGTAATCGTATTATTACAGTTTACTGAACAAAAATTATTACATATTCGAGANCCTAGTTACAGAATAAAACTAAAATTATAATTTTCATCAAACTAAATGCCTTATTATCTGATTATCTTATCGTTATTAGAGCTATTGCAAAATGAAATAAAATTCCATTATAAAAATAGTTAAAACTGTAATCGTATTATTGCAGTTTACAGAACAAAAATTATCACATATTCGAGATATTCATTCTAGTGACAAACAGTATTTTTTAATTATTATTTGTAAACAGATAAAGTAAATTGAACATTTATTTCACAATTATTTTAGTATTTCTAGTGGTTATAAATGAAAATTTCATTAAACACGAATTATAAAGAAATCCAAATTTTGACTTACTCCAACTTGGTCAGTTTTATAAATAGAAAAAAAATAGTGTTTCCATTTAAAAAAATGTTACTAAAACCACTAGAAAAATCTTAAAAATCAAAACAATGTCATTTCCAATTAAAAAACCTCGCTATAAACGATAAAGAGAAAACAGAAGCACACAGACATCACCTCTCCCAAGTCTTTAACCCAAATGACTCCACTATTCCTTCTATAGAAAAAAAAATACGAAATTTCCTAGGTAGCCCACTCCCAATGACATTTCCGCCCAAACCATTCACTCCTAATGGGGTAAATCATTTATACGAAAATTTCCATTAGGTAAATCACCTGGCCATGATTTGATAACAGCCGAAATAGCCTGCAGACTTCCCAACAAAGCTATATTACACATCACTCATACCTTTAATGCTATACTCCAACTCATATTTCCCGATTCAATGGAAACTCGCCACAATTATTCTCTTCCCTAAACCAAACAAACCAATAGATAACCCCTCCTCATATAGGCCTATTAGTTTGTTACCTTTTATTGCAAAACTTTTAGAAAAACTAATATTAAACAGAATCTACCTAATCATCAAAGAAAAGAAACTAATTCCTGACATGCAATTTGGATTTAGAGAACTTCACTCAATCATCCATCAACTACACCGACTAGCCGATACTATTGCTTATTCTCTGGAAAAGAAACTTTACACTTCTGCAGTATTTCTTGATGTTCCACAGGCCTTAGACAAGGTCTGTCATCCCGGTCTCCTTTTTAAACCAAAATCGTTCCTACCCCCCTCATATTACCTCTTTTTTAAATCATACCCCAACTTCTCCACTTCTCCACTTCTTTGTCAGGTCAGGAACTAAATACTCCAGCATATCTCCAATATTAACCGGCATTCCTCAAGGCACAGTCGCATCTCCAACTCTTTTTAATCTATACTCTGCAGACCAACCCACCAATCCGAATATTGCACATCCGACGACAAAGTAATATATGCCACCCACACCGATCCTGACATAGTTTCATCTACTCTCCAAAGCCATCTAAATGACCTATCACACTGGTACTCCCTCTGGCGCGTCAAAATTAATGAAAACAAATTGGTACATACCACCTTTGCTCTCTGTCACAGACAACCTCCTCCGGTACATATAAATAGCAAACCAATACCAAACTTCGACACAGCCAAATATCTAGGTCTAACCTTTGACAAACGTCTAACGTGGGCTAAACAGATTCACACAACAAAATTAAAATTAAACCAACGACTTTACTCTCTATCTATTCTCGGTAAATTCTCAAAATTATCCCTTAAAACCAAAATTCACATCTATAATCTTCTTCTTAAGCCTATCTGGATTTACGGTATCCAACTGTAGGCCACGGCAAAAATATCAAATACACAAAAAATACAAGTGTTCCAATCAAAAATCCTACGACTTATAGCCAGTGCTCATACAGATCTTCACATTCCTAAAGTGGCCAAACTATACTACTCAAAATTTAGGAATCGCCTTCAAAATCACCCTAATCCCCATATTAAAAAGCCCAAAAATCTCCCAGAAGACTCAAAGGACAATTTCCCCGCGACCTTATGAAGTAAACATAATAATGAATAATTAAATATTTAAATAATTGTAAATTTGAAGTACCTTCACTGGATGGCTTCTTCCCTCAAGACATTTAAGCTATTGCACTAAATTAATAAAAACATACATTATGCTTATTGTACTTTTTTTTTTTTAGTGTAGATTGTATAAATTCAGAATTAAAATTTGAAATGTATCTTAAAATATGTATTTAGGTACTCTATCACCTCCCGAAAACTCTATTTCAATACAAGGTCATTCACTAGAGATATTTAGTGTTACCTTAAATCGTCATCACACTGTATATGTATATATAGAATCGTTTGAATTGAGTTTTGATCCGCTTTCCCCAATTCATATATCTTGTTTATCTATTTTATATACCTCCTGTAGAGGAAATTCTTAGAACTATTTGGTTCCATGTTATTAGTATATCCCGTCCATGTCCGCTTCCACAGGCCAATGCTCAAAGAATAGGGAAGAAAAAGAACGTTAGTCCGTTAGTCCCTCGAAGAAAAATTAAAACAATCTAGTAGACCCAAGATGGCTCAAAGCATCCTACAAGTGTTCTTAAAGCCCCTGTCGATAATAATCTCCCTGATCCTCTTGTCCCACTTCCCACTACTAAAGTGGATGAACCCCTAAAGTAACCCTACTCGATCTGATGACTATAATGAAAGCCAGTGTAGAAGAAAATAGGGAGACCCAAAACAAAATTATGTTCCAGTCTGAAGGAAATGAAAGGTTGCTTAAGTGCCCAATTAAACTAAAAAATCAAACTTACCAAGCTATTAACTGCATCCATTCTTTAGAGATAACCCAACAATCAGTAATCGCAGAAATTGATGAAATTAAAACCGCAGTCCGCAATATATAAAATACTTCCATTTCTACTTCAACTTTCCAACCACACGTGAATACTACAAATTTTTAAACCCCCAATCCATTCTGTAAAATTCCCTCAGATAGAGAAACTAAGTGATGCTCTACACCAGTTCACAGGTAGTAAATCTGATCTCCACCCTGTGAAATTCTTGCAACAATTAAATCAATATTTCACCCATCAAGTTATAGAGGATACCCAGAAGATAGGTATTTGTCAACACTGTTTATATGCACTTGCAAGAACATTGTTCGATTCATTAGTACCCTGTCCCGATACCTATATAGAGTTAGTCAATTAGTTGTTCTCCCCATATAATTATAAATCCCCTCAAGAATCATGCTATGGCTTGAGTTGCCAAAGCAAAATATTTATCTCCCCCTGTAAATTCATATGATCTTGTAGGGATCATCACCCAACCTTTTCCCACTGCTTTAGGTATGACTATTCGTGGCAGAGATCCAAAAACCACTAATGAACTTATCACTATACTAACCGAGATAGAAGAATTCATATCTTTTTGCGAAAATTTTCCCTCATAACCCACTCATCATTCTAGTCTCAACCGATATTTTCTCTCGAGCTAGAAATAATAACTATAACAAGACCTGTTCACAATTTCCAATATAATCAAAACCATGATAGTTATACTGGTAACAATAATTTTAGACACTCTAGTCAGTATAGATGGAGTGGAAAAGGAGATTATATCATGGAGGACTTTAGCGTAATCCACAGTGGTAACGACAAGAGTGGCAAAAACGGAATAGCTATAATAGTTCAAGGGAAATGGAAAAGCAACATAATGAATACATACCACCTTAATGATAGACTACTGATGGTTAAAATCCATGCTCTACATAATCCAAGTATATTTCTCAATATCAAATTGCCAGGATGTTGAAATTGAAAGAATGTACGAACANAATAATTATGGGAGATTTTAACACCTCTGTCAGTATAGGTGAAGTCCCCCTAGGAACCAGCATCCTAATTCTGCACCCAACACTCAGGTATCTATAAATGGTAATTTCCCCGGATTGAGTTATTCATGAGTCCCATTCATCAACTGAATGCCTTGGCAGAGGCCCTTATATGAATATGCTGCGTGGCAGTGCCTCTTAAATCCCCAATAGATGTTCCTACAGTCCCTGTTTTTCGAACCCGTATGTTCCCCCTTGACAAACTCCCTCTGAACCAATATCCGTTCAACCAATTGTCACCATACCATCTACCACACCAATCACCACCTGACCTGATTTTGAAGTTAAAGTTTTTCAACATCCGCTTCTGTCTGCTGTTTCAGAACAATTTTTTGAAGTTATACAAACTCAAGTCCTTGAATGTCAAACCCTTTCCACACTGCCTGTGTCAGGTGTAACAATTACTACTGTGGTGGAAGGTAGAAGTGGTAAAATAACGCAACAAGTTTTAATTCCTCTTACTGTCCTGATGATTTTAGGCAATGATTGGTTGTTGCAGCAAAGAGTAAATATACAGCTGTCCCTTTGTATATTTTATTTACATGTGTGGGATATTCGAGTCCTGTTCATAGATAGTAGCTTATGTCCCATATAGGCAATCTACCCTGAACTTACTAATCAGGACATATCTAAAGAGTTTGAGGAACCAACCCAGCACAATTCAATTGTTGAGTATCCATTCCCCATAGTCACTGATTCCTCTGTAATGATGACCACTCTGCCAACCCAACATGAAGAGTATTTACCTATAGAAAGTTGTATAAATAGTCTGAATTCAATTTACACCATTGATAAGTTACAGTGTGACCCAGTTATATCCCTGTTTCTCAAATACCAGCATATTTTCCGCACTCGTTCAGGTTTAAATTCCCTGTATACATGTCGATTTAGTGTATTTAATACTATCCCTTTCAAGGTAAACCCTTACCTAATACTGTTCATGATGGCCCGCTGTAGATCTGGAGATCGCACACATGATCAATAAAAATATACTCTCAATGAGAGACTCCAGTCCCAATCTAAATTAATTATTATCCCATTTTGGTAAAAAACTCCTTTTTTCAGTATAGATTTTAATTCAGGTTATTGGTAGGTGCCCTTACATAAAGAAGTCTGTAAGTATACTGCTTACCTCTACAACTGTAGGACATATCAATTTCAAGTAGTACCTTTCAGTTTAAATATATCCAATACTGCTTTCTAGCAAGCCCTCGTCAAAACTTCCCTAGTCACGCCTGCTTCCCCATGGACAACTTGATATCCTATGATTGTCCATATGATGTTCATATTTATGTTGGTGATGTATTAATTTCCACCATATTGTTCCATGTACACCTTAACCGCTTAGATATTCTATTACAGTAAATTTCTTACTCCAACACGACCCTTAAGTTAATAAATGTAATTTCTTTAAAGATACCATCAAGATGGTAGATCATATTATTTTTAGATCATATTATCACACCCTCTGGTATATAGATGGACCCCAAAAATTTACAAATTGTATATAAATTCCCTCTCTCAAGAAACATAAAGGCACTACAATCATTTATTGTTTTTTGTAATTTCTACAGAAAATTTTCTGATCATACTTCCCTTATGAGACCTCTCATAGACTTGATTAAAAAAGATTCCTCTTGGAAATTTGGTTCCCTAGGGCTGGCCCATTTTAATAAAGTTAAGAAAGCATTTAACGACATATTTTTGTCACATCCCATATTCAATGACCCCCTGCCATTTACAAACTGACACTAACAAATTAGGACTAGGCACTGAATTTTTCCAGTTAAGTTTGCACTGATATAATGGCTCTGAGAACCGACTCCATGATAAAATCGAATGCCACTTGCAAATGTAACAATTATTTTTTAGCTATAATTACAAACTTGATTTAAGATATAAATAGAAAAGAGGTATATATATATAATAATAAATTGGATTGTAAATATTAGTTTTATAAAAAACTGATAACTCTTTTTTTTTATAAATATATTGTTAAAAAAAGGACCATTAAGTAAATAAACAATAAAAAATATAACTTAATGTGCTGATTTGTAACTTAATATATTAGTAAATTTATTATAAATATGATTCAACAGCATGCTACAAATTTGTATCTATTTTTAATTTTATCTGAACAGGGTTGTAAAGTGGAATGTGTTGTACAATATAAAACCTTTATTTTATTTAATAACAAATGTGACAACATTTTAGTAACTACTTATATTAAAATAAAATAATATTAATATTAATTATAATTATAATGTGAACTATTTCTGTGACTTATGAATTTCCATAATACTTTAAATTCAGTAAAAACTACATATGTGATTTATTAAATATAATGTATATTAATATGTAACTTTAACTATTATCTTTGGTCACATAACATTTCAATAATATATGATGATAAAAACATAAATAAAACTACTGATGGTTTTGAGCTTTACTTTGATTACAGTAAAATGGTTATTAATTTGTGTTATGCAATAGTGACAATGATACTAAGAAAGAGTTAATTCAAATAATAATTTGATATATATTTTTTTTATGTGGGTATTTGTGGCTGAGACTTAGTAGAATCATCAATTGTGTTATTAATATTTAATTTTTACTACGGATATAAATAAATTATAACTATAAGTCATATTGTACATTTTATATGAATAATGTATAATCATTTAGGTAAAATATGCTAGAGTATCAAAACTCACATAATCCAATAAAATTTAGTTTATTCATAAATCAGTACTCTCCTTATTGAATTCAGATATGTTCTAGTGCATTTTAAACCAAACTGACTACAGAATTTGATTCATCAACAAAAATCATATAAAACTGTGTCATAAACTTATTGTCCTATTTTTTGGAGCATGTTAATGTTAATTTTGATTTTAGCCTACCAATACAATGGATTAATTATATTATAGTGAAAATTGTTTTGTTTATAAAAACATAATGAATATTAAATAAATAAAATCAGATTAAATATAATATTAAATACTGTAATATTATCAATTGTTGTATTTTTACACCGTAGAAGTATATTAAGTCTCTAAAAGACCCCAAGTAGTAACTAAATGTGCACCCCTTCCACACTGTTCTGCAAATATTAAAATATATAATTTAAATTTAAATATTAAAAAAAAAAATTAAAACAATTTTCATACCATATTAAATTTTTTTTATAAATTATTTTAATTATAATTTTATATATAATAATAGATTTGATTTAAAAAATGTCAAATGTCAAATTTCATCCAAGATAGGAGTTCATAAAAATTTAAAATGTGATTGTATAGACATTTTGTAAACCACAGCTACATGTATTAATATTAAGAAAATTAAGTAAATTAGTGAATTATTGAGTGAAATTTAATATTTAATATTATTTTTAACATTAAATTTATATTATTTATTAATAAGTAATAATAAATTGTATATAGTGATAAAAACCATTTAAAAAAAAAATTGTGATTTAAAAAAAGAACCTGAACACTAATATTAATATCATAAAAGCTATTACTCCTTATAACTTAGGTTTTATATTATATATTCCCTATATATAGGGAACTATGATCACAGAAGAAAGACAAGTAATTAACCAATTCAAGGAACATTTTGAAGACCTCCTGAACCGACCCTCAATAGGGCATGATTTAAACCCAAGCGAGGACTGCCTAACAGCAGAAATAGATATAGACACCCCTAAATAAGAAGAAATTGAGAATCTGATTAAGAGGCTTAAAAACAACAAAGCCCCAGGAGAAAACAGTATAGTAGCGGAATTACTTAAAAAAGGTGGTACAATGTTGGTGAGCAAAATTACAAAAGTTATTAAGAAAACTGAGACAATCCCAGAAGAATAGAAAACTGCAATTATATGCCCAATATTTAAAAAAGGCAACCCCACTAAAACTGAGAACTATAGAGGAATTTCGCTACTGGACACATGCTATAAAATTCTGACAACACTGATATTAGAAAGGTTAAACCCGTATGAACTAAGTAAACTAAGTACATGGTCGTATTGAAAAGACCACCAAATATACATTCCATAGTAATGGATAATTATAAATTTGAAAAAGTTGATAATTTTAAGTATTTAGGCGTGAACATCAACAACGGAAATGATATGAGTATAGAAATAAATGAACGGATCACTAGTGGAAATAGATGCTATTTCAGTATTATCAAACTCCTGAGGTCTAAGCTGTTGTCGAGAGGATCAAAGATACTACTATATCATAGCTACCTATGATAACATACGCCTGTGAAACCTGGTCGTTGACTAAAGGTGATAGCAGAAGATTTATTACGTTCGAAAGGAAAGTGTTGCGAACCATTTATGGACCAATCTTCAACCCAGANGAGGGCAGATGGACAGTTAATTAAAAATGTACTTATCAATAAAATAAATAAAACGAGACCCCTAGGACGACCCAAAACCCAATGGATTGATGTAGTTACCAAAGATATAGAAATGATAGACCAGGACGCAATTTTAGAAACAGCATATCAGAGAGAGAGGTGGAGAGAGATTTTGATGGCAGCGATGGTCCTGAATGGACCGCTAAGCTGAAGAAGAAGAAGAAGATTATTACATTTTACATTAAATAAATAATTACCACTTAATGCACTGAAATTGATTACTTAATTATGTAATAGGAGAGTAAAGTTCATAGGGTTATGGGCTTGTTAATTTCGTTTCTTATTGTAAAATTTTACACTTCCACCTTTGAATGCAGAAGAAATTTCCCAAAATCTGAAAAATTTTAGGTATTGAATTAACCACACTTCACTAAATTTATACAAATTATATTATTTGATTAGTGTACAATTTTAAATCAATATAATTATATAGTAGTTTTTCATTATTTATATATTACATATGAAATTTAATTTATATTATATTTGGGGCTTGTCAAAAATCACCCTTGAACTATTATAGATGATGAATTCAAATAAATATATGTTAAGAATTACTTATATATCAATCAAATATTATAGTTTTAATTACATCTTTAGATATAATGATGTAATTATAAAGTTATAATTATTTTTCTGTTTTAAAACACTTAAAGGGTATTTTAAAAGCCCATCCCAAAATCTAATTCATTAAATTATCTAAATGATGAAAGTATTGAATCTTTATGTAAGAAAAACAACCTAGTCATCACTTAGATACTAATTATAAATTATTTTAATTTATAATATTATCATTGATTATGTTTATCATATTATTATTGTTATGACCTATCATTATTATTATTATTATTAGATACATCTATGTTATGTATGCAGTATAGTATTTTGTATTTTTTCTGTTTTTTTTTTTTCTATTCAGTATTATTAATTAAGTTTATACAATGTCATGTTTTTTTATGATTTACGATCATTTATTTTTTAAATGTATTAATTTCATAACTATATTATATAATTGTTTAAACGTTGTTGATTTTTTTTTTTCTGAGTCATGTTATAATTTTGTGCAAAATGTGTGTTAAAATTATTTGTATTCAAATGGTACAAAATTTAATTTAATAATTTTTGTTTATTCCTTTAATACCACGCTTTTCAAAATACTTATGAGGTAAAATTATTCTATATGTATAGATAATATAAACAAATCTTATTATTTTGAATATGTTAAAAAATCGTGCTATCCATAGCTTATTGGAAATTTGAATTTTAACAAATATTTTTTAAATTTTCTGTTTTTTTTTTTTTTTTTTTTTAATAAAATATCATATGAGTCTTAAAATATTAATATTGATCTGAATTTCTGATTATATTTTATTGTTTTTAAACTAAATGTATTGTATTCATTTCAATACTCAATACATCCCTTTTTATAAAAGATCAGCAATAGTTTTGGCAGCTTAAAAAATAAAGTTTACACTTTTAACACAGATTTTACCATAAAATAATAATGATTTTACAATATATTATTGATTTGATACCTACACATTTTGTTGGTGTGTTTTATAGAGTAATGTAGATGCGTTTTGACATTTCCCAATCGTAATCTATAATTGCTAAAATTATATAAGCTGAAATATTCTCTCAAAATTTAAAATTACTAATTTTTGTTATAAAATATTTAAATTTTTATAATTAAACTGTAAAAGTAAATAATAAAAGTAAATAAAAAGTATATAAATATAAATAAAAATATCTCATTTACATTCAAAATACAAATAAATAATAGATCAAATTACTTAAATTTTACAGTTTCAACAATAAAAATTAAATTTGATTTTAATATTTACAGGAAACCTACACAAACTGATGTTCTAATATCCCATGATTTTAGATTCTAATCACCCTTATTCTCAAAAAATATAATTTATAAAATATAACATCATTATCTATGATAAAGCCTATAGAAATAATTTTAATTTAAATACTAAAAAGTAATGTAGGAACTTTGTAAACTTTTCCGTACATACAGTCATGACAAACATACAAGTTGGTCCCAATATATTCATTACATAGAATGGGTTCTCAATAATACAGTCCATGAGTCTAAGGGTTTTACTCCCCAAGAACTATTTATGATCCATTTGATATCATAGTAGAGGCCCCCTGTAAATTTACTGCAAAAAGTACAAAATTTCCAAAAGCCTAAGTAAAAATTAATGAAGAATTTAGTTTTTTTTATAATATTTACATGCAACACTAATAATTAAAATTCTTACAACAGTATTTTACTTTAATCTTTACCTAGTAATTGGAAGAACAAACATTTTTAGTTTTAATATTGTGCACACATAATATTATATCGGAACACTTTTATTCAGAACTTATTTACAAACAATTTTAACCTTATGTAGCATTTAATCTTTAATTAAGTGTTATATATGTCACACATGCAAGCAACTTAAAACTGATAACTAAACTAATTTCATTTTACTCAAATAATACTAAATTATGTCATAGACAAAAAACTAATGTTTACTATTTGAAAATATTTTAAAATACATCAAAAATAACTGTTTTAATACAATTGTTAATATTATTTTTACCTTATTAAAAATAGTTATGACTAATTCACAAATATCCTATCTAGAAATCTAAAATGGCTAACAATAATATGTTTACTGATAATTTTGTGAACTACTATAATCTAATTAAAACTTATTAAGATCCTATACAAAACTTGAAAATATTTATAATTAATGAATACACGATAAATATAATATATCTGATGTTAAGATATGCTAATAAAAACTTCAAAGAATTCTGTATTAGGTTAGATAGACTAACAAATCTACTTTGACTTAATTATATTAACAGATGCATGGTTAGACCTACCCAACTTTGATTACTCCCAATTTAAAATTCCAAAATACACCATGTTAAACACTATAATAAATCATACTAACCAAAATTATAGAATATTGTTTTTAAAAAAGACACTGTCTTGATATTAACCAAAATATTTGTGTTATCAATTATTGTGATAATTTTTCACATTAATTACTAAGTATGAACTTAGTAATCTTATTCATCTTTATTCTTTATTAATAATAACAACACCAATGTTTATTATAATAAAATAGATATTTGTTTTGTTTTTATTTTATTCTAAATTTATGAAAATTCGTCAAATTGATGTAATTTGTTAATTTATTATATTAATTTATGTTTAAATACCTATTCAAATTTAAAATACAAACCATTATCACTATTGTAATAAAATTATAGGTTTTGAAGAGTTCAAAAGAATTTTTGAAAGAGATGTTGAGAAGAATACACTTCGGAAGTTAAAAGGAAATTTAGAATTAATTGTTGAACAGGATAATTGGTATGGAAAAGATTTTATAAGAGATAAAAACAAATCTCTAGAACTTATAGAAATTGTTATTTTTTATGCTTCTGGATACATTTATCACCATTTACTTAAATCTACAAAATGAAATGTTTGTTTACATTAATTTTTTACCAACCTAGATAGTTTTTAATTAGCAAAAGCAGAATTTGTCAACATTAAGACTCAAGGTTATTTTCTGAATTGTAGCCTTAATTTGTATAAATTGTATTTAAACGCTGAATTTTATTTTGTAAAAAATGTTATATTTTCTGATTGCTATGAAAGGGCCCTCATATATTTCATAAACATAAACTTTCCACGTGACGAACACAAAAGTAGTGTGATGGTAAGTAGTTTGCATTATTAAACCCTTATTATAATGAAACAATACGAAAAAGAACAAAATAGGTTATCTAAAAAAATATTCAGAAATAATAAAAAAGAATCCAAACTATGTGTTACTTAGTTTTTAAATTATATACATTAATGAAAATGTTATTGTATTATAAGTATGAAAATTAGGGACAAAAGACTGCAGCGTGATCTACTTATATGCTCGTGAATCAAACACACCCACTGGGGGGGACAGTTGTTTGCATTATGAAAACCTCTATTATCTACGATGGTTAAAACCAAAATATTCGTGATATCAATCAAATCAACACCAAAAGGTTTGGTCGTTTTATGGGGTATTTATCTCCACAGAATAATATCATAATTGGAAAAATAGTTATAATATTATGATTATTTTATTACCCTGTGTTATAATTATTATCCACTATTTGGTTACTCGTTATTATAAGTTTTCACACGTTTCAGGAGAATTTAAAACGGCTGTTACTTAGAGATTGTCCATCAGATATGAATGTGTGATACATTTTTTAAATAATTTAACAAAATGGCTGTTTTGAACATTTTCTAAAGTGAATAACTAGTTATTTTTTTTTTGTGTGTTTTGGTGATGAAAATACAATTTGAATTTTTCTTCAATGCGATGTCCCTCTCGAAGACAAACAGGTTGAAACAAAAATTTGACAGAGTTATTAGCATAATGATAACACTATAGGCCACTCTGTTTATTTATTCCAATTACTCAGTTATCCACGTCTAATTTTTTTAATATAAAAATATAATAATCTCATAATTATACTTGAAGTTGCAGGAAATTATGCCGACGATAGGTACATCTATTGTGTTATTATAGTGTATTCGTATAGGTATTTTATATTTTGTAACAGTAGAATATAGGTTTGTATATTATGTGAATACATAATAATGTAATAAAAGACAATGATGTAAGATGAATAATACAATTTTATATTATGATCGTATTGTTATTTAAATATGATTGATTATCTTATAAAATATTGTAAAATGATTCATATAATTATGTATTATGATATCGTATACGTTGATGATGACTGAATGGCCCATTCAGTTAAAACCGAAATAACCTTCTTCAAATGGTCCAACATTTGTAAATGTCTTATACTCCCCAATTGGTATCTGGATTATTGGCTTTGGTGTATTTGCAGGTATCGGAGTGCTCGGTGTATTTGCAGGTATCGAAGTGCTCGGTGTATTTGCAGGTATCGGAGTGCTCGGTGTGTTTGCAGGTATCGAAGTGATCGATGTGTTTTCAGGTATCGGAATGCATGGTTTTGGTGTTACAAGTTGTTTTTCTTCGGTGTTTATTCCAAGTTCATCTAATTTATAAAAAGCACAAATTAATTTCTAGAAACGAAATATACTAAATTGAGTTTTTGTGTTATCTATATATGTATATAAATACAGTGCTTTAATGTATTCAAATAAGAGTATTTAACTATTTTTTCTAAAAACGATAATATTTTTAAATTTGTATGTTAAAAGTATAATTTTTGTATATAGATATGTGATTAACATTTAAGATAGATTAAAGAAAAAAAAAATTTTAACAATAATTGTACGAGATTTATATGAAGTTATTTCCTAGTTATTAGTACCTAATTCGTATTTATTGAAAAATCAGCACTTAAATTTTAAATTTCTACCCATGGTGTTAAAAAAAAAAAAAACTATCCAAAATTTGCGCTAATTCAAGTTACCTGTATAAAAAATCTCATAACACCCGTGAAATCATAAGGTACCTATANTAATAAAATTTTATATTATGATCGTATTGTTATTTAAATATGATTGATTATCTTATAAAATATTGTAAAATGATTCATATAATTATGTATTATGATATCGTATACGTTGATGATGACTGAATGGCCCAATCAGTTAATACCGAGCTTGTCCATAACATCTTCGTCATATGTTCCATCATACCTATTTGCCTTATACCTCCCGATTGGCATCCGGATCTTGGTGAGTCTATTTGAGGTTGTAGGTCTCGTAGTAGGTATCGAAATGTCCAGTGTGTTGGCGGATGTCGAATTGCTCGGTGTGTTTGCAGGTATCGGAGTGATCGATGTGTTTGCAGGTATCGGAGTGCTCGGTATGTTTGCAGGTGTCGGAGTGCTCGGTGTTTTTGCAGGTATCGGAGTGCTCGGTGTGTTTGCAGGTATCGGAGTGCGTGGTTTTGGTGTTACAAGTCGTTTTTCTTCGGTGTTTACTTCAAGTTCATCTAATTTATAAAAAGCACAAATTAATTTTTAGAAACGAAGTAAACTAAATTGAGTTTTTGTGTTATCTATATATGTATATAAATACAGTGCTTTAATGTATTTAAATAAGAGTATTTAACTATTTTTTTCTAAAAACGATAATATTTTTAAATTTGTATGTTAAAAGTATAATTTTTGTATATAGTTATGTGATTAACATTTAAGATAGATTATCTAACCAAAATTTGCGCTAATTCAGGTTACCTGTATAAAAAATCTCATAACACCCGTGAAATCATAAGGTACCTATTATGCATGTTGCTTAAAATATTATTATTTTAATTTTTTTCTTTTTTATTAACTAATAAAATTACACCCATTGGTTATTCATGTACGTACCTGTATTCGGTATCTCGACTTCGACAATCTCGACAAAACATGGCTTGGCACGCATGCACGGCGTGGCAATCAAAACCAGCATTGTAATCGTAAGTAGTTGAATATTACGAGCATTCATGGTGAACGACAAGGATCTCAGGATAATAAAAATATTAAAAACGTAATAGTTGCGAATAAAAGTGACAAAACAACACTAAACGTCCGAACTGCTTCTTGGCCACTTTTATAGGCAAGTACGTACTCGTCAAAGTGGGCGTTACAGTAATAGTGAAACGTGTGCAATGCTCGATAGTACCGCCGCCGTCGTAAAAAGGCGTAACCACGCCCCCTACTGTGCTGTCTCGACAACCAGTTCGTGGGGTTTCGGTTTTGTGCGGTTGAGCGTGTTACCTATTGTTTTATGACTTGTGAGCGGTCGCGTTCATAGCAGATAACTGTTTAATAAAAATGTTAATGATAATAAAAAGGGGTGTAGCAATACTGGATACCCATAACATCCTAGAGATGTATTAAATTTGAAAATTGTCGAAGTTACTCTTCCCCCCCCTGATTTTTACTGATTGACTTGACTAACAAACAAATATCGTACCTATCGAATTCCTATCGAACTAATATTTTGTTATTTTTTTTAATTTATAAAGTGTTTTAAACGGGACAGGCCCAAATACATAATATGTTACAATTAAAATCGTTCATTATAATTAATAATATTATTATAATACTTAATACATTATTTATAATATTGTTACCGTAATTTCTATAATTGGAATATAAAATTATGAACATTATTCTTCTCTTTCCAAAACAGAAAACGAGTGTGTCAGTATTATCATGTAATATATTATGTGTGGGTATTTTATAAATTACGATTTAAGAAAAAGGGACAAAAACGACCGAATCCCATACGTAATAATAATAAAAATAATATAATGTAAGAATTTTTTTATTTGTCACAGACGATTCGGTTTTATACAAATACTTACTGCCTATGACGTGCACGCAGTCGACGTGAATAGGGATTTATTTTTCGTTTTCGATTCCGTATAAGATACAATTAAATACTTTCATTGTATTCGTTAAAAGGTTTTTGTAATAAAAATATATCTAATCTTACTTACCTATACGTAGAATTTATACTTATAATATCACGGTTCATGAATACACATAAGAAGGTCATAGTCTCCCTTGTCGCCAATGGACTCGACCGAGACAATACGTGTATACTGTATAGTTACTTTCCGAATACAATAACAAGAATTTTAGACGAGGGACGAACCGTTTTCGATTCTCAGAAAGGAAGGTAAAAGAGTAATTTTTTTTTTTTTCGTAATCTTAAACCATCAGCGATTGTCCATTATTTATGGGTATACGAAGGTCTCTCGAAGAAATAGGTAACCTACCTATACGTTTTTATTTCGGTTTTTCTCCTACTGCAGATGTGGAATCTGCAATCAATAATATTAATATCAGAGAACACTTATTTCGCCACTTCCTGGGCTTTAAGTTCAAAATCCAATTTAATAATAGTTTATTAAAAAAGTATTCTTTGTTTGTCATTTTAAAACATAAATCAATAATAAACTTCCACGTGTGAATAAACGTTTATTTTAATTTGTCATTTAAAAAAAGTAAACCACAGGCCATATATGGCCATATAAACCATATATGATGGTTATTTTTAAAACAAAAGTAAATTCGAATAAAACATTTCGGTGCATATTCAAATCATGGCAGCGATTTTTGTAAACATGTTCACATCATATAAGTTCCATATTTTGTATTGTAGTTAAACATATAAACAATTGGTTGTCAGGTACGTGAATACATTTTTCACCTTTACACATTAAAATTTTTGATTTTGATTTTATTTAAGTTGAGTAAATGCTTCATCAAGTAACTTAGGAAATGGCAGATAATATTTTTTTCTTTCGGTGTACATAGTTGTCCTAACCGTATTAAAGTCTTAATGACATAGAGTCGATTAAAAGTTCTGTGTGTATTATTTTATTAGGCTTTATCGAAATGAAATCTACGGCTTTTCGTTTGCAGTTTTGCAGAGGTAAAGATAATGGACTGATTGTGCCTACCGAGAGTTTTGATCAGAGAAATTTTTTCTGAATCTGTTAGAATGCTCATAGTACATTTATTATTTGAACACCTCCATTTCATCCGTATATCTTTGTGTTTCCGAATAAAACGATATTCATTAGAATCTTATAATACTATATTATTTTTCACGAAAGAACGGTAAAGAGTCTCGTCAAAAACCAGTCATTCTTACGCATCCCCATGCCGCACCTCGCCTAGGGGTCCCACCAATATCCGGCCAGATGTAATCCGGCAATGTGCGGGAAACACTACTTTTCTCTCGTGAAAAATAGTTATAGGTCTTCACCTCGTTCCGAAAGCGTAATTTTATCTTCGTTACTTTCCTTTATCTGACGAATAGGAATATCCTATATAACAGTGGTTTTCAACCTTTTGTGGTCTACAGGGGTGGCCACAACGAGGCTCGCGAGCGGCATTGGGCTCTTAAATCAGTTTCGTGCGACTCTTGGACTAAATTTAGACTAAACTTAATAAATATAAAATTTGTTAGAATCGTTAGAAACGTTAGATAGCATTTTTATTGCTGTCGATTTCATTATCATTACAGTCGTTATTAGGTATAGATTGGCACGGCGGCGGTGCTTTTAGTATGTGTAGCCAAAAATAGTCACGGTGTGTTACGACCGCGTCAGACGACGACGATAACAACATGATTTCCGTTATCGCGTTTTTATATTTTTTAATTGTGTCTTCATTTCATAAACATCGCTTTACAATGTGGCTCGCCTCCAATTAGCTTTATAAATTTGCGGCTCCCAAAGTTAAGGTTAGTGGCCACCCCTGTATTTATATAAACTGACGACAACTTCGTTGATATTTGTGCGACGATCGTGACGCCTAACGTTCATTATCTCTTATCTAGTGTCTAAATTAATAATAATTTCCGGTAAATTCGATAAGAATTCAATAAATCAACAAATATCAAATTACCGAACTCAAATTCAATAGCAATTGTTCAATAAAAAAAAAAAAATCGAGTTCTTAATCGTCTTTTACCGGTTATGTTAGTTCTCGGAAACGCTCCTCAATTTTCGGTCAATATACAGTCCCTCTTTGAAGTTTTTCCCATTTAAACCGCTATTTGAAACATATAAACGCGTTTTTGAAACCACATCACTTTATCAGTGTTTGTTTGTGCGTTGTATAATATCCAATTATTAATGTACCGTCACGTGCCCGCATGTAACGCGCAGGGAACACGTGCGACTCCATGTTCGGTAATAGTCGAAGTAATAAGACCGAATACCAACCTAACGCATAAAGCCCGAGTAGAAAATGCTGCACCGAAGTAACTTATTAGCCCCTCAGATTTGATATCCAGGCACATGCCGATCGTATTCTAATTTTAATACAAATAAAAATACTATTGTGAAGTGGTCTGGAAGACTCTCACATACGTATATATAATATTATAACGTGTATAACACTTTGTGACTAGATTATTTTGGAAGGCCTATGCCCCTGTTTTTTACTTCTGGCGACAGCAACACAATATAGATAACAGCGACTATGAGAAACGGGTTGCGGAGGTCCGTGAAATTAGCGGACACAGACATTGAGCACTAATTTTCTTTCCGGTAACAATATTTAATGCTGAATTAATGTTGGCGAACGGTAATATTATCAAAATCAGTGCTCTGTTCAGTAAAAATGTATACGGGGGCTTATCTTCCGTCAACCACGTGAAGTTAGCGGACGCAGTATACGCACCAAAATCCTTTGTAGAATAAAAATTTAGTGCTGAACGAGTGATAGCGAACGATACAATTTTCAAAAATAGTGCTTAATTTTCCAACGAGATATTGAATTTTTCGAAATTTTTCACTGGTTGCACTATTTAACAAATGTAACCACATTAAGCGTTTCGACGCGCCATACAAATGAAAATAAAATATATAACGACTTGTAAGTTGTATTATACTACTATAATAGTAGTTGCAATTTCATTTCCTACTTACTGCTTAGCAGATATAGGTATCTACACCTTATAATTTTTATAACTGATATAACTTTATACTCGTAATTAATTCAATGGATCGCTAGTTTTTTAAAGTTATTTTGATGGCAGAAGCCGCAAACAAACTTTCTGAAGTTCAAAGCAGCCGGAGGTACTGGGTTCATCCTGTAAATCTATGCTATAGTAATGAATATTACAGTATAATAAGCAGTGTTTATTATAATGACTGTAATGATAAATAAATCAAATCGCTGGTGGGAAAACGCGCTAGTATGTTACCATTAATTTAAATCAATGTGTTTCGATAGTAATTTGAGTTTTGGGCAGCTGAAACGCTTACATTTGTAACCTGCTTAATAAAATTTTTTTTTTCGCATTTTCAAACTAGCGGTGCGAACAAGACGTAGGTATGACATTTTTTTTTCTCGTTGAAGAATCGGTGATTTATGACCGTTTTTCTAATACTATACACTCCATAATGCGTATCGTACACGCATCAGGCGGTTAGACTCGCAGACCACCCGGAAACCTGAAAAACTCTCGGCTCCAACCAATTCGTTGATTCGATACGATTTTATACAATGTAATATATTTTTAAAAGAAAATATAACCGTAAATTATATAACGTTTTCGTATTCGGGTATAATATCTTTTTTACGAACATATTATTGTAATACAATATAATAATATGTGACCATTTGAACGTCTAGTACGTGATTTATTATCGTGTTTGCCGATCGAGAAGATCCCGTCGCCGCAGGGCTCCCGACAACATTGTTAAATTATTGTTATTCTTCGGGAACATGTGCGCGCCGCGGGCAATTCCGACCGCATTGTATAAATTACGATCATTGTCGTCGTCCCCGATAACGAAAAATTCCCGCACACAAAAAGGTTCTTCCCGGGTCTTTTTCTCATTTTTTTTTTTTTTTTTTTTTTTTTTTTTATATGGCCTCTTCACCGCACGATCCGCGATCTAAGGTCTAACTTCATGTTGTTGATATCTGTGCACGAAATACAGCTGCTAACGAATCACGGAAAACCAGTGTACC